AAATCGACGATTCTATAGGCACCCCCTACCCTGTAATCGATTTCCCTCAGCTACTAGCACCCTTTCGAGCCGCTACCCCTAAGGCCAGAGCCTCTCTAGGCCTTTCAGGCTCTGAATACCCTACAGCTCCAGGGGCTACAGGCCTGTATAAGTCGCCTCCAGCACCTACAAGCCGAAATCTCAGTACCCCTCCACCCCTACCAAGCCCCCCATTCGATATCTACCCAGGCTTTACAGGCTCTCCGTCCCCTGTAACTTCAGCACCAAATAGCCCTAAATCGCCTACCTACGCCCAAGTTACCGCCACCCCTCTAGGCTCTAAGCCTTCAGCACCTACAGGCTCCAAGCACCCTACGGCTTCAGGCTCTAAGACCCCTGTACCTTCAGTACCTACAGGCTCTAAGCACCCTACGGCTCCAGGCTCCAAGTACCCCGCACCTTCAGCACCTGCAGGCTCCAAGACCCCTGCACCTTCAGCACCTACAGGCTCTAAGCACCCTACGGCTCCAGGCTCCAAGTACCCCGCACCTTCAGCACCTGCAGGCTCCAAGCACCCTACGGCTCCAGGCTCCAAGTACCCCGCACCTTCAACACCTACAGGCTCTAAGCACCCTACGCCTTCAGGCTCCAAGTACCCCGCACCTTCAGCACCTACAGGCTCTAAGACCCCTGTACCGTCAGTACCTACAGGCTCCAAGTACCCTACGGCTCTAGGCCCCGACCTCCCTACAGGCACCCGAAGGATTCAGACCCCACGGGGTATTTGGTACTCGATTCCAGGGGAAGTAGACGCTATACTCCCAGCGTACGACGGCCCTACAGGCCCTGAACCAGACTCCCTCCCAGGCTCTCGACCCCCCACGCCTACAGGCTCTACGTCACCTACATACGCCCAAATCGTCGCTACAGGCTATATACCCCCGAAGCCGTCCACTAAACGCCCTGCAAGAACACCCTCCCCAGGGGCTCAACGCCCTACGACACGCCAAAAGATAGGCCCTACGCAGCCTATAGAGCCTATAATCAAAGACAGCTCGTCCGACGAAGATCTTTATAGTGCCTCTACAGCGCCATCGTCCCCTACCCCTAGCTTTGAAGACGCTATCTCAACGCCTATACCAACTACACCTACCGATAAGACGCCTACCACACCTAGCCTACCCTCTGATAGCCCCTACTTCCCTCGACTATCACGAGTAGGCTCCCCTATAAGCAACCGAAGCTACTCACCCCTAGAACCACCCCCTAAAGCTCCCCAAGCTTCAGCACCCTCTCACGCTAAAGAGCCTATAATAATAAGCTCTTCTCCCCCAACAACCCCTACAACACACCTACCCTCCAAAACTACCACAACTCACCTACCCTCTAAAAACACCACAACTCACCTACCCTGCGAAACCTCCACACCTAGCCTACCCGTTAACCCAACACTCCAGGGCCGTACTATAGGGCCTACAGCGTCTAAACGCCCTATATCAACACAAGGCACAGCATCTTCAGCGCCTAAACGCCCTAGAACGTCAACACTAAAACGCCCTACCGACCCCCTCACATCTGAGCTACCCTTTGGATTACAACAATCGATCCACTGCCCCCAGCCTCAGGCTACCTCAGCACCTACACCCCTACACCCACAGGCTTCCTCAGCGCCTACACCCCTAGACGAGAGCGCTAAAGACCACTTGAACGCTATAAGCTCAGCGCTAAGAAACCCCTATATGCAATCCCTCATGAGATATAGCACTATTAAGGTCCCTGAAACACGTCTCCACGCCAGGCAAGCAGCGCTATTTACAGAGGCCGCTAATCGAGCGGCTTTAGCGTTCTTACGGCAGCCTAGAGAGAAGCAATTACTGGACTTTTTACTGCTTCCCAGGGTTCTCGGCCTAGGATTACAGAAGGAAGAGCTCGCTAAAACGCTGAAAGCCTACCCTACGACTATACCGGATATCCCTGAAACTCAGGGACCTCCCCCTGAACTCCCTACCCCCTCAAACGACTCCCCCGCCAAAAGAGCGACTAAGCTTCTGGAAAAAGGCTATATAGGGCGTGCCTCTAGAGCCCTAATCGACCCTACGCCTCTAGCTCCTAGCACTCCAGAGACGCTAAATACGCTATACTCGAAGCACCCTATAGGGCATAATAACCCCTTCAGTAACGCTAACCCCTCCCCGGGGCAAAATATCACCCCTGAAACGATACGACAGGCTATTCGATCGATTAATAGAGAGAAAGCCCCTGGCCTCAGCGGCTGGACCCGCCCGCTACTTGATATAGCGCTAAATTCGGAAAACTCCCCTGTAACTATAGCGCTTACACACCTAGCGAATATGATTCGACAGGGTACAGCTCCAGGGGTCGACCTCCTATGTGCTTCCCGACTTATAGGCCTTCAGAAGCCTGACGGAGGTGTGCGACCGATCGCTATAGGGGACCTTATTTATAAGGTAGCCCTAAAAGCGATCCTTATCAGCTCCTTCAAGCCGTCTATGCTTCTACCCTGCCAATTAGGCGTTAGCACCCCAGGTGGTGTAGAGCCTATAATCTTCCTCCTTGACGACGCTATTACCGGCCCAAATACCCTAAAAACTCAGCAAATCGCCTCCTTAGACCTTATCAACGCTTATAACCGAATCGGACGAACCTCAATAGCAGCTGCAGTCGCTAAATACGCCCCTACTCTCTATCGGACCGCTAAATGGGCCTATAACCAGCCTTCAGTGCTAGTAACAAACGAAGGCCACACGCTAGCAAGCGCTGAAGGAGTACGCCAAGGAGACCCTATTGCCCCCCTCTTATTCTCTCTAGCGATCCGCCCCCTGCTAGAGCACCTCCAAAAGACCCTACCGAAGGCTACAATTATAGCTTATTTGGACGATATCTATATCCTTAGCCCTGAAACTACAGCACTACTCCCTGTAGTTATAGAAGCCTTCAGGGACTCTCCAGTAGCTCTTAACCGCCAAAAGAGCACCGAAAGCCCTATTTCCCAGTTACAAACCACTGGACTTAAGGCCTTAGGGACCTTTATAGGCCCTGTAGCACACCGCCGAACGTTTCTCCAGGGGAAAATCGACACTCTCGCTACAGCGCTATATACCCTACGAGACCTCCCTAAACAACACGCTACCCTACTCTTACGGGGTAGTATACACCTACTCCTACGACACTTACAGCGCCAATTGTACTCGGAAGACCTACTAGACCTCTGGAGGTTAGCGGACTTACGAATCAAGTACGCTGTACAAGCCCTAATCGCTAGGGAGCCAGGGGAGAAGACTACCCTAATTCGCCAGGCTTTACTCTCTCTTCCAGTGAGAGAGGGAGGCTTAGGGCTCCCTATACACGCCTTATTAGCCCCAGGGCTCTATAGGGCAGCTAAGGAAGCCTCTCGATCGATTCTAGTGGCTATATGCCCTAATCTCTACCCGGAACCCCCTGGACGCCCTGTACCGACAGCCCAAGAGGTCTTCTCTAGCGTTAACCAAGACCTAGAAGAGAAGATTCTACCTACCCTATCAAAACAAGCGCTAAAATCGAAGCTTGAGAACGCTAGCTACCTCGGACGATACTGGCTTAGAACCCTGCCCACGCAAAAACACCACCTTTTAGCGGATTCTACAGTTACCGAAGCACTACGGACTAGGCTCTTACTCCCTGTAAAGCCCCCTATTTCGCCCTGTACCGCCTGTGGAGCCTACCCTCAAATAGGCCACGAAGACACCTGTAGAGGTGCTGAACGACGCTGGATTATACGCCATAACCAGGTTACCCGTGCATTTATTACTACCCTTTCTAGCCGGGAAGACCTTAAAGTGGAATCGGAGCCTACGCCAGCTAGAACGCCTATAGCCCTAGAAAACAGCCAACGACCGGATTTTTCAGTGCTTATAGGTACTTCTAGGCACTATTACGACGTTCAAATAGTAGCAATCAACAAGGATTCAGCACGCGAAGAAGCCTATGCTACGCTATCAGAGGCAGCAAACGCTAAACGGCTTAAATACAGCGACTTAGGCCCTGTATTTCACCCCCTGATCTTCTCGGCAGGAGGCCTAATGGAAGCCGAAACAGCGAAGACCTATAAGGCCCTACAGGGCCTATTAGGGCACTCTAGGGCTAAGTGGTTAGACGGGTATATCGCTAGCACCCTAACTCAGGCTCGAGGAATCGCTGCAACCTCGATCCTAGCACGTAGGTAGCTTATAACACACGCTATACCTACCCTACAGCACACACTACACCTACCCTATAACACACACTACACCTACCCTACGGCACACACGACACCTACCCTACGGCACACACTTCACCTACCCTAAGTAACTCACACTTCACCTACCCTGTGATACACACTCTATCTACCCTATAGTACACACTCTACCGACCCTGCGACTCACACTCTACCTACCCTTTGGTACACACTCTACCTACCCTATGGTACGCACTCTACCTACCCTGCGACTCACACTACACCTACCCTGTGGTACACACTCTACCTACCCTGTGGTACATACTCTGCCTACCCTATGGTACACACTCTACCTACCCTGCGACTCACACTACACCTACCCTGTGGTACACACTTTACCTACCCTTTGGCACACACTCTACCTACCCTTTGGTACACACTACGCCTACCCTCTGATACACACTTTACTTACCCTTTGGTACACACTCCACTTACCCTGTATTATCTCCTTCTATCTCAGTACTCTACCTTCTGTACCCCTGACACCTTCAGGCTCTTACCCTCTGTATTATTAGTATAGTCCTTCTGTATTTCAAGACTATTAGAGAGAGATAAAAACACTCGTCGCAAGCTAGCGTAGTTAGAAACAAATATAACCCAAACCTTAAACCCTAACAGCCAGTCCATCATGAAACAATTATCGTTACTCCTATGGCTCGCTTTTACAAACTTCTCCAGCTCTCTTGTCGCCAGTAAGAAGACCCCTTATCCTCTAAGGAACACTCGTCGTATTGTGCATCATTTCTGACCAAAATAACACAGACCCCAAAACTGCCTAACTTCTTCAGACAAATCCCACAGAAATATCCAAGCGGGACGATAATGGAGGATGCGGACCTAACTACAGTGGTCTCGAGACCCGAGCTGTGCGCACTGAGACTCTCATTTACATCCGGCGCAATGCATCCGCTCTTGACAGGCGAATGGAGCTTCCCGAGCTCACTGGAGAATGGACCATGGGAAACTTCTTCCACGACGGAAAGCTCATGTGGACACCATTTGTTACCCGAGAGTCGGCTGAAAAGCCGAAAGACTTGAGTGCTTCCATTATCCAGGATCTAACCAATTTAGGAACTGTAAGATACAACAAGGGCAACGACGTGGCAGTAACACAGTTCAATACAGGCACAGCGGAGCTAAAAGAACGCACGAAATTGTACATAATCAGTCGAAAAGGGGTCTTTGCTGTACTTTATTGGGAAAGCGTGTCTTTCGAGCCCGACGACGAATGGTTAGCAGCTGATCAGGTATGGACTTCCCCGGCCAAGCAAAAGACGTTCAAGACAACAGTGCTCGATCTACTGAAGAATGGAAGCAAATATCACCCCGAGCTGAAGAGGAAACTATTGGAGGACGAGCACATTAAGGCGTATCTCATTGGGTGGAGAGAGGAGGGAGCAAGTGGCACCGGATACGAATCCCAGTGGACCCAGATGAAGGATATGGTTGCCTCGATCATACCAACACTGACAGATGATCGTTGGTGTGGAGATCAGATACACACCAGTCAAGGACAAGGACGACTTGAGAACAGGTACAAGGCCGATGAAAAGAATGTCTTCAAATATGATTCGCAGCATCCGGTAGCAGGGACCGACGAAACACTGCACAAAGAGGCGTTGTGGGTTAAATGTGAGTAAACACCATATCATGATGATACTTAGTAGAATCGGAAGCACATTTATTCAACCAATTTGAGGAGACCCGAGCTTCTTGGCTCGTGGACGTTGCAATTCATAATTGAGTGTCTCACAATAGGGGTCCAAACTGGAACCCATGAAATATCTTCTGTGCCTTTCTGTCAATAAATAGAGTATGGATATAATATAACCGAAATCTTAAACCCCTGTATCTGTTTGTGTTCCCTTTTTAAAGCAAATCCCTTGATATACATGTAGAAGCCCATAGCTATGAACCTCGCCCAATCCTCATAAGTCAACCACTAGAACTACTTGCTTAGAAAGCCTTAGGATAAATGAAACTGTACATAGCTGCGAAAAACTTTTAGCTTTGTTTTGTATTTGAATACCCTAAGTCTAGAATAGTGTGTTCCTCTTCCAAAGCAGCACGCTTGAGCGCGAAGCTTGCTTCATCCCAACCCTAATCTCCCTTTGGTATCATATGGTATGCCATTCTTTCGCATAGACAACAAGGTTGGATTTGTGGAGTTAACTGCCGAGGTTGCACTGGTGTATTGGCTGTACTCCAAGAGCTCGTCCAGGTCGTCCGTCAGAACTCCAAGCCGTCATTCCACCCACCAGCTCGGAAAGTGATCAGTCGAGAAGACAGCGATAGTTTGGTAGTCCCACACGCTCTGTATAGCGGGAGATTCCTTTCAACAAAGTAGATCTATATCTTGTATAGAGTTCCGCGCATGCCTAAGATCCCTCGCGTCCATGAAATTCGATAATTATCTCGCGGAGTAAAGGGAAGACAGGTGACGAGCTCTACAGGACGTCAGGTATGCCAGATAAAGTAGGGATTGAACTTACAGGATCTACGATCTTCTCTGGATGAACTGACAAGCAGGTGCAGCTTCCTTGGTGCTGCCCATCTTTGGGATCGTCGGCAATCTAGACCGTCAGCTATTGCAACTTCTTCCAGAGGTTCAAGTCCATACCCTAGTCTTGCACATGCAGCGCATCAATGAGTCCACCGTGTCGGCCATCAACTGTATGTTCTTTTTCTTGCGTTCTTCTGTATAGCTTGTGCAAGGATATCTAGATCTGTCAGCAGGTCGCAGATCTAGAGGGTCAGAGAAAGCCTTACTCGGTAGAGATCTTGAGGATTCTCTTCTGCAAGAGGACTTTTCTGAGATACTGTTGGATGTCAGAGAAGAAGTCGGGGTATATCATATTGCAGTCTCTACTGTAGAAAACCGCAGCAGTGATAATTTTGGACTTCTGAGCCCTCAGCGCAACGAATTGCAAATATAATTTGCCTCCCGGCTTCACGGCTCGCTCGAAGGCTGGAGAGACCTCGTCACTTCTTTTCGATCTGTCTAGGAGATTGGACGATGTACAGTCGATAGTTACCTGGCTAGAATTGAGGATTGATGGAACCTTGGTTACCTGACTGGAATTGAGGATTGATGGGACCGTAGTTACCTTTCTGGAGCTGAGGACTCATGGTTGAACCGTAGTTGCCTGGCTAGAGGTAGGTATTCTGGACGCCCGTCTGACCGAAGTTGCTTGGATAGAATTGGGAGGCTTGTGGAGCGAAGGAACTCTGTACTGGAACAATTTGCTGTTGAGATTGCATTGGGAGAAGCTGCTTCATCTGCTGATTAATGTGACGTTGCAACTCCTGCATCTGAACAACTCTGTGCTCTGGGTGAAGGCATTTGAGGTGACATTGGAACTATGCTGAGGAGTGCTCTGAGATTGATAAGAGGGAACTTGTCGGGGGGTTTCACCTGGAAGGGATTGCAATTGGTTCAACAGACCCATCTCTGCTTGGGATGGTTGATGATTGAAGGATGGCGTTGGTAGTTGGACCGAATAATCAGTGCGAGCGATTTCCTCCTGAATAAATGCCTTGTTGGCAGCAAGGCTGGCATTCTCCCAGTTGTTGCTGCTCGAAGATGCAGTGTCCCATGTTGACTCCTCTGTTGATTCTTGCTCCTCTGAGGGATTTGCAGCTGGTAGATCCATATCTGCTTGGGATGCTGGTAGTTGAACCGATGAAACAGTGCCAGAGACTTCCACTCGAACGAATTCCTTGTTTGCAGCAAGGCTAGCATTCTCCCAGTTGTCGCTGCTTGAAGTTGCAGTGTCCCAGCTTGACTCCTTTGTAGATTTTGCGGGGGCCGTGTCCCAGTCGCTGCTCGACCTATTTGCTGGTTCATCCTGTGCCTTGGAGAAGACATGATTGAACGATATAGTGTTAACACCATATTTTTTTGCCTTGTGAGACTCGTAGGTTTTTGCGGTGATTTGAGGTAGCATCACATCTGCAAGGTTATTCACGTTCTCCTCAATAACTCTACCGGTGTCTCTGAAATACTGAAACATTCGATGAAGATATTGAACATCGTGAGTCTGGTCTACCTCTTGAGGAATTCCATGGTCTTCTTCGGCAATTACACCTTGCTCGGCTTCTGGGAGTGGGTCTTTTGTCTTACGAGTCTGGATAGCGGCATCAAAATCCATCATGAGCAAGATTCCATCTCGTTGTCGAGACAGAATAACTGCAAGGCGGTGAAAATCGGCGTAGAAGCCGACCTTTCCTCCCATGTTGGCTGCAGCGGTTCCGTCGTAACAAAGGAACTCGTCTTCCGCTCCTTGAGCCTTGTTGGCAGTTGAGATATGTAGTTCAGCCCAGAACGGATCTGTTAGCTTGATCTTCCGATACAAGTTCTGCTGCTCGAGGTAAGGAACAACAAGAAGGATCTTATGGAGTGTGAGATCAGGAACACTGGAGAAAACAGAATTGATGTACCGCAACATCAGATGGACATTAGCGGTTTCCCTGGGATGTACCGCGGGGTTAATGTAGCAGAATTCTTTTCGGACATTGACTGCGAACGGGTTGAGAGTGCCTGCAGGACACGCCTTGATGGGCGGAAATTTCTGCTTGGAATTCAAGCCCTTTGAGTGCAGTGTTTGAGCCCAGGATCCAATTCCTCTTCCCAAAGTAAAACGATCGTCCTTAATGTCAAGACCCTTGTGATAGGTGATGGGCTTGCGGTAGATGACGAAGTTGGCGAGATCAAACATTCCGGGAGCCATTCTCAGCTCCTCTTTCTGATCCCAGACAGGCCAACCAAGTTCAGTCAGTCTGTGGAGGAGAGTCTTCTTGCCTTGATAGGTAAAGGGGTTGTAGACACGTGCTGACTCAGGGTACCGAGCATTGTCTGATATCAGAGTTGGAGGAAGTCGAGAGACATCTCTAGCGAGAATGAGCTTCTGCTTTCCGCCTTTTCAGACGGCAAGGATCTTAAGTTCGGTGGACGCACTAGCCTCATCGACGGCGACGAGGTCGCAACGATCTCTGAAAACCTTTCCGGAAGTTGCACTAATGGTGGTTGTTGAGAAGGCGAGATTTGCAACAGCAAGGATGCCGTTGATCAACGTCTTGCCTTCCTTCTTGATCTCATTGGACTCCTCTTTGGTTCGATTGCTCGACTCATTTAGCGTGATTTTCTTTGGGGCTGCATACTTCTCCTTGTTCTTGCCCAACTCCAGGAGCTTGACATTGGTGTTGTCGAGAAGTCCAAGGACTTTGCAGAATGTGCCTGCGCCAGAAATGGAGACATCGTGACCGACTTGTCCCTGATGCTTTTCGCGCCTTTCACGAGAGGAATACATACCTTGTTGGGCCGAGGACTTTTGAGGACTGCCAGCGGTCTTGGTGGTAGACTTAGAGACAAACTCGTTGACATTGTTTGGGTCCACGGCTTAGGGGTTAGCCAGCAGAAAATTGACTCCGATCTACTCAGTCCATAGACGTACCAGCAGCTATTAGTCAAGATTGATGAGATCCTGGGACTTCACACTCTTGAGTGTACGACTGACAATGTTGTTGACAGCTGCGTTTGTAGAGGCATAGGCGCTAACGACATCTCCAGCGACTACCCGAGCTTGGATCAACTGAATTAAGGCTGTTGTCTTGCCAGTACCGGGTGCTCCAGTCATGAGTAGGATACCCAGTGGGACCTTCTTGGCAAACGACAATTTTTCTGTCTTTTGGTTCTCAGTGGACCGAGGATCTTAGTAATCTGCTCATCGGTGAGACTCTTGAGGAAATCTCGGTAGGAGAGACTTCTAAGGCTGGGTCCTTTGAGGAGGTTGCGGAGCTTGACATGATCAACTGGAGGCGGGAGGGAATCCTCGGGTTGATCATCGTCGACAGAGTCATCGTCAGATTTCTTCTTGTTCTTCTTGCGACGGCCGGTGCCAACGACTGGGGGAGCAACTTCGTGAAGGGGATTCATCTTTGTCTTGGTGGACAGAGTGGAATCAGTAACCTTGAGATAAATGGCGGTCAAGGCAGCGTCTGGAGACCACTTGTCGCAGGCTCTGAACAGGTTCTTATCGTAGTTACGGGGGGGAGTGACCCGAAGCAGGTAGTCACCTGCATGTGGGATATCATCGGCGGCTTCTACGTAAGTGGCCTCCCAACCTGCAGAGTCGGCTATCTTCTTTCCTTCTTGATGGACTTAGGACGAGGCTTGAAGACAATCTCCACAGACTCGTCGTCATTCAGGAGCTTTCAGCGAACCCGTCGATTCCGATTAGTTGCAATTGTGATCTAAAACGAAGGGAATACTCGCGAACTATCTTACTTCTTCTTCCGGACTGTCATCTACATCCCAATCTTGGCGTGGAGTCCAATCTGTGAAGGGCAGTATTAGATTCGGAGATTCGCGAATTTAGAAACTTGGTGAAGATCTTTCGTCAACAACAGGTCAATCGTCCACGCGAAGCCACACAAGATCGTCTCCACCTATCGCATGCGTAGTTCCCAGTTGACTGTGACCGAAGGCTTGACATTCATTCTTGACACGAATTTCTGGAGTGCGTGCTTTGTGGAAAATACCCACGAGTTCCTGCTGAGAAAGACTTCTGCACCAATTGTGAACCACTCTGCGCTACATGCCAGTAGCTGCATTGACAGGCCTGGTCTTGGTGGCTTGCCCAGGAAGCAGTAATCATCCCCATGACGCAAGTAATCCTTGTATAGTGTTGCGTCGATTATCGCATGGCTGGATACAACTGCGTACTGGGCAATCATGACTTTCACCTCCATTGAGAAACCAGACAGGCTGCGGCCGCTGATCACTGGCGGCAAATTTTGCTCAACGGTCGAGGATGTATTGCAGGCGCATCTTGTAGGTTATGGGACGAACAGTGTTGAGGCCAACGAGTCAATTGTGGGAGATGGTGGCAATCTCTTCGACACTGGGAAACTTGTGGTGATGGCTTGTAGGTAGGTCTCGGGGGAGGTTTCGATTCTGCAGGCTTCGTTGATCGCGAGAACATGGTCTTGGAGTTGGGTTGGTATGAGTGCCGGGCTAAATTATGCTTGTTTGGGGGAGCCATCTTGTTGTCTGTCAGCTCGTCCCTCGCGCCTGGGACGTAGGAGTACTTACGATTGCGCCCTTATTGATGATGGTGAGTAAGGAGGGAGAGCAAGGGAATGGCGATAGTTGTCATTATGGTGTTCTCTGCCTTGCGGCGAGAAGAGAGAAAGTCGACAGCGAGCTGCTAAGCTTGTTTGAGGGTGAATTTGAGATAGCATTTGGCGATGAAGGTAAGGTGAGTTGGCGTCATAACAGTACAAACGATAGCGCTTCCAGCAAACTCTCAAATACTCTGCGCACTCCTTGTTTTCTACAAACCACCTTCAACTCTGTCCAAGGGCCAAATTTTACTTCAAATGGCGCCAACATCAGCCTCCAAAGATACTTCCAATGCGACAAACGTCGAATCCCCCAGGAGTAGTAAGTTTTCCACACTTCCAGACACTTCGCATTTAGGGTTGAGATGTAGGTACCAAGCGGAAGAGAGTCCCCTCCAAGAGCCCAGCTCCAAAACGCCATCTATCTTCCAGCTCCACCCCAACTCAGAAGCCACGTGGATACGGAGAGTTTGCAGATGAGGAAGACACTATTGCTATGGATCCGTTGTCCAGGACAACCCCTAGCCTACAACCAGCCAGTCCAAACTCCCCAGAACATGCGATGACCCGCTTGGTAGCCTTCCTGCGCGCGGTTTTCATATCCGCAGGCCAAGTAGCAGTCATGGCATGCCTCAGATAAACGTTTCCCGCCTCAGCGCTAGCAAACGGTCACCAGCAAGAACACAAGATTACCAAAAGGAAGAGCGGTCAAGATCTTGTTCTGCGGCAAGTGACGTCTCCGAACCAGATCTTGTGATGGATCAGCAGGTGTCAGTTTTCGGGGCTAAACATGGAATGCGCGGAAGATACAGACATGCTCAGGAGAATACAGATACTGAACAAGCTGGAGACTGTGCGAATACTCTCGGAGAATTGAGCACCACCTCTCTTCCCGAACTTGTTTCCGAACAAGAAACCGACCCCTCTGGCACAACGAGTTCCGAGCCTAAACTTGTAACTCCCAACGGCCAGCAAGCTACCTTCGCAGAAGTTTCTTCGCCCTCCGCAACTTCCGACCTGATCTCAGACTATGTTCCCAACTTCCCATCACTCACAATCTTCCATATCAGAATGCACGATGGCGAGATTCGTTCTGTAGCTTACGAACCAATGCACGACATGATTATCGATATTCTCCCAGAGACCGCAGATGATCATCCTGGTTGTCAAATCATCGTTGGAAATGAAGGCAGTCCTGATCTTGTCGCTGCTATGAATACTCTCATCAAAGCCCCAGAACCAATAGGTTAGTTTGTCTAGTCTACACCAGTTAAATCCAATTAATGCTTTGCAGTCTTTGACAGCACAATCGTAAATATCTGCAAGGAGTATCTAGTATCGCCACAATCCTTTCCAAACCACCCTCTACTCCAGGAAGAACTCGACGACATAACATTTGCTCGAGAAAAGTCAACTCCTCCTTTCTTTCTCTACCTCCTCCCTGAGGCTCAGGTAGAATTCTTCACGACTTGGGATATTACCTTGGAAGAGGTAGACAAATCTGCATTCGAAAAGGACTTCAACTACTCTTTCCACGATGCTCGCAGAAACCTCGAAGATTTACTCCAGTCCCAAGCTATTGATATGGCGCTCCGATGGGTTCTTTCAGTTATCAAATCTCTCGAACTAGAGAATCTCCCGGATTTGCGACATTACCCTGAACGAGAAGCTCTTTGGCGGTCAAAGATAACTAACAGCGGTAAGAAACCTCCCTTGCTTGATCTCCTGTACTTTTCTTAACCTTGATTAACTTTTACAGATCTCAGAGTGTTTCTTGAACCTCTTGCCCCCGCAGTCGACGCCAATGAAGTTCTCGGTGATACGAGCGAGTTTGGAGGTCTTGAATACATCACTATGTCCTTTCTCCGACGTGTTGATGACATATTTCTTTATCAAATTCTACAGCCTACATTCCGTCCGTTTTCTCTTTGGATCATGAATAACTTCTCTCGAATTATGACAGGAAAAGGCGTTTGCCTACAGTTGGGTCCTCCTGACGTGTACTGACAGACGGGTTTGGTTTCTAAATTCGCTTCTCTGCGTATCATCAATGTCAGGCCGTGGTGCCCATGGCTGGAATTCGTTGTACTTCCAGGTAATAGCAATTCAAGAAACTTTCCTGCGAGTACCTCTGCTACAAACAATCGTGAAAGTAACGTACATAAACGTCTTGATCAATTCATTACTCACAATTTTACGCTCTGTAGTGTCATATAATTTACGGCTTCAGGGCTTAAGTGGTGTCCGTTGTAAGTACCTTCCCTTTTCAGCTCCCGCGGCAGGCAAGAGGGACCTGAGGTGGCGCTGTATCTGACTAGGAAGGGATTTATGTCCCACAAAATGACGGGCCGAGCCGCTGTCACTCGCTTGTGGCCACCCACGACGCTGCTGCCTTTGGCACGCACTAACAGGAGATAGTTCTTTACTCCTCGAAAACTACGTATCAACTACTTCCAAGAGAAAGGCATTCAGACAGCCGCCCCACCTATTTAACGCGAAGATTGTTTTCAAGTCATTTTATTCCACCAGGCCACGTGCAAAAGTAAGCCCCCACCGTAGCGGCAACATCTTTGGCACCATGGTATTTGTAGCCGATGAGAAAGCATTTGGCGAGGCATTTCTCGACGCTTTTTGGACTGGCAAAATGGCTCAGATTCATCAAGGAATTACCAGTGGACGACTCACCCAGGAACATCTCAATGAAGCCCTTGTTCCTGCTACAGGAAACGGTTTTGAACAAGGATACGCTGATATTGTATCAGCGCTGTTCGCCGCAGGCGCTTGTATTACACAAGATGCGATCGACGCCTTACATGGGGAAAATATGCAGCAGGATCCTGCCGTGATTCGACTTTTCTTCAATCACGGGCTTGATCCTAACGCGACAATCACTGGTGGCGAGCCTGTTCTTGGGAGGTATTTGCTACCTGTTCTATAATAGGTTTTAGTCCGAGACTGATTCGTTCATCGGGTAGCTCCATCCTCGATCTCAGCTGTGCTCGAGAATTCCTTACGCGAGGAACTGATCCAAACGCTTTCGGCCCATCTAAGACTACAGCACTCTATCGTGCGCTCGATGTCGACGAAGTAGAATTAGCTGAGCTGCTTGTTACGGATGGAGCTACGCTGCAGCCGGATCTCCTTTGGGCTACTGTAGGTCTTCGTAAGCGGAACGGAGAACTCACAACTAAGTTCCTTCTTGATAAGGGACTAGATCCGAATCAAGCTGTCTCTGAAAAATGGGGCCATCCTCTACACCTTGCAGCCTTAGCTGCAGAGCCAAATATTATCAAGTTACTGCTCGACGGCGGCGCAGATCGTACCATACCATCGACTGGCTGGAGATTCCCTGGAAAAACAGCTGAGTAAATCGTTCTGGCAACCATGTCTGGTGCGGAAAATCCTGATAATGAAAAAAAGAAGGCTGTCCTTCGACTTCTTCGCTCTTAGCAAACCTACGAGTCAGCTTGTGGATTTCAAATGTCGGGAGCAGCAGCACAGCTAGAGTTGATGGAAATCGTGATGCATGTACCTGCTTTATACCCTGTATACCGGGAGTAGCCTGTCCAGAAACTGTCATGAAAAGTTCCACATATGCGTCAAATCACTTTACTTGAATGTTTTCTACATACATGCAGGTCTTTGCTTTACTGGTAACACATCTCGACACATCAACACACAGCCTCCGTAACCACCTGGAGAACCATGCAGCAGCTAAGGTTACTCCTATAGTTGGCCTTTGTGGTGACTGTCAACTCCCTCGTCACTGGTAAGAAGTATTCCCAACCTTTGTCCAAAGGAGCTTGTGTGTCACAGCCGTTCTAACAGCGCTATCATAGATGTAAAGAGTAATGCCGTTGAACAAGATAGGGGTATCGGAACCATGCAAGAGTTCAGCAAGCTGAAGCCTGTAACAGAGAAGGAAAAGTAGAACATCACGGCAATGTAACGAAATACCCCTTCCAAGGTCAGCCGTCAACGCATTCACTCCACAAGCCCGATAGAACATATCTGTAATGTTAAACGTATTTAGCTTACGGCAACTAATGTGATCTTTTAATCCAGTTAACGTAATTACTCAAAGCTTAACCCCAGTTGGATCACAGCTCCACTCTCGTTCCATTTTAGAACTGATGTACCCCTAGCACTTGTAAAGAGATAGAGCACTGCGTCTACATCGGATCAAGAATCTATTCTTCTTATTTATTCAGCATGCGACTCACTGGACATCATTATTTCCTAGCAGAAGTTCAAGATTTCATGACTGACCTTGTCCGGTTTTTATTAGCACCGAATTCAATGATGACGCGGATCTTACAAGAGACACACCTCCAGGAATTTGAACTCAGGAAGGTATGCTTTCCTCTCGTGCAAAGTGCGAGAATGATCAGGATCAAGTGGGTTCAGATGTGTGTCTATAATACACAGTTCTGATAAGTCTACAGTTTAATGCGAAGCACACAAGCCCCGAATCATATCAACATAATATATAACTAACACGTATATCCTTGCCATTGAGGTAGCGTAAATTCACATTCAAGATTTTAAAAAAAAAATTGTCCTGCAAATAGATTTATCAGACTAATGTATAGTTTAACCAAAGTAAACCTACTCCATCCAGGCTGTGACAATAGAGCTTAATACTCATAATTGATATCGTCGAGCTGATGATCGTGTTTATCATTCAGATGATCCCACATAGCTCTATCGGATTTGAAGCTCTTATGATCCTTGCCTGACTTCCCCTCGCATTGGAAGCAATACCAAAGATGTCCGTGACTATCCCGAATCCCTAGACGTGCTGGTCGTGCAATGCCGGGTACATGCTTTTGCCGCAGGTGTTCGATTAGCTCGCTAAGAGTATAAAAATGCTCATCATATAAGCAGCCATATCCGTTGCAAGTATATGAGTGCGGCATAACGATTTCTTCTGGTGCGACGAGTTCAATATTCTTGTTGGAGAATTTGAATTGCACAGTAAGGATTCGGGCCCGTATTATAATCGAGTTGTGGACTGCGGGGTAGGCAGTGGCGTGAGCTTCCCCCGCCTTTGAGCAGGTCCGTTTGGCCTGGTAACCTTAACCCAATGCAGACAGCTTACTCGAAACAGTGGTGAAAGTGTAAAGACTGCTAAATGGTGATGTCATTACGTAACAATATAAATGCTTCGTTGTTTCCTCCCTCCTCTAATTCCAGGGGTCTCGCTAAATTTAAGGGTGCGTAAAGAATTCTGACACCAACTGGTGAAGTGCATTTGCGTGCTAGATCCGACACGGCCAGCTGGTCTAGAGCTCCTGCCGTGATGCAAAAGCAACCATGAGGTCAATGGCACAAGCTTTCAAAGTGACATTAGCTTCGGGATTCAAGTCCCGAGGAAATAACTAGCCGAGCTAATCTCAACAGCTGGTTGCGTATGAATCGTCACAAATACTACAGCTATACGGCTTAGTATTTATCTAGAATAAGTGGCATAACAATAAAGCACAATATGCTGTCTACTAGGCTTATTATTATCTCAATGCTATCAGCTCAATCTGAATGCTCTCTTCCTCGATTCCATCGCCTCCCAGCTCTCAATACTTAGATACCCAACCGCTAGTCTCTCCCATAATTCCTCCTCCTCCTCCTTCTCCTCCTCTTTCTCCTGCCCCCTCTCCTCACCTTTTCCCTCCCCTCCTATACCCCCCCTCCCAATAAGCATAACCACCCTCCTCCCCCTCTCCTCAAACAGCTTATCCTCACTAAACTGTCCCCCTCTCACAGTCATCTGTATTTCCGCATCGGCGACTGCTATGACTGCGATGTTCTGCGGTTCGTAGGTCGAAGCTACAGTTTGGATCGTGAGGTTATAGTTGTTGTGGCGGAGCCCTGGGCGCACCATACCGTGGGAGGGGCCTGTGGTGAGGAATTCGATGGAGTGGATTGCTGGGGGGAGGAGAGATGGTGGAGTTGTGAAGCTTGTTGAGGGGGTGTGGTGATGAGAAGGGACAGGGAGAACTGGGCTTGGGATGCGGTGGAAGGCGGGTATGTATTCGGCTGCGAAGTGGAGGTAGAGACTAGTGGAAGGAGAGTGCGTGAACAAGATATCTCCTCCTCTCTCATGCGCTGGTATTTCGAGTCCAGACTCAGACGAGGGCCGTAAATTCTTCGATACTTCTTCATGCCACAGCGCCGACTGCTCGCGACGAATCTGCACCCTTTCCTGGCCAACCTGAAGCGTGATCTCCTCGATCCTCGGCTGTATGCGCAAAAACAAGGGTTTATGCAGGTATTCGTAGAATCCATAACTCACTTGTCCTTCCCAACCCAACCAGCTCCACGACGGAGGGCGGACTTCCCTCCCGTCGCTTGACTTCCACATCCTTCTCTTCAACTGCCCTCGTGGAAGCCAAAGTAAAGCCCAGTCAAACACACCTCTTGGCAAGGCAGCAACGAATCGCCAATCTAGTTTCCGGGACATGAATGCTTGGATACCGAGGAATGCGTTTTCGATGTCTGAGGAGTACGAGAGCGTGCGTGCTGTGTATTGGCAGACTATAGAAGTGAATGTTTCCACAGCGGTGAGGGAGAACTTGTCTATTGTGTCGAGAGAGTGGAGAGGTTGAAGAGGACTCAAAGGCGTGGCGTACCGACCTCTGTCGTTCTCTGGAAAGATCTGTTCGTGATCGCTGATGCAGCTGTGGCGACATTCAAAATGGACTTGTCGGTCTACAAAATACAGGCAGCGGCGGGAGATGAGCCGTTCTTGGAAGGTCCATCCGCGAGTCTCGTACATTTGATGGTGAGCGGTTTGGGTGAGGCCTGAGAGGTGGAATGTGAATGGCATGCCGTGCACGACGGACAGGGTTTGGGGACGGGGTGTGGAGACACCTGGGAGGGGGGAGTCGCTGGATGTTCCGGTTAAGGCAACGACTGTGAGGCAGGACAGTCCGTATATATCTGCCATGCGGCTTATTTGTGTGCGTTTGTGGGACTCGTCGTCTTGGATAATGCAGAGTGCGTCGATCCAGAGGTATTGGATGCTGAGGCCTCTGACGACCGCTGCTACATCGCGAGTGAGAGTGGAGACTGTGTCAAGTGCTCCTGGTATTTGCAAACTTGAGAAGTTGCTCGTGGTGGTCTTGAAGATTGGTTTGTTTCCCCAAACATAGCTGAGTGTGATGTACTGGACATTTCTGACTTGGACTAGACACATCTGATTCACGTCGATGAGAATCATTTCAGTGTCGTCTCTCAGGTCTCGCTTGCATACTTCGTGGGTGCTGGCGCATTTGTTGATCATCCTCTTCAATTTGTCAAAGTCAACAAACCGTCGATCCTCAAGCGACATGTTTCCCCTGATCTCTCCACGAACCGTGCGAAGCGAGACTATGGGTCCAAGATACTCCCTGTGGTAGCTCTGCTTGAGGACGAGACATGGCTTAGTAGACAGGCAGTGAGCTGGATCTCGTACAAAGAGTACTTGAATGGGGTCGCTGAGATTGAAACCGTGCTGACTGTCGCTCTCGGATGTACTATCTCCTCTGCGCAGATGATCGAGACCATCTTCACAGAGTGTTCCGATGATACGACAAAAGTCGCAATCTTTCCTTCCCAGTAGTACCTCAGTCGTCCCAAAGTCAATCTCAACGTCTGCTAGTCCCCACTCAAACAAGTCCTTGAAATCAAGTGTTGAGCAAAGTTTGCAAAGTTTGGGCGGATCAGTATTTCCCTTCAAGGTGACGTTTGTTGGTGGGTACATTGTTGTCAGGCACTGGATATCAGCACCAATCCTCGCATATGGGCCAATATTCCATTCCGACCTCTCGTCATACGGAGTCTCCTTCAGAGGAGAGACATCGAGTTTCCAACCCCCAACGTGCTCAAAGCGAAACAAATCGCCCTGGAAATAACATGGAGTTGCGTTTTCGAATCGATTCCGGATCCATTCTCGTTGCACGAGTTGGAGACTCGTCCCCTCTTTGGAAAACTCAGGCACCCCAAGCCGTATATCCCAGGGCATAGGATTTTCGACTTCTTCCGAATCACGAGGACGATTTAGATCACCTTTTCGTAGCTGCCAGTGGAGGTCTGGAACTTGTCGAGGATCTTGCGTACAAATCGTTTTCGCGTGGTACCGAATTGGAGCTTTAAGACCGTCGAAACCCGGTGGTAGCCCACCGAAATGTAAACGTCGTCCACAAGTATCCCAGACTCGATATCCCATCATGAGATACCTCGCTACCTCGTCTGGAGGAAACCAACCAATCCGATCGACGAAGATAGGGCACTTGGGGAGGTTATCTGGGTAGGTGAATTCGGGTCCTGGCTCCATATTCGAAAAAAATGGGAAGAAGGAGAGGGAGTAGGAGTAGTCAGAACTGTGATTTGCACGGTTGTTTTCAAGAAGGAAGAGCATGATACGTGCTGTTGTGTCGTCTACCATTCTTCGTCTTGCTTCGAGGGTCTGCTCGGGAGTCGGTTCTGGTTGAAGCCCCTCTGTGGGCGCCTCTATATCCAAATCTGTGGGTATGCATCCTATAGGAAGGGAGGGAGGAATAGTGATTGGAGGAGGAGAAGATGGGATTGTGTGACTTGGTGATGGACTCCGTGCTTGTGGGTGGGGAGGACGAGGATGATGAGGAGGAGGAACAGCAGGAGGAGGAGGACATAAAGTACCAGGAGATAATGAAGGAAGTGGAGGAGGGTGAGGTACGTAACCGAGGTCAGGACTTATGGAACGAGAAGACCGCCCTGAAGATATCCTAGAAAGCGAAGGAGAAACGCATCGAGTGGAACCGCTTCTTGATTGATCCCTTGGCCAGCTTCGCGACCCAGAACAAGTACTTGGATTTCCTGAAGGACGCTGTGGTCTAAAGCTTGGTGAGGCATGTTCAATTGTAGAGGCTCGTTCAAATGAACTGGCATCTTCGACAGCTGGAGGCCATGGCGGGGTACTTGTGCAGGAGTCAGCGGCCACTTGGCTCTGACTCTTGATATCGCCTGGATCTGGGTTTGACATCGCTACTACGAGACCCCGCCTTTTTCTGGTTCGACGCCAGAGGGTCTCTGTTGTCTAGCTCCTAGCTCTGGTACAGAGTTGAGGTTTACCATCGAGGCGATTTCTGAGGATGTTGAAGTTCAGCTGAGCGCCAAGACTGACTTCTAACCGAAGGATCTCTACCCCTCCAAAGTGGTCTTGTCGCAACCAATAGAAGAACTCTGCAGCACGAGATCTGCTATCGCTGGAGAACAGACCTGAATTGTTTGCTTTTTCAAGTATCTGACACTCTCAGCTCGTGGTCCTGTCACTCCGAGTCTGTCATACGGAATTGACTTTCAAGATCCATGGAGACTTTCAGTACCAAGGCCCCTCCAGCCAAGCGACAACTCGGAAAACTTGAAGGACCTGAATTCAGCTGAGTACACGACCTTCGCATCACTAACCCTATCCTTCAAGAAATCCGTGAGGGGCTACTCACCTGTATCTGTCGGTAGTTGATTGAAGTCACTGGGAGCCTGGGAGATTCATACTATCTGAAGGCAAAGGGATAATCTCGCGGGGAAGAAGAGTCTAGCATCCGACCAGATGTTAGATGCTGTCAATCCCAGGACAGGATTTTGAACTAACGCAGGTAAGCGATAGATCACCTATTTCAAGCTCAGATCGACTCGTCTGGAGTCAAAATGTCAACTGCAGATGACAGCAAGATTAGAGTTCTGCTATGGAATTGCTTTTGGGTTCCAAACTCCGGTCTGGCTGTTGGAAGACAGGATATGTCTCTGCCACTCTAGGAAGCTGATGACTTTTAACTTTATGTTCGTCGCTCGTCGTTTCAGTTTTGGAGTTTTTTCTCCTCCATCACATCCTCATCATCCTCCAGGATCTTGAACTTTCGTCGCTTTCTCCTCTCCCCCCCCCCCCCAACTCACATGATACTCCTCCTCCCCCACCAATCAAACCCCCATCCAAAAACCAGGCCCATGGTTCAGCAAGCCCTCTCAGACCACACCTTCTAAACCCAACAGAGCGTAAATTCTCCGGGGAATCGGCAAGGACCGCAGTGCGAGCGAGCCCAAACCAAGGTTAGTATGGTTGGCCGGGGATCAAGCCCCACAGCACATTGCACAACCATGGATTGGGCATCAGAGGGGATCCAAGCGGCCAATAGCGCGGCCCATCACACTTGTGAAGGAATACAGAAAATTGTGCAAAGAACACCAACTAGGAATAGTGGAAAGAAAATAACAGGGGCATCGATGTGATTGCCCCTTTCTTTAGAGCTCGGTTCAGCGTTGTGACTGGCCACAGGGCAAGCTCTGACGGCGGACGGAAGATGCACGGTGGACCTGACGGGTAGACCGTTGGAATTTGGCGTCTGATTAGTGCGTGTGTAGTGCAGCGCGGGCAGAGCAGAGCTGCATAATTTGGTATTGCAGGCAGGGCTATGAAGTGCGAGAATTGGCGTGATGGGGAATTGACAGACGAATATAATGGGAGATGGCGGCCCTGTCAGAATTGACAGACGCGGCCGTTCAGATGAGAAAGGGGCGTGTGCGTTGATCCTCGCATCAGCTCTGTCCTGCCCTTTTGTCCTTGCTCTTGCTCTTACAATATTCTTGTGCTCGATGGTTGGTTGTACGCAGGAGATCAGGTAGCCAGAATTAAAATTGGATGGGTATGTTTCGAGGGACGAATTCTCGATATCGTGAAGGAGTACGGACAGAGTTACACTTACACGTTCCTGGGTTGGTCGGCGATATTACCAGGTACGTTCTTCGTGGTTGTTGGATGAACACTTTCAGTCGCGAGAATGAATGTTCCGAACCCTTGCACGTTTTCCCAAGATAATACTTGCCCTCCCCTTGCCTTGTCTCTCCCCATGTTCCTTCAGCTCTGGCCTGTTCTTGAAGATCGAAGGAGAAGGAAACACCAACAGCAACAGCAAGGCACTGCCTGATCGTCGGCAATACCTCGTTGCTATCTCGTCTGCGCACCCTTCGCGACTTGTCTTGTCTTTCACTTTCAACTACCTCCAATGCCCTCTGCTACTTCTACATCCCGCCTCTTGTCTCGCCCAAACACGGCAGATTCACTTTAATTTAACATCAAAAGTCTCACCTCTTTCTAGTCAGGGCCCACCACATTGCCTTCGCCCTGCGTCATGTCCAGTTGAGAAACAATACACGTCGATATTACCATTTCTCCGCCTGGTCAATTGTGCCATCGAAATCACAACAATTGACGCGTCGACCCAACTATACTGCCCGCCCTGTACCAAGATCGAGCATCTCTGGTTCTGATATACCGCGCAGGTAATATCCAACGTCCCGACTACCGATCTATCACAATCAGCCACACACAAAAAGCAAGATGGAGGAAGGGATAGGATCAAGAAGAGCTCGAGCTCTTCCGCGACCAGAGTCGAGCGCAAGCAGCAACACAAGAATGACGCCCAGTTCGAGCAATAGTTCCACTGCACATCTGCCACAGCGAGTTCAGGATCTGACGGCCAGAGGAGTTCCTGGGAGCTTGTTGCAGGATCGATTGAGGGAAAGAAAGGTGGAGAGTGCACGGCAGAGAAGGAGGAGCATTGATATGGCTGAGAGAGGCGTACAAAGTTCACCAGTCAAAGGTAACAGGGAGGATCGCAGACCTAGTTCGAGTGGAATTGTTCCTGGGAAGAATATGGGAGTCAAGCAGATCGAAGATGTGAGCGTGGACGGCAAGGATCAGGGAACACGGCTAATATACTGCAGGCTGTATCGACGTTGCACAAACAAAACTTCGACCTTAAGCTAGAGCTCTTCCACCGCCGCCAACGTCAGGAAACTTTGGAGGCAAAGCTAGAAGCTGCTGAGAAGAAGCTTGAAGAGCAGGCTGAATTGGCAGATATCAATGACGATCTGCTAGCGGAATTGGAGAAGAGAGACCAGGCTGTTGAAGAGGCCGTGGGAATTATCGTCCAATTAGAGGAGAAGATTGAGCGGTTGATGCAGGAGAGGGAGGATGTTAAGGCATTCGATGCGAGTTATGAACCAGGATACTTTCCGCAGGAAGACTTCTCTAGCTCCCCACCACAATTCGACAAGGAACAGGCCACGAGCAAAATATCCCGCATGCCATCATTCTTGTCGGAAACCACCGAAGGTAATGAGGCATTGAGAAGTCTTTACCTTCCATACAATTGTCAAAGCGATTCCACCTTACCGAAATTATCAGAGGAGACCAATGATGGAATGGATAGTCCGAGGCTCAGTATTCTGAGCGAGAGTTCTTTCCTTAGTGTTTACGGCAACAAGTTACCACCACTCTCACTGGACGAGCCTGAGGAGCCACGACGACACCGGAAGTCCTCTTCAGTTGAGAAATGGGTTGATGATCGTCCAGAACCAGCTGTTACACCTCCAAAAGCCGTCCCAAGTCTCCGGAAGAGTCAATTCCTCTCTATCAATGACGTCCTCGAATCGCCATTACAACGCCTTGAAAAGTTGAAGCACACACTGGAGAAGACTGAGAAAGGTCTCAATTCCACTAGAGATATCACTTTCAAAGATCGGCGTAGACCTCGAGAGGTCCGTCAGGTATCCACCGAGAAGAAGAGCTTTGACCGTCAACATACTCTACCTCCCACGCCAGATACCATCGGGACCAATACCTTGCGGAACTTCAGAAGCTCTACCGAGACCTTGTCGCAAAATCATGTGGATAGCAGGTTTCTCAACAGTACATCAACATTCCCAAATGCAGCGCATCACGCTTTCCAATCGCAAATTTCTATCCGCCCAAGAAGCGCTGGAGAGACAGTAACAAGTAGACGAGAAGGCCACGGGTGGGACACGCCATCACAAGAAGACAACACCGATTCAGGGAGTGTATTCAGTACATTGAGCACTCATTCAGCCCAATATGGTCGCCGCAAGCGAGTCGTAGCACCCGATCTGTTCTCATTTTCAGGTGGTGATTGGGGACGAGGTTATGAACCTACACTTCCCGCTCACACTGCCTCACGGCATGACACAATCCGTCGCTCTAGTTTCACAGAACATCCTCGCAGTGACGACACAGTCACTACCTATCGCTACGACGACTCTCCACAATATGGAACGATCCCCATCGACACCACACCAAAACCTGAATTTCCAGACCGTCGTTCTAGCCTATCAGCTGTCACCAAACTCCGCAAATCAAATCCAGGTCCTGCACAACCACACAATGAATCTGCTGTATCCAAGGAGAAGAAATCGCGTATCCCCAATCTCCGTATGTTCGGCCGCGGCGAATCGGCTCCCCCACCTTCCAGCCCAACCAAGACATCATTAGGCCAATGCCCACCTCGTCCCAAAGTCGCGAATGCCAGTCGCTCATCAGGCTACTTCGCAGAACACGTAAACACCAATGGTGCATACGAGGAAGAGGACCAGGCCAGAGCCACACCGCCGCCAATCATGCGCTCTAGGCCTCAGAGCTACCGACCTGTTTCTTCGGCTGTTGCTTCACGACGAGGCGGCTCATTTGTTGATGAGCAGGAGCAGGGGCAAAGTCAGGGGTATGCTAGACGGGATAGTATGAATGGAGCGGCTGGGAATGATGGTGGGGTTGCTGGGAAGGATGAGGAGAGTGGCAAGAGTAAGAAGTGGTTTGGGTTGGCGCGGGCTAATAGTTTGAGGAGGCATTGAGGTAGATTGAGGAAGGTGCACGATATGCGGTGGTGCTCTGATACTGGGGCCTAGGGTCTGCTGATTTTTTGTACTTGGTGTTTCGGTGATTTGCTGGTTCGCTGGTTTGCTGGCTTGCTTTACGTCGGTTCTCCCTGAGCCTACGGCAGCAACAGTTCATCGTAAAGTGTAAGTTAGGCGGTGGGCGCGCGTGTATTTTGCTTCTTGCTTTCTTGCCTTTCTTTTTTTCAGCTATTCTGCTTCTTTGTTGCTACTTGCTTGCGTGCGTGCGTGCGTGCGCTGGTGTTCGTTGGTTCGACTGGGGCAACTGCTACTGGAATAGCGGATTGAAACGAGGCAGGCGTTTTAGCGATACTATTCGATTCGGTTCGTTTCGATTCAATCTGGAGTAGAGGTAGTGGCGCGGAAAAGGAAGCGGTGTTGTTCAACTTTCGCTTTCTGGCTGGACTGGGGTTGCTTCGGGGTTTGTACCTGCGTCTGTTCTTTTGCGTTTCTCGCTGCAGGGAAGTGGAGTTCTTTTCTAGCCTTGCGTTGGGTTGGGTTGTATTATAGGGTCGGACAGGATAGGATACCAAATTGGAGCTTCACAGCAAAAAAAAAGTTTGACAGAGAATGAGAATGAGACGCGCAAGCGTGGAGAGTGCAGCGGATTTGTATTATAGAATTTGAGGGGGTGGGAGTGCGCAGGAGCAAGGGAAGAAGAGAGTGGGTGTAAAGGAGCAGGAGAGGAGGAAGGCGAGGAGAAAGATGGCAGCCTTGCTTTACCTGTGTTCGCTGGGCTGGACTGGACTGGGATTTATAGCAAGGGCGGATAGATACTACTTCATATCATAGCATGGCGTGTGGCTACTGCTGAGAGAAACAGAGCTTGATGAATGTCTTCTGCATGCATTTCTCCTGCTTTAGTGTCTCTTCCTCCTACCTACCTACCTATGTTTGTTCGCGTGAAGCCGGAACAGCAAGCTGCAAGACCGGAAGATATCTACCTTACTTTCCGTTGACTTCATTACTTAACTTGCTTATCCGTTAGATCTTCATGTTGTTCGGGCGCTGTGGAAGGGAGAGATTAGTTTGTTGTTGTTGTGATGATACGGGTGAAGCCGCTAGGCACCTACCTACCCAGCTGAAGAAACTCACTCCACTTCTGAGATGGACAGAGTTGACACAGAACGTGTCTGTCTACTTCTACTAGTATTGAAATAGGGAATTTGTCGGTATAGTACCGGTGAACAAGTAAACAAAGGTATATTTAGACGTAAGAAGAAGGTGTTGCAAAAGTTTGGCTTGAAGATGTGTATTCCAAAGAGTGTCCAGGGTAGAATATATATACCCTATCCAAATGCCCTCCGGTTCGCTACTGAACGGAGTCTGTCACCCCGACGAGGACTGCCCGTCCCCCTACTTGCCTCCTATCTTCCTCTTGTAGGGACCTGTGGACTAACATTGCATGAGTATATTTTGATAACTGCGTTCTTCATGCTTGCTGTAATTTGAAAGCCCGATCCGCTGCAATATCACACATAGCCTTTTCTGCCGTGTTAGAGGCACTTACAGTTATTTGTTTGTCAATTCAGCGAACTTACTTTAATAGCTTCCTTTCTCTCAAGCTTGATATCTCCTCTATCAATTCTCGACCTCATATCCTCCATAATCTCTCCTCGTGAACGTCCATTAACAAAAACCCTAAGAGCGATCAATTAGTCTATTCTGTGTCCTACGAACGCCGCAAAGACTTATCACTCACACATAAATCAACCCCGGGAACGCCTTCTCATACTCCTCATTAAGATCCTTCAGCTTCCTCCCCTCATCCTCCCCTCCAGTATTCAACTGCGCCTGTTCAGCCTGCGACTGCGCACTATCAACCTTCTTTGCGCCAAGTCTAGGATGAGAACCGAGGATCTTATCCAGCCAATCCGTGTCACTCGTCGATGGACTTTCCGCTAGGTCAGTCAACTGAACACCCACGCTTGCAATCAGGTCGTCGTAGGATTCGAATTTTTGGGTTTGGAGAAGGGAGAGGGAGAGGGTGTGGAGGGCGTCACATGGCTCGAAGAGTGTGTCTAAGACCTTGATGCGCTCGAGGGTAGGAAGGGAGGGGAGGAGGGAGATGGCGGGAAGTTTGGGAGTGGACATTTTTGGAGGAGGAATTTTTCATGTGTAGGTAGATTAGATAATGATGAAATCTGTTTGTGAGATATATTTTTGTTTGGTATAAGATGGGAATGAGAAGTAGAAGGCTTCAGAGCCTCGTCTCGCCCGGAACCGCCCTCGAAACTACTAGCTTTTAATGAGCTAGTTCCCGCACACCCTTGTTGATGTTTCCTCTATCGAAGACCTCAAATGCAATCTCGGAGAACACCCCTCACTCTCCACCTGTGAACCTCTTCATATCACGCACCATGTGTTTTTTCTGATCTTTTATCGGGTAATTCCACGCCTAATCCGCCCTTCACGTCCCATGGGCTTCAGCACAGGATCTGTGGCGCTGGTATAGTTAAAGCGGGAAAATGCCAACCAATCCACGACTTCCTTTCCATACATTCTCGATTAAAGTATATGACTGAGCTGGCATTCGGCGTGCCCGTTTATTGGGAACGCACTGCTTCACACTAAGGAATAGGATAGAGCGGATTAGGAAACAGAAAGAGAGAGCACAGCGGCCAAAGTAAGATTTGCTGTGGAACTGATACTTGTATTATTCCTATCCTTAGATTCCACCGACCCCAGTTGAATGAATGCCTATCAATAAAGCAAGGCAAGGCATGGAACAAATCCATTGAATGCCAGTAGCGCACCAAACTGATAAATACAGTCCCGACCGTCTTAACGCCGATATCTATGCATGTGTGCATGGGATTCCTCCCATATTTACTACCTATCTCGCTATCTTGCGATACACCATATCATCTTCTTAACTGTCCCCTCTCTTTAACAAAGCATGGCGAGCCGTAACCAAGACAAATCCAAAAGCGCACCCCAGTTCCTCCCTAAACCCTGGTCTCATTATTCCTCCCCAACGTACTCGGGCTCTCCGGCCCCGCCTCGTCCTCACTCATCAAGCCCTCCAACTCAAACTCCTCCGCATCCCTAATCTGCCGGCTATCACTCGGATTATGTCCATTTATCCTCGGTAGTCGCGGTGCTCTGGCTGTTGCCCCTTCAGAAGGGGAATCGATGTCCTTGGGTGGGACGGGCGGTGAGGAGTTAACGGCGTAGAGGTGAAGGAGCATATTAGTGAAGAGGAAGATGAGGAAGGCGAAGGAGTAGAGGACGAGGACGTAAGAGACGTGCGTGATGCCGGCGTCGGAGATGAGTTGCATTTGTTCTTCGGTGGCGCCCATAAAGAGGAAGCCGGAGGCGTAGAGAAGCTGGGAGGGGTATTAGAGGGGTTGATTATAATTTGTGGAGGGCAGACTTACGAATGGCGTAATGTATTGGAAGCTGTTTGGCTCCCCATCTTCCGTCGTTGCTGCATCTCTGAGCACAAAAGCAACTTCAATGATACGACCTAGACCTGCCGCCATCAAAGTATACCCAAATACGACATGTACCATGGTACTGAGTGGCAGATGTTGAGGATGTCCAGACATAGCCCAGCCGGTCAATAAGATGACGAATCCAGGCACGAAATTCCTCTTTGGCGTTCCATCTCTCTTCCTGCTCAACCACACACCTGTCAAACCAGCACACCACCAAATAACACCCATAGTCGTATGCTGGATATCGTTCGCAACCCACGCACCTCCCCATCTATGTTCCGTGAAAGTATTGACACATCCCCACGCCGCGATCAATGCCGAATCGAAGAACTCCTGACTCCGTCCAGACCTCCTCAACCATGCCTGGCCCACCAACATCATAAGGGTGAGGATGACTCCATATCCAATAAACGCACTCCCCATAATGAAATGGGCAAGACACTGCCCTAGATGATCATCCCTACAGAATCCCAAGGCCGTAATCCCACCAAACAGCATCTGAACCCACGCCACGACCGGCATAGCCTTCCCGACAATTCCATGTCCGTAGACGGCAACCTTGCGGATCTTACCGTGGAAGCCCTTCGTGATGTGGAATTTGAGGTAGATGCCGAAGACGATTTGGACAATCAGCATGAGCATGAGCCAGTTCGCGAAGGAGGCGTGGACGTTGTGCGAGAAGGCTCGGCCTTTGTGGAGGTGCCCGAGGAAGTAGGCTGGTACAGCGATGGCGGTTCCGAGGATTTGGAGGGGGACGTGCCAGCGGTTGCGGACTATCTGCTTATTGTCAATAGGGACATTCACTGAGTACGGGTGTATAGCTTACCCCAAGAACCATTCCTGTAGGGAAGATGATGCCGAACGACAGCATCATGAGCAGGATGTGTATCCATAATATAGCATCCTATTCCAATCAGCATTTATCCTGTATTCCAACATCCGTATTCCACCAGACACAACATACAATAGGATCGTCGGAGATCCATTCCCCAGACACAATCTTCGACATTTCGTGTTCTCCTCCGTGTGCAGCGACGCCGTTCACTTTCGCAGAAAGGATAACTGCGAGCGAGAAAGCCAGCGAAGGCGTAAGAGAAGTGATGGACGGCGTTAGGCGCGCCATGTCTGCGATTTCTTGGGGTTTAATCCACTGTCTGTGTCTTGGTGTGGGATAGGAGAGGAATCGGATGATACTCGAACGATAGGAGGTTTCGAAACGGGGGTTGATCCTGGACCTGGCGAGAGTTGGGTTGTATCGTGGTGGATCAGGATCAATCGATTGGAGATTGGAGATTGGGCAATGGCAGATCTGTCTGACGCTCGAGAAACAGTCAAGTTGTCGAGGGAGTGTAGAAACAAGTGCTGTCGTTGTCGTGAGAATGGAAAGGTGGCTCGGAATTTGAAGGTTCGACGCGTGTAATGAGGGTGCCCCAATTGGGTGGATAGGAGGTGGATGTGGAGTTTGGTGTTGAGTGTCTAAATGCAGTTGGTGGCGGTAATGCGGCTCGCTCGGCGCCTGGACACTGCCGGCTGTTTCGGGGTTGACTTGCTGAACTTTCAGCGAAGAAATGTTGGATGAAAGATCGCAGGTCGAGAAATCAATTGTATGAAGAAAATTTGAGCAGAGATTGCCAACTTGCTATGCCTTGATCTTTTGAGAACTTAGGTCCTTACACACTTACATTATCTTCAAACTGTTGTCAAGCTGGTAGCTCCGTCCTCATCACATAGAGGCATCTCTCACCCAACTCGGGAGGTATCTCTGAAAACATCTTTCCATAAACTCTTTTGTTTCAATTCCAAGTATTCTAGAACAGCGCCAGTGTAAAGCTTCATGCTTTTCTTTGCTTGATATCCATTGGCATTGTTTAGTTTCTTGGGTGTCTTGTCTTCTGTCACTTGTCTGGATCACATGAAGGCCGCCACTGCGGCCTGGCAAATCAATTGTCCGAAGAAGTACCTACACACCCAGATTTGCTCAAAGTATGAGGCTACAGGATGCTACGATCAGAGGCACAAAAGAGAGAAACACGGATTATTACTTCAAGGTCTTGTTTTGAAGCTCGACTACCTACTTACCTATCTACCTGGTGCTACCTACCGTCGGCTTATCCACGTGATTCGGCCTCCGAACACATCTTTCGGCTCGTTCTCGCGAAGTTCAGACCTCAACCCATCACAATGTGATTCCTCAGTCCTGACCTTGCAAAGCTTTTCCAATCAAAATGACTTCATCTGAAATGCCACCTGGACCAAAGATCAAACAATGGTTCATCGACACACGACCTCTCTGGCCAGTTCCAAAACAAGCGAAATCACAAGATGAAGTGGCAGCACTCAGGACAGTGGTAAGCTCTCATCTATAGTCCTAGAACTCAGATAGTTGAAAGAGATACAGCATACTACAAGACCTACAAACTAATATAAGCACAGGCTTCAAAAGAACTCTCCCTCCTCTCAGAGGCAGAACAGAAAAGCGTCCTTCGATACTACCATATCCGCGACGCCAAAACAAAACTGGCATCCCACCTCCTCAAGCACTTCGCAATCACCAAATACGGCGGCGTAACCTGGAGCGAGAGTTCCATCTCACGCGGCGAAAAAGGCAAACCATTCTTCATCCCACCGAACAACCCACCACCACCATCAAGTCAAGATCTAAACGTATCAACAACCACCCCCACTGCCGCCACCAGACTCGATTTCAACGTCTCCCACCAAGCCGGCATTGTCTCTCTCATCGCCGCCATAGGACACTCATCACCCATCGATGTCGGCACCGACGTAGTCTGCGTCAACGAACGCCAAAAGATGGACTACAGCAGCATCGACCGCGACGGCTTCTTCGCCTGGGTGGACATGCACGGCGACGTATTCGCCTCCACCGAACTCAGCGAGATGCGACTCAAGCCCGTACCTGTCGACTTGCGCGTTCGAGGCGCGAAACTCAGCGGCTACGGCATGGATGCTATCTCTCGGTGTCAGTGGAGGGGCAAGGTGTTGAGCGTCAAGGCTGTGGGGCGGGATGGGGAGGATCTCGAGGTTAGGGTTGAGAGTGAGCGTGTTGTGGAGGGGAAGGTGAGAAGGTTTTATGCGTGGTGGTGTGTGAGGGAGGCGTATGTTAAGATGACGGGAGAGGGGTTCGCGGCGACGTGGTTGAAGGAGTTGGAGATTTTGGGGGTGGAGGCGCCTGAGCCTGGGGTGGGTGTTGTGGAAGGGGAAGGAGAGGGAGAGGGAGAGGGGGACTTGTGGGAAGGTGAGGTGAAGAGGGAGTTTAGAATGGCGTTTGAGGGGAGGGAGGTTAAGGATGTCAAGCTGGAGTTGACGGCTTTAGGAGAGCAGTATATGATAGCCGGTGCTGTGCGGGTACCTCAAGGAGTGGAGAGCGTTAAAATGGGAAGTTGGGTGCAATTGGATCTGAAGGATATTCTACAGTTGGCAGAGAGCTCGAACAGATGAGACGAATAATGAAACTTAGAATACAAACATCATACGACCTTTTCTACTCCGCATCGCAATCAACCTTTCGACAGTGCTCGAGGCACCTCCATCACCACCACAGCAACCACCACAGCCAGTCCCAGCTACACATCCCCAGCGACCCCATGTACCTCACCGTCATTGAGTCACCAAACCCAGGGTTTCGAAAAACTTAAACTATCTAAACGCATCATGATCCGCCCAGGGAATATCTAGCTTTGTCGAGTACAGATTCCGAGATCCCGAATGTAGTCAAATTTTCAGGACAGAGACTTCTGAGCAGGTGAAGAGTCAGGTAAAATTGTATACATCGGGGTTTGCTCCGAGCGCGGGTTAGAATTACTTGCTCTTTATTTGGTTGGCTGGATAGGAGAAGCGAGGCGAACCGTCAGTAGTCGAGCAACCGAGTAGTAAGATGGAGGTATTCAGTGATGCAAAAGTAGTAGGAAGGTTCTGGTATTTCGATAAACCTCGGAACACCAAGTTGTAATCATTTCACTCAAATAAGCTCTCCTTGACGCCATCTTGTGTCTTGGTGGCACGTCTATGTCACGCATTTGCAAATCCCGTCGGAACACCATCAACACTCACTATCATCAGGAGAAGCGGACCGATCGGCTTAAGCGACAACATCACCTTAGGCTTGTTGACCCGTAACTTCGTAACAGCGACCCCTAAATACAGCTGCATGAAGCCCTGCATCTGGTTAAATTGTAACGACTGCAGGCCCATCATTCCGAATGTCCTATACTTCAATCTGGATACTGTACTTGTTCCTGTACAGCGGATGCAGAGAGAAAGAAGACTCATCGACAGGTTGGTGTATTTCGGGTTTTCTTCTTCTTGCAAGGGGTCATGCTCCATAAACACTCGAGTCAAGTTGGGGATACCCAGGTCGGTGAGAATGATAATAGGAAGAAACCGGCAATAGGCAGGGTGGGAATTGACTGCCGGCCAAGATTCGGGATTGACTTTATCCTGGTCACAGCACAGCAGAGCACGCAGAGCAGAGCACGCAGAGCAGAGCAAAGCACCTCACAGCTTATGCTTATCTCGCCATCGTCGTTACTTTCGGGGTATCGTTTGACGCGATAAGGGGTCGGCTTCAGTGGATTACTGCAGTGTTGTCAACCAAACACCGCTATTTCTCGTAAATTTACGGGAAAGCAGCGAGGGACTGCTGCAGCAGGCCCGGGTTGGCGTGAGCCTCAACTGCACCACACCCTTACATTGCGCCCTATCTGAATAATCCTTGATGACTCGAGATGCAGCATATTCTCATCTCTTCTAGATAATATCAACAATATCTTTATCTCTTGCTTGTTTCCATCTTCCTTCAATCTTGTCAATCCACCTCTTCCAAACACTGACCAACATCCACGCTCCCCACGACTTGATCCACGTGGTCACTGCGGGACTCTTTCATTGTCATCACTCCACCCAGTTGTCCCCTCCCTCTCACTTGCACCATCGTGAGCTAGGAATAGTCAAGGATTAGATCCCCGTGTACTCCGTATCGGACTGGCACTAACACCAAGACATACGACTCGAGAGACATCCTATGCTGTTGATTTGCCCCCAAGACGGATTCATTCCTATCTACGCTATTTGTCCTTCTCACCGATCAACTATCCCTTCAAATACATACATCTTTTACATACATCTTTCCCTCACCGAGTGCTACATTCTATCTATCAATATCATCGCCCCAACGCTCGCCCGCCCGCCCTGCCAAGTAAGCACTTGTACGACGACGCAACTGATAAGGGGAAGCGGATGAATCAAGCTCGATAGTCGCACGACCTCCACCTCCCGTGCGCTGCATAACTGCACCAGATCAAGATTCCCATACAACCTGCAGTATCGAGATCTGTCCGAAGAAAGTCTCACGAAACTCTCTCCTCATCATCACCATCAATAACTAAAACCTCTTTATTCCGGGCGACCACCTCTCACTCACGATCCATCTGCGCCCTCACTATCAGGCCAACATGGCATTCCGCCAGCCCACCTTCCACGCCCCTCAACGCGTATATACCGCTCCCCCAGCAGAACCACAGCAGACCACCCAACCCCAACCGTCCCTCCAAACCCAACAGCACCACAACATCGCCGACTCGCAAGAATGGATCCTCTTCTCCCCCTCCGCAGCATCGACCACCGACCGGGGGTACACGACCTCGACGACGGCACGAACGCGCACAGCGGGCCGCTCGCGGATAAGTGATTTCGGGAGTCTAGACACCGCGGCGAGGAGTTATGATTACGAGGAGGGATCGGAGGAGGCTATTGACGAGGAGGAGGAGGATGGCGAGCTGGATAGTCTGGATAGCCACTTGCACGAGTTCAGGGCGGAGCCCAGCGTGTATAGGGAGAGTGGTGAGGCGAGCGGGACGGTCCTACCGACTCATGATGGGTTGGGGAGTTTCCGAATCGATCAGACGGCTATGGGGGAGGATGTTCAGGAACATCTATATGCGTTTGAGCGGTACAACCCAAGGCGGGTGAAGCGACGGAGAGAAAGTCTTGAGATAGGGATATTAGAGGAAGGGGAACGTGCTGCAGAGGCGGAGAGGACGAGGAGGATTGAGATGTGGAGGATGGAGCAGAGTAGGTTGCTGGTGGATGAGATTCAGAAGGAGACGAGGAGGAGGAAGCAGAGTATGAGTAGTGAGCGACGGGCTGTTGTTGAGGATAAAGACGAGGATGCTGCAACGTTCAGTCTGGTGGGTGAGCAGGCGCCGGATGAGGAAAGCGATAGTTTCTGGAATCGGATCACGAGAAGGGTTATACGCGATCTGATGGGTATCGATGACGATCTACTGGCTATCATATTCGGGGAATCATTACCTGGAGAGGACGACCTATCAACCACACCACCAGCTTCGCAGAGTATAATCCATTCGAAGAAGTACGATGAATCCTCCTGGGAGCATCGATTACTGGAACGAGTAGCCCAGGAGTTGGGGATACTAGTCAGCCAGCTATCAGACCACCCAGAGGCCTTCTCCACCTACCTCCACTCCCAACAAACACCTCTTCCATACGCCGGCCTCCCAGTCATCCCAGAAACTCGCGACCACCCCATCGAAGCATCCACCCTCGCATCCCCCGAATTCCACCCCACCATCCAAACACCAGCCATCCCCATCCCGAGCACCTCCCTCGCAGCGGGGGCCGGCGCCACTAATAACCATCCCCCACAACAAGACGAAGACGCCACCCCACGAGCAGACAACCCCCTCCAGCCCGCAGCGCTCACCCGCGAAGAATGGGAACGAGATCTAGACATCAAGATGGTATTCCGCTATCTGCGGTCGAGATTCACTTCGAAATTCAAGACGCAATCTCCTCTATCTGGTGGGATGGGCGATTTCTCCACGGGGGGCACATCACACCTTGCTACGGCGAGTACGGCCGATACCGCTGCTCGGGCTGCTCGAGTCAGGCAGCATCATCCGCTTGTTACTAGGCAGACTTCTTCTTCTACAACGGGAGGGGAGCGGAGACGTAGTATTGAGAGGAGGACTTGGCGGGCTAGTGTGCCTGGTGGTGGTGGTGGTGGTGGTAGTCCCGCCAGTGTTGGGGTAGGAGTAGGTGTTGGTGTTGGCGTTGGGATGGGTATCAGACGGGGAAGCAGCAGTTGTGCGAGCGAGAGGTTGAGCGTTACTGGACGTGTGAGGAATAGTGGGAGTAGCAGGCATTATTGGGATTTCGGCGGCCAGAATAGTGTGGGGAGTGGGAGCTTGATTGCTAGTACGGGGGGTATGGGGAGTTGGGGGGAGGTTTAGAGGGGGTAAGGTGTTGGTTGGATGGTAGACTTATACTTATATAGGAGGAGAATCTATTTGGTTGCGGGCGTGTTGAAGACTGTTGGATGATGGGCCAGGCAAGCCTGGGGATAATAGAGACGGAAGCCGAGGAATGAATGAGCGAATGAGGAACGCTTGTATGCAGAGCGATGTAAGATACGATTTATATGACGAGATGAGACGAGATCAGATGACATGGGTTTTGGGTTCGGATAGCATGTTAGATTCCTGGGCGTTGAACATTTCTGATTTAGAAGCGAGCGGATACTCAATTGGATTCAACTCATTTCAGCTCATCACGTACTCGGCGGCATTTTGCAGCTAGTATTCTCTCGTCTTGGTTGCTGAATGGTAGGTGAAATCCTTGTATTTTCTATGTAAAGATTCTGGAATGACATGCTCGCAATGCTTTCGTTCACACAATCAAGCTCTCTAAAAATGCAGCGTTGCTCGCCCGCGTCACCCCCCACCATCATCTCTCATCCATTCCATAGCTCAACCAAGCCACCACCCTCACCTCACTTCAACAACTCCCTAATCTCCCTCGCCGCATTCTTAATCCTCGGATCCGTGGCCTTCGCCAACGCAGTAGAGATACTCTTCTCAATGCCATAAACATCCTTCGCCGCGCTCTTGACTTCATCATCAATATGCAGGATCGTGCCCGTCGCAACCAGCGCTCTGAAGACGACTTCCGAGTCGGCTTGCGAGGAGAGGATCTTGGAGAGTGTGTCGACGATAGCGAGGACGTGTTCAAATGACGCGTTGTCTTTATCTGAGAGGAAGAGCACTGCGTAGTTGATATAGACGGTCGTAGCTGCAACCAGCAGATTGCGGTTCGTGCTACTCTTGATGGCTGTTGAGACGGTGTCCTGGATCTTCTCAAACTCCTTAATGGCCAAAACGCGGCCTTCTGATGAGGAGAAGAGATTGGCGAAGGCGCGGGTAGCCATCATGACATGGTTTTCGGCAGGGGAGTCAGTCTCCACGGCACCGACGAGGAGGAGGTCGACAATGTTGCCGCCGGGGTGGTCGAATTTTGCGGTGTCCGGAGCGACGATTAGGAGACGGAGGAGGTCAAGCCCTGGCATACGGTCTTTGTACGGCCATGTTGTGACGAGCTTGATGATGAGATCTAGTCCGCCGTCTACGTTTTGAGAATTGGCGGTTGCTCCTGAGTCGTCAAGGTGTTTGCAGAGTGTGTTCAACGTAGCTGTCTCGCTGGGACTTAGCCCAAGATCTTTCTGCCCGCTTGCCACCAATGCCTGGCTCAGCTCTCCAATTTTCTTTTGGATCGTAGGAACTCGAGCAACCAGTATTGACAGGTATTCCTTCTGTGGAAGACTCTTTGGTGGGGCTGCAGGGACACTTGGAGTACTGGGCTGATCAGGTCGGTATCGGTTTTCGCTCCCCCAAGGATCGGATGCTCCGGTCTGTGCCTGACTTTGACCGATAGTAGCTCCTTGCGTGTTCTGAATAATAAAGTTCGCTACTTGCTGAAGGTACGTGATAGGAGCCTCGTTGTCTTGAATGAATTTCGTGGCTGCGTCGTAAGGGTTCTGAGATACATTATATGGTAGCTTCAATGGTGGTTTTCCATCTTCCATGTCCACATCAAAGACAAAGTCGTACTCCTTACCCTTGTACTCGGTCTGTAGAGATTAGCGAATGAAGTCTTGCTTGGAGGTCGAACTTACCTTCTTACTACTGCTACCAACGGCATCAACCACAGTACCGACTAAAGTCCATTCTCTCTGGCCTATACAAGTTAACGGACTGGTATTGACGCAAGTAACCACACATACCAGATGACCACGAATGTGCTGTTACTGAACCGTCCAATTCTCGAATTGTCACAATCTGCCCATCTTTGGTACCCGACTTCTGGGTCAAGAATTCTGGCCCCGGCATATTCTCCTTGTTTACGTCCAGCGTCTGCTGGGGTATTGACGACGCCTTCACAGCATCTTCAAACTGAGCTGTTGTCTCTGCATTTGCAAAACGTTCTGGATCTCTTGTGAATACTCGTACTATCCGATCGCTGGCTCCAGACACAATATCTCCATTTTCTGCGCAGACAGCAACAGACCAGACAGATATCGCAGGGTGTGTAATAGTCTGAATGCATTGATTTCCCTTCCATACTCTCAGTGTCCGATCCTCTCCAGAACTGACCAGCTCTCCGCTTGGTGATGCAGCCAAAGAATAAATGAAGCTTTCGTGACCACGCAATTCGCCTACTTGCTGCCCTGAGATCTTCCATAATCGAATGGCGCCATCATTATCCGCAGAAGCAAAGTCGCCACCAGAAGGGTGGCCTTTGGGAAGTCGACATAAGGCTCGAACTGGAGAATTGCTTGCTTGAAATGATTGTAATAGCTTCCCCGCCTTGTTGAATATGCGAATCTTTTGGTCTGCACATCCAGTAACGATGGTTTCGTCGTCATATGCCAAAACAGCCCAGACCGTTCCCTCGTGTCCTCTCAATACTGCTGAACATTCCCACTTCCCCACAGGAAATACTCTCGCATCATGATCCCAAGATCCACTGACGATGTATTTACCTGCTGGGTCGATATCCAATGCGCATACATCCCTGCTGTGACCAAGCAACAGTGCTTCCGCATCTTCTTCTGCAGCCTTTGTTGGTTGACGGACATCAATAACCACGTCCTTCCCACTCGAGATTATCAATCCATCTGGAAAGGCCGTACTTGGTTTTAGGTATGCGACAGTATTCATCCAAGAACCGGCATGAGAGGATATCGTTCCATCGTAGAGGGGAGGGTTGTCGGATAAGAGTTTCCATAATCGAACTGTTCCATCTCTTGACGCGGAGAGAACTGCTTTCGAAGAGGGGAAAGCTACACCTCGGACCTGAAGAAGTCAGTATCTGAAGATTGCAGGTGATCATAGACACGCAGCCGCAGAGTAGTAGCTCTTGTCCAAAGCTAGGTTGGGCAGTAACCTACATCGTCATCATGCTCTGCCAGAATGGCTGATATCTTGTATTCCGCCATATTTGGATTGCCCACTTGCCGCGGAGACCTTATCGAACAGATCTTTTCTTTTATTGTATTGCTGATCTGACACCTTGGGGCAGATTTCTTCCGCAGACCAAATCCTATTCCCAGCACGATTCACTGTCCGTTGTAAAAGGAGGTTGAAGCTGGCCGTAGGGGTCGATTGTGGGGTTAATTCTGGGTGCTCGGTTCCAGGCTATTCTCTACAAGGTCGCAGATGTATTTCTAGCAACGAAGATGGTTTGATTTGAAAGCGAGTACCAGGGTACGTATTCGTAGGAATTGGAGTGGATTGCGGGTGGAAGTCGTGTTTTGAGAGTGGAATTCCACAGTTGACCATGAGCTTCCTGCTTTGTAAATAGAGACGAGGCCAGCTCTCTAGCCGACGGCAGCGCCAGCCTCAACCCCTCGCCAATCTTATCGCAAGTGAATCCGATCCGACTGTCTTAAGCCCAACTGGGTCTAGTAGCTGCCGAATATCGAGCCAGCGACCCTCCACTTCATCTCCTTTCTTCTCAAAGAGCCCACCGCCTGTGGACATCTTCGAGTGCGCTCTTTGTTGCCTTTCGAGTTCTTGCTGATGCTGAGGAGGAGAATCATTCTGCAGACGCTGTAACGACCTTAACGACCCGTGCAACGAATCTCCTTATATTTGAATCGACTTGAGTCAGTCAATCAACAATCAATCAATACCACGATTATCCAGTCTACACACGTCTTAAACCACAGACGGAGAACTACCGTCCGTTCCACGACCCTCGATTTCGACTATTCCTGTGCTATAAACCATTCTTTACACCAACAAAATCTGCGCTTTGCGTCCCTCGAACTTCTCGACTTCTTCAATTTCTGCGATCGGATAGATCCACTTTCTGAAATTATGGCCGGCACCGAAACTACCAAGGCTGCTGTCGCCGTTCCTCTCACTTGCCATGGTCATTCGCGACCAGTTACGCATCTCGGCTTTTCTGGGTTTGTAGGGGAGGAGGAATACTACATGATATCTGCTTGCAAAGGTATGGGATACATGGTGGGTTGTTTTAAACAGGCTGACAAGAACAGACAATAATCCTATGCTTCGAGATGGATTGACTGGTGATTGGTATGCTCAACACATCGGGAGGTACGGAGAGTGTTAACGATGGCAGGATTGGAACCTTCTTTGGACACAAAGGCGCCGTTTACCAAGCTCGACTTTCTCCCGATGCCCACACAGCGGCAACTGCTTCTGCAGATTTCACTGCGTAAGAGAGCCGAAGACAGAATTGGGACAGACTGACTTTTCTGCAGCAAGGTATGGGATACCTACTCCGGCGAAACAATCTGCACAATCCAACATAATCACATCGTTCGAGCCGTCGCCTTCCCACCCGATTCTAGCACTTTCCTAGCTACAGGAGGAATGGAAAAGAAGCTCCGAATCTTCGATCTTTCTGCTGTCGATGCGGTCTCTGCCCCCCAAGCAAATGGTACACCTGTCACTAATGGAGGAAACGGACGTACACTAGTCAATGCGGATGCAGGTTTCGAAGTCGGCGTTGGGGTTCACAAAGGCACAATCAAAGCTATCGTCTGGACTCGAGACCCGAACGTCCTCGTTACTGCCGCAGATGATAAGGTGATCAGATGGTGGGATCTGAAGAACCGAGCTGTAATCCAGGAGAAGGTCGTAACGGGCGACATTGGCTCCTGCGAGTTTACAAATGTCAAGGCGGAGCCAGGAGATATTGGTGGAGGCCTCCCAGTCTTGACAATTGCTGCTGGCAAGACTGTCTACTTCTATGGAGGAGCAGATTCTCGGACTTTGATCAAGAGCATTGATCTTCCGTATGAAGTTGCCAGTGTTGCCCTGAACCCTGTTCAGCGACGATTCGTTACAGGAGGCGCAAAGGATACTTGGGCTAAGCTGTACGATTACGAGACTGAGACGGAGCTGGGTATGTACACCTCCCATAAATCCAAAAAGGCTTTACTAACAGATTTCAGATGTCCACAAAGGTCATCACGGTCCAATCTGGAGCATCAGCTACTCTCCTGATGGGAAGCTCTATTCCACTGGTAGCGAGGATGGTACTATCAAGCTTTGGAAGAATTGCGAGGGAGGGTACGGCTTGTGGCGTGCAAATGGGACTGCTTAATTATGCTGCCCAGGGGTACGAGCATTCTCCGTTCAAATACGAGGTTTTCCATGCGAACCCATCCCATCCATTGCATCTGGAGTGAGGTCAAAGCGATGTTTTTGTTTTCCTCGCCTGCAGTTATGCGAGGCAAGGTTAAGCGAGGTAATAGAGAACTAGATTCGCGTCAACAAAAACATAATATTTGAATGACGGTGATCTGAGCATCTTAGACGAAAACTATAATCACATACAGTAGCTGCAATTATCATGTTGGCCGCATCGAGTCTTTGCATGACAGTAAATGCGCCTCGAGCGTCTATACCAGTTCAACCAACATTTCCTGTGGTGATGCGGCAGTCCAACTCTCATATGGTATTGGCACCAATGCGACCCTTTTTGCTCTTCCTGTTTGATTTCTTAGAATAAGAAGCGCAAGGACAAGATTCCCAATCTCCGATCCATCCCTCGCAAAGAGATGGGAGCTTTCAACAGCGGTCCAGGTAGAATGCTCTCTGATGTGTTCTTGCCAGTGGACCATGAGCACAAATTCCATTTCACAGCCGAGTTGTTCCAGTTGTGAAGAGGTTTCGGGGTCAACGGTGAAGCACGCCATGTTGATATACGCATTACCAACTCCTGCATGCATACAAGGTAGATCGTGCGAGTGAGGAATTTCGAGGCACCACAAGTCATTGTCCGCCGTGCTTAGTCCATCACCCTTATCTCCATTACTAGGCTGAAAGGTTTCATCTTTACGTGCGACTTTGACGGCTTGAAGCCTTGCGACTTTGGAAGAGATCAGCAGAGAGGGTTGCTCGGATTTTTCATCTGGATAATCAATAACTCGGGCGATGTCTCTTTCTACCACTGAATGCGTGTTGTCTTCATATCCATCAATGTCAACGAAGAAGATGTCTGGCCGGCAATCATCGGGGTGATCCCGCCGCCACATTGGTATCGTTATTCCACCGTCCCATCCCAGCCAGGTCCATGAAGGAAAATCTTTCCGGCGATGAATAGATTCATTCTTCCACAACAAGCTTCGAATGAAGTCTTGCTTCGGAAGCCCGAAACAGAAATCGACGCCGGCTAGTTTGTTTATTCTGGATAACAGTCCGGAGAGTGCAGGCAGGGCATCAGACCTCTTTGTCAGCTGTCTACGGGTGTATGCAAGCAGAACTGAGCGGAATGCATATATGTCAAATGGCCCAGGAAACTCGTCGAGAGGGAAAGGAAATTGCTGGGAATCCTTAGGTACAGGGATCGAACACCGACCTTGTTGACCATGATCAGAACAGTCAATTGCATCGTGGAACTTTTCCTCTTGGCAGACCCAGAACACCGACTCATCCGTAAAACAGAGTAGACGTCGGGAAAGAGAGGCTTCCTGCAATGTCCATGCACGCTCATTCCATGGAGAGATTTTGGCATCGTGCAGAGGGCTAGGAAGTCTAGTTGCCATGATCCGGTTCGTGTCGAGATCACAGTACGGCTGAGGGGCAACTTGAAGTGGTGAACTCATCCCAGGCAGGCCTAGGTGCTTATTCGCTGCAGACAGTGCACAAATCGTCAGAGAAGCTCCTTCATATATGCTTCCATTTGGCTGATGTGGATCTCCCTTTCTCGATCTCCATTTCCGATACAGTATTCATCGACCCATAGGTAACGGAGTCCAACCTTCTTCACCAGCTCCATGGCGTCTGTGACAACTTGACAAGGATGGCTCAAGACCAAGTGCTTCGAGTTTCTAAGTGTGTATGTTGGAGGTTCCCCTTGTGGGACTTTGGAAATTACTAGTTCGCCGTCACCCGTCTCTTGATGTCTGCATGGCGTTACTGGCTGGCTGGGGCCCCAGACGTAGCTCAAAGCCACATAATCCGTCACAAGATCACCTCGCACAAGATTACCGCTGAGCACGTCGATGAAATTCGGCCGGACACGACTGTGCAGCTCAGAGGTGGACAACTTCTCTTTGCAAGATTTATGATTTTCCGAGCAGTTTGATATCCAGGATTTGATCAGATCAACGTCGACTTCCCCATATACCACTTCCCCCTTCGTTCTTGGGCGAACACTCAGTGGTGGAGCCTGGTGAGGTACATGACATAGAAGCCATGAGGAGAGGAAACCTTCATCATATTCCTCATCCTGCTCGATGAAAGTAGGCGAGTTCACTCTGGCGGACGGTGCTATGAAAGTGGGAGGAGGAATGTCATGGAATTTTCTCCAGGCTCCTGGCCCGGCAGTGATTTTGAATGGTTGGTTGTAAGTTAGGAATCGTCGTATCCAGTGCCAGGGAAAGGCAATCAAGCAGACGTTCCGCACAAAGGAGCAGAAGACACAGTCTCTCCGACTTGCGATTTCCGAGAACGTCCCGATCTCAAAGGTGATTTTGTCATCCTTTTCTTCAACACAAAACACCTCGTCGAATGGAATCTGAGAGCACGAGGTACATAGACCTCCATCACTTTTAGTGGGGACCAGCGCAAGGTCTGAAGGTGTATCCTCAAGCAAGGAGTAAAATAAAGCTCTCGTTGCTCCCGATATCTCTCTGTTGTCCGAGTGCCAACTATACGATGACAGAGGCATATTTTCATGCGTCTTTTATATGCCGAGTAGAGGGGTGCTGTAGCAAGGGAAGATTGAAAAGAATTACAGCCGACGACTGTAGTTTTGACGGTGAAGGAAACTAGACGTATGCACAGCCTCAAGGTCTGGCGAATCAGTACAAGCAAAAGCAGCCATCGGGCACGCGTTGCCATCAACAGCCTTGTCAGGTAAGATCCAGACAATCGTCAAGAGAATGCTTCAAGTCGATTAGAGTTGGGAGTTTGCCTGACAAGGCTGTTGTTGGCTAAACACTGGCCCTGGTATCCTTTACATGACAATAGCAACGGCGTAGGACACTACGACGGCGTAGTACCAAGTTGACAAAGTATCATTAAATTATGATTTCGCATGCAACGGTACCTAAGAGGCAAATGCATGACCAAATAGACCGTCCCTTGGTGCCCCCAGGACGAATTTTTCTGAGAACAGTCTCTGGTCTGGAAACGTTCCTCGGACCGCCGTAGAACGGTTTATTTGTTCAGGGACAGTCCTCCACAATACACATGCAGCTCTTTAGAAACCTTATTTGTAGCTGAATTCTCGTACTCCAATTACTATCCTTCAACTACTCTTTATTCTAGCTCACACGTTAACCTTATAGACTAAACATATCTTACATCGATCGATTTAGATACTCTTTAAAACTAAAGTAGGAGTTAATCTTATTCGAAAAGTACTTAGTAATCAAGTAGAATAAAGAGGGTACAAGTTGTATTCCCTCTTTAAAAAGAGATAAGGGGGCTCTTACCTTAAAAGTGAAGATAAGAACTGTCTCTACTAAGGAAAGAACTGTTCTAAGATAGTCCAAGGAGCGGCTATCTGCAGATAATCCTGGGACCGTTCTTCCACCCCTGCCTTTGCCTCAAAGGTAGTGATGGAGTTCATGCTCAATATCAACATCGATTCCAGCATCTACAGTACTTAATCCGGATGGTAGTACTTTGATCTTGTACCGTGGGGTCAGTCCTGTGAGTAATTTACTCACATTTGTGGGACGTTGATTGAAATCCGCATCTGTCGAAAAACTTGCGCAGTTGTGCTCATCTCCTTTGACAGCAACTGGTGTGGTCCGTTGCTATACAAATCGCCAAGAGACCAAGAACCTCCCTCTGCATCTGACATTCATTTATTTACCCAGCCAAGCCAAGCCAACAAAATCCACCTCAACCATGGTAACGAGAACACTTGGCCGCGCCTCAGCCTGATCATAAACAGCATCTTACAAGTTAGCGAAGCGTATCATTAAACGTTACCAAGACTTGAGATTCCAACAGAATAGATTAGATTGGAAGGAAGGAGGTTGGAAGATGGATATGGGCGATGCGAATGCGAGTGGGGTGCGATAAGGGGTAAGTAGTGGGCGTGTGAGAGGGAAACTAGGGGGGGAGAGTATATCTTCTCTCTATCCCCATCGTCTCGCTTTCTCCTTTCTCTGTTTTCGCGATATTTTTCTTGTTTCCTTTTTTATTGTTCGCGCGAAGCAGACAGATGTCTTGACAAAATGGAGGAGGGAGAAGACCTGTGAATTTGTCTGTCAACTGCCGACGAGATAAGCTCCTCCTCACCTCGGTATTGTGGACTCAATTGCTGCACGTACCGACTTGGAACCGATCCTAAAACTTTGTTAATTGTTGTATTAATTAGGTAAGGCTTTTATATCTATATCGTCTTGGTTAAGCTGCCAAAGTATTTAAGAAAGGGATGGGGGTGAGAGTCCATCCATCCCTTGATCTCTCACCCCCATCCCTTGTTCATAAACAGCAAGATCCAGTTTGTCTCTTGCTTCGTCTCCAACCGTCCGTCCAACCTTCAACCTTCACCTCGAATTTCGGCTGTGTAACCAAGAGATACCCCAAAGATACAATCCAAGCTTGTGTAACCTGAATATGCTGGAAACCGTCTTCGGAACCATTCTGTCCTCGGCTGGCCTCGACCGCGAAGTCACGACATCATCTCAGTCTGGTGTCATCGTAGGAGGGTTGACGACCCGGCCTGTTCGAGCCCAATGGCATTCGGTCGTTTCCACTTCACCTAGATTTCCGCCCACTCCGTCGCTCTAGATCCCATGAAAATAACGCCAAATCACGCCTCGCTTCGCTTCGCTGCTTCAAAATGCAAATCCAAAACTCCCACCCAAATCATACACATCCAACCATGGTCTCTCGCTCATCCAAATCTTACATCTCGTCATCCATCCACCACCTCACCCATCCTTCGGCGGCAACGTCTCCAGCGAATCAATCAACCTACTCGTCTCCAAATCCGGAAACTCGCACTTCGTCAACCCATGTACCTCACCCTTCCTCGTAGCAGCCAGCACACACCCCCAAAACCCATAATCAAACCTCTCACCCAACCTCTTCTCATCCACCAACCACGGCTTCGTCGCAGCAGTGAAATGGATACTCCGCATAGGCAGCACATTCGCCGCACTACAGGCGTAGTTCCGCGGCCAGACAGAATTATAGAACGGCATAATCGCACACTCGAACTCCGGTCTGAGGCCCTTGGGAGGGCCCTGCGTGCCACAGAGACAGTTGAGCAGCTCCTGCTCGGACTGAGCCCACTTCTGGCTCACGCAGGAGGATTCCTGGTCGTAGATCATCTCGAGGGCGGAGATGTGGAAGTAGCGGGAGCCTCGGAGGAGGACCATCCCGCCGTTGATGCGGCCTCTGTCGCCGCAGTTGTTGAACTGGTCTGGTGCGACGGTGACGGTCGTGAGGGGGTTGGACTCGTTGAAGATGAGGTGCAGGTCGGTGATGGCGATGGAGTCGGCGTCCATTAGTAGAATGCGGGGGTAGGCGTCGAAGGCCCAGGAGTGGACTTTGTTGAGAGCCACGAGCCAGGTGGTGAGGCCGGCTTCCATGAATTCGGGTTTTTCGATTCCGCGCAGGGCTTGGAACCTGATTGGGACGACTTCATTCAAGGCCGGGGTTGTGTCAAGAAGAGCACAGTCATGAGGGGTCTTGAAGGGGTTGGAGCGAGCGGTCCATTTGTACATTTCCTGGATGGAGTTCATGGCTGGGTCGACGTACGTCACGTGCACGCAAGTCTTGTTGGCAAGTTCCTTTGGTTGATTCAGCACATTACGGACGATGGAGCCGTAGAGGGCGAGCACGCCGGTGCAGTGACCGTCGGGGGTGACGTGGATGACGACGGGGTACTCGCAGCCTTCGATTGTTGCTGATTTGGGTGTTGCGGCGCTGGGTTTGACATGAAGGTGTTTCCCTACTCCACCAGGACCCTTTTCTGTGCCGTGATCATAGGGCGGCTCAATGACGGATTCGGCCTCATTTTTGCTGGGCTCGCCTTCCTCTGGAGGAGGATCGGATGAGCCGGAACGAAGAAGTTCAGAGACTTTGTCGCCGACTTTCGTGGCGAGTGCGCTTTCTGATGCTTTGGTGTAGTGTGCTGTTGCGAGGAGCATAAGGACGAGTGTGGTGATGAATCCGAGGATTATCATGCGACGGGGCGGAAGAGCCATTTCGTGAAACTGGACAAAATGCGAGCGATGCGATAAAATTCCAAATTAATCGAGATATTGTATAAAAGTGGCCGACCAGAAGGAAAGAATTCTATATCCAGGAGTTTCGAATATACAAAACCCACGAAGTGCGATGTGTGCGGACGAAGAATGCGACGAAGAATACGACAGCGAACCAACAAAGCAGACCAGACCAGAGCAAGTAACAGCGAAGCGCCGCGGAACCGAGACCTGTTAAATTATGTACTTGTCAGGTCAGGTCAGGTCAGGTCGGGTCAGAAAGGACAACGTCGATGCATCCTGATGTTGGTTAGAAGTTGGAGGGTTGGGAGTGATAAAATAGGTGAGTGAGTGTGGAAAGGGAGAAAAACCAACGAAGGGGGGAAGCGGTAGCGAGGGTTGGCTGGCTATCCTTAGTACTTATAGTGAGCCACGATTTAGGTGCGAAAGAGGAAAACAAATGGAACCTTACCTAAGATACGATGGAGCCAGTGGGATGGATTACTTGTGATTAGACGGACAATTTAAAGTTGTTCGTTAGCCAGGCGGGATGGCCGCCGCTTGGGGGTGTTCGAATGCGGTAAGGTTTGATGTCAGAGTGGTGAGTGGAGCAAGGAAACTATCGTGAGATAGGGGTCTTTACGTGTCTCGTCCGAAGTCTGAATACTGGAGAGTCTTTTTTTTTCCCCTTCAGGGAGAGAGGTGAAGTACCCGGGTAGGTTTGGATGAGGTTGCGCGTCTTCTGTCTGCGGCGATCTGCAATGGGGGCGACTTGCCAACCAACAAAACATGTGTGATGAGATCGTGGGGCGTCTGCATCCAAGCATTCTCGCCATGTTCTGACCCTCCTGTCGGGCTGCCAAGTCAGGAATCTCGAGGCTTGCTTCCCCTCCATCCTCGTATTATTATTCGACGGATATCGGATTTTATTGGGCTACGCCGTTGACTGGTGGAGCACTCATGTCAAATTTGCATGGGGCTTTGCGGCATAGCAGTGGCATTGTTGTTCGGCCGGTGAGAATTTAGGCCATTAAAACCGAAGCGATATTAATTGACATATTTGCCAGGCTGTGTTGCTGCGTTGCTGCGTTGCATTATTCCCGCATGCCGACGATAGCTTCGGAGGCAGATTGCTGACTGGAAGATCGGTGGTGAGAAAGGGGCTCAGCCAGATGCTGCCAAGGAGATGGCCCGGACTGGACTGGAATTCTGAGCCGCGATTATTTGATGAGGGGCTTTAAACTTCTTGGATCAAAGTTTTGCTCGAGGTGAGCAAAATTCCCTTTTGAGCATCCTCTGACACTTGTAGTACAAGTCGAGTATCAAGCAGTTCTAAGAACCTTTTCCCGAAGCCCTGTCACACCCAGGAAAGCTTTCTTGGTCTGTTCTTGGTGTCTTCTCTTCCATGGATCCAGGACGGGTGGCCCACTATTCAGACTTTTGAAGGTTATTTTAAATCCTTGCTTGTTTCGTCGGTCTTTTTGCGCCGGAGCGAAAGTTTGGATTATGCTAGCTATGATTGGTGCGAGAAACGTGAGGCTACGGAATGGGTTCCGGTTCCAGTAACTTACGTCCCTTGCCTGGACCCTGGACATGGATGCTCAAAGACTCGATATTATTGAAGACGACAGAGACATACTGTAAATGGCGCAGTCTGTTTCTTTCGAGGAACTCACTCGGCTAGGATGTTTTGCCTCGGTTCCTTTGATCATTCCTCCCTGGGGATAAGATTTAGGAAGGAACGGAGGTTGACGTACAGCCAGTCGGCGGCAAACGCTCATCGACGAGTTGACCTGTAATTAGTCCGCGAAAGTTAAGAAACGAAACATACAAGGCCAGAAAACCCGGAACGGCGTCTTTCCAAAGGTTCATTATGGGATCAAGTGTTGTCCATTTTTGTTTTCACTATCTCTCCATGATCCAAATGTGACTTTATCAAAATATCTAGCTCCAAGTACTCGGCACCTTCAAAATCTCCACCTTGATCAACACAACCACGGGGAAAGATAAGAACAATTCCCCTCTTCACTAAATCCCCCCGAAAGAGAACAAAGTTCATCATCCAGAGCCAGGGTTAGGCATGATTATCATTCTCTAGCTTATAAAAATCAGCCAGAAAACTACATCCATAACCACCCAGCACCCATTTCGCCCTCTTCCCCAGTTCTCCGCTCCTCTATTCTACCCCTTCCTAATCCCAGCAGAAAGTTCCCCTGCGAGGCCACCACCCAGCACAACAAACCGTGAATGATTTCTCATTAAGTGAACCGCTCCAGGACGAGCACTGTACATATCAGCTCAGTTCCGCTCAGCCCCACTCCAGCAAAACAATCACTCCCTTCTTGACAATTCCTAAAACATAGTTTTGGAGGGAGGAGAATAACACTTCCGAAAAAAGATATGTCACAGCATAGGACAGAAGAACAATAAGTAGGTGAAGCAAGTGAAGTAGGAGAAGTAGATGGAGTGGGTCAAAGAGGTGAAGAAAGGGAAGGAGGGGTATACCTGATGATGTTGATCCCCATGATACACGCCACTCAACTGGTACCAGCAGCATCTCTCAGTCAGCTCGTTGTCCTGCCCGCCAGAGTCTTGGCATTTGCAGTTGCCGACTGCAAGTGCGGGGGCTGCGAGGAGGAGGGCAGCGATGAGAGGGGTGATGAATTGATAAGGTTGCATTTTCTTGTGGGTTTCCGAGGGGGGAAAGAGGAGGGGTGTTAAGGGCTGGGGTGTGGGAATGGGATTTGTGATATGACAAAATGTGGTGGATGATGTGGTGTGATTGTTGATTATTTTTGGGTGATGTGGAGGTTTAGAGATGAGGAAAGAAATGGGGAAGAGGACGTGGGGATGGATGTTTATATGTGAGTCTATAGTTCAGTGACGTCTGCTGCTTGAGAATCAACATCTCGTGCTACAATGTCTGTTCATCCATCAATGATATACAGTTCTTGATATTTCGTATGAGAATGTCGCCGACGTAATATATGAAGTGTGACAACGTAGCGGGAGGCAAGCGTTCCGAACTTCGTGCAAAGAGTGTTGTTGTATTGTTACTATTATCTCTCATATTTAGCCAATTGATGACTCTATACGCTATGTTGCGGTCACAAAAGTTCCTGTACGAAATCAGGTAGCCAGTCGATAGGTAGTCTAGGTATACGAACACAGACACTTTCCGTTGTGTTTCTAGTATGACTGCAGAGTTCCACCGCATTCACATTAAAGTGGTAACTTTAGGCTGACTGTTGAGAGTCGAGACAATACACGGTACTACCCGGGGCCGCACACTCATCTTAACAGTGACACATCCTGGCTAGATTTGCGATTTCTTTATCTTCGTCGGTACTAACTCAAAATCATACATAAAGAGCATCTAGAATATCCAACCAGAGAGATTGGGTAATAGTAGGGGATGCAATGACATTATATGGAGATACACCATGGTTTTCAGTTTGTCTCAGATCACTCGGGTCTTTCTTTCTTTCCTCTTCACTCCCGAGCTCTCACGATATCTGTCGAGCGTACCGTACTTGTACAACCTGCTACCTCTCCGGGAGTACGAGAGAAATTGCGGGGTGAAATACCAATATCTTGTCACTTTCGGTTTCAGTTTCCAGTACTAAATTCTCCGTGAACAAGAAGTCACCCGGTGTTCTCTATGACGGCCTTCAAAACTGGGTGTTTTGTTGACTTTTTCACCTGATATTTGACATCTGGCGAGGGACTTGAGCTCCGTCGATCACTTGTACTTACCACGGAAAACAACAGGACAGACTGGACATTTTCTGAACATTTCATTGAGACATTAAATACTCAAACCCAACTCTTCGTTACTCATAAATTGTTATTAAAACGCCTGACTGCCAGTCTTCGGCACCTTCAATATCCCCGCTTTATACAATGCAGCAGCCAACTCGAACAACATCCCATCACATCCTTTGGCAGCGACAATGTCGACTGTTACAGGTAGGAACTCCGTCTTGAGAGTTATACTTGATTGGTAGGATACTTGGCCGACTTTTCGGTATTGTTTAGTTAGTTTCATAGAACTCTGTGATACAACATTGGAGGTGGAGGTTGGGAGCGGGAGACTGCTTACGAGGATACACGATATCCGGAACACCTGCAAAGTTCGAGACACGACCGATACTGAAACCAGTCGGGGCACCAGGAGCACTATGTCTCGTCAGCCATGTACCTCCCCGATCGTCAAAGTCACGGAAACAGGACAGGATCGAACAAACCTCCTATATGTATTCCGATAATTCGGATTCCCCGAAGCCCCAGGATACAACAACAAACTCTCACTACAACTCTCCTCACTCTCCAACACCACATTACTTTTCCACCACTCCGTAAACACCGTCTTATTAACCAATGCCTGTTGCTCTGCCTCCGCAGGAAATCCCTGCCCATACGCCCATCTCGTCAACGGAACAGGATTGATGAATGGTCTCCGCCCGTCGTGAGCAGCTGCGTAGTCGGAGTAGAACGGTAGTGTCAGGAGTCGATATTGTTGCTGTGAGATCAGGATCGGGTAGACAGTGCCCATGAACTGGGTGAGAGAATTCCCGCCTGCTTCGACGGGACGGGTAGATGCCCAGGCGGCATTGATGTCTAGAGCGGTGGATGTGGCATTTAGGAAAGTTGTGAGTTTAGTCAAGAAGTCAAGGAGGATGGTTCCAGCTTCTGATGTTGCAGAAGTAGGGAAGCCGGTAGTGATTATCTTCTTGGGAAAGGAGGTGAAGTTGCTGTTGATGTTGGATTTGTAGAGGGCTTTGGCGGCCGTATGCCAGAGGAGGGGATCACGGACTAGAAAGCCGGCTGTGTCCATATCGGGAGAGAGAGGCATAGTGTTGTCGAGGAAGACAAGGCCGGTCGACGGACGGTTCCCATAGCACCCATTTACTCCTGATGGGCTGCGGATAGAGCCGCCTGTGTCGGAGCCGAGTGTGAGGTCGAGCCATTCGTAAGCGGCAATACCAGCTCCTGGACCTGAGGAAGAGGATGATGGGTCTTGGTAGCCATCGCCGCGAGGATTGAATGGGCAATGGTAATCGACCCAGTCTGAAGTTGCAGATTCGCCATTTGCGAATTGAGAAGTCTTCATCTTGCCTACAATGACGGCTCCTGCGTCAATGAGGTTCTGAACTGCTGTTGCGGTCTTGGAACGTTCAGGGTACAAGTCGAAGTATGCCCTGTTTCCAGAGCTCGTTTTGACACCAGTGATATCGTAAATATCCTTGATACCAACTCTTACACCAGCAAGTGGCTTAGCAGCCGTCTTGTTAAAGTACAGCTTCGACGGAACTCCAATCGTTACACTCTGAACACCACTGATAGAAGCTGACAGAACTGAGAAACTCCGATCAATGTTCGGCTTTAGTCCCTCTGTGAAAGCACCCTGTACATCGCTATACAATCGGTAAGCCTGGTAAACCTCGCCAGTCGAAGCTGACATGAAGTAAGGTCCCGGAGGGAGTTCGGTTCTCCATCCTGTGATGCTGTATCCTTGAGATTCGACAGAACTCTGGTATGCACGAGCAGACATGAAAAGTTTAGTTCCGTATTGTGTGAGAGCAGATCCGAGAGGGTATTTGACAGTCGCTGGTGCAGTACCACTGTGTTTGAGGTATACAGCTGAAGTCCATCAGTCATAGTCCATAATCCAAATTCAAGTTCTCAGAATAGAGACGGAACATTGTCTCACCTTGCAAAAACCCAATATTAAACACATCATCGGAAGCCGTATAATTACCCGCCAGCGACCTGAACATCGCAGTAGTAAACGAGCTACTCTTATCCTCCAGTACCGTCAATGGGATCAAATCCACACCGGTGGTAGTCGCGCTCTTTAACTGGTCTGCCGTAGCCGAAATAATGGATACCGGCTCAGGAGCAGCGTAATAAGTGATGCCATTAACTACGACGGTGTGACCAGCTGGAGAGACAAGAGCTGTTGCATATGTCACCAAGACAAGAGCTGTGAGGGCAGCCCGGAGAAATTTGGACGCCATGGTTGAACTGCTACAACTGAGCGAGGCAAATGAGCATGGAATGCTCCAATTGAAGATTTTCCATCCTGCGAGAGGGGAGAGGAGGATATATAAGGCATAACTTGAGATAGGAGAAAATGCACTCCCATACTGCTCCTCCCACCCTTGACACATCGAGCTATGAATATTTCGGCATGTATATATGCATGATATTATTGAATAATTGCTCACCTTTATCTTCTGAGAAGTTCAGGAACGAGCTTGTCGAAGCTATGGTATCCTGGTCAAGAAAGCTTGGTTCCCTGCGTTCCCTGCATGATGGTTGCTCGATAAGGAGGAAACCCCCATTGTTGGTAAATGGTGTGCCAGTAGAGGAGCTGCGATAAGCAATGATTCTGCACAGGAAAGATACTGAAGTAAAAATAGGTTGGCTCTTGTGTTCTTCTAGATGAGTGTACTTACATGAAAGATGGGTTGAGATAGGATGTTTGAAACCCACGGCTGCAGGTGTGCTTGCATGGATTATTGTCCGCATACTGTTAGAATCCAAGACCGGCATTCCCAGTGCTGGCTTACTCCATATTGTCATTTCGCTAATTTGAGAGAGCGGAGAATAGATGTAAGTGATTCCAGTCCCTTGAAACTTGATAGAGTTCTGACAAATTTCAAGCTTAAATTTTTAACTCCCTTAAAGCTTGATGTTACTTTTCCAATCTTACCAAGAGCTAAGCATTGTCCAAGAACCAACCAAAAGCAAAGTGAGGCTGAACATAAACTCATCCATCTCAAGGATGGGTTATTCTCTTACGTTCCATAAATCCCAATTTTAGATGCCATGTCCGCTAATCAGCCCATGGTTGTGAGTGCTTGGCACGATAGATAAGAGAGAGGTCTCCCTCCTTCCTAATTGAGCATGGAGGGGTAGGTGGATCTCTTCTTTGTGGGATGCTCGATTGGAACCACATAGAGTCAGACTCTAATTTGGTGACCTAGGTACATAATGGCATGATAAAATCCCGGGAGTTTGGATAAGTCCCGACGTTGATGTGTTTACTGTCCATTCTTAGCGATGATAGGAGGGAAATTTGCACTTTTATCTGGATGGTGTTGTGACTGGAAGTGGGGTTCTGGTCTCGAATGAGAGCTCGACATTTGTCTTGGTCCGCGGATACGGATGGTGATTGCACCAGGGAACGGACGAGACGGAGGAAGTGAGCAGAAGGATGTTATATTACCATGACTTTGCTTCCTCCCTCAGTTGTGTTCTGGTCTTTACTTTTGCAAGTATGCCTCTCTCATTTGATTTGACTTTGCTTCCGCTTCACGAAATCTTACCTTTTTTGATCTTCTTGTAAGCTCCTCCAGAACCTCATTCTATTTCACATTCTCACTTTTCTGTATATCAAAGAGTTTGTTCTCCTTCATCTTGTGTATTCAGAATCATTAGTCTCACATATCTACTTGCGTTTCGTCTATGCATCCGTGAGGACTTTATGAGGTGACCTAAGTGAGTCATGAGGTTTTCTGGTCAGGCTTATTCATCCAAAGAAAATGATGAGCCCAGTGTAGGTTTGTCTGTCATATGAAAACACATAAAACATTCGTGTCCAGACAACGCATATGATGGATCTCCAGAACAATTCTACCAGCTAGTCCAAAACAGAAGTGAACCCTTCTCTCCGAATAACCTGGAGTTCCAAGTTTAGTCGAAACAATAGCAGCGCCTTCAAGTCTTCCTTCACATAACACCACAGCCTCCAACTCTGTGTCTCAAACTCCTTCCAGCCCTCCCACTATCCGGCTCTGCTCCACGATCTCCCAACCCACTTCCCACTCTATATTCCACCCTCTCTCCATCACTCTCACCATATGCCCCCTCCTCAGTGCCAAATCCCAACCTCCCATCCACTCCAAAAACGAAACCTTTATACCTCGCCAAATACACTTCCGCAGCCGCTCTCTTCCTTGGACCCCTAATTCCTAAGATATAAAACTGCATGGCCTGTCTTCTCTCGCGGCTCATACCGGCTTCGAGTTCTTTGCGGAGTTTGACAATATCATGGTTGAGGAAGGGGCTGTGGGTGTGTGGAGTTCCGAGGCTGGTAAGAGCCCGCGTGAGCTTGGTGAGAGTAGAGGGGCGGATGGTGAATGTGGCTGTGGGTGTGAGGTAAAGGGGCGGGAGCGGGGCGATGTGAGATTGAGGGAGGAAGGTGTGTTGACAGGGTTGATGGTGGTGAGGGTGATTTTGGTGTTGAAGTGGCTGAGAGGAGGATGGATGTAATTGCTGCTTAGTGGGGAGATCCATTCTGGTAAAGTTTGTGGATCTTGTTATATTCGAATATCGATATCAGTTCTTTCTTTGAGTTGGCCTCTTCTTCAAGTGCTGACTGATTCTGAAGATGAAGATGCGATATTGAGAAGCAAGCTGAGTGGTCGTGGTCTCTCAGAATGGGGTTATGTGATTATATTTATATGTAGGATTGGTGGGAATAGGAAGAAAACTTTAGGATACCAAGGTAAGACCTGAATATCATGATTCACAGCCAGTACTTGGGTTGTGACAAATCCTCACGTGAACTGATTGCCCACCAGCTACAGCACCTGGCGCACTGCACTTTCAATATTTCGGAGTAGGAATATCAGTCCCTCATTTATAACAAATCAGTCTGAAAGGCCAACGTTCACAGACCGCAGAATTTATCTTCACTAAATGGATTTATATCTGAACTTCGCTTGTATCGAAATGTTGTCTCAGTCTTGCCCATGCAAACAATGCTGGACTCTAAATATTCAATCAAAGAAAGTCACTTCAGGAAAGCGCTTGCTCTCGCCATTCAACAATCTGCCGCTCTTACCCTTCAACCACTTCCTAAAAAACGCATCCACGTACGCACTCTCAATCTCCAACATCCTGCTCCCCTCAATAGCTCCAAACACCTCTTTGATCTCATGCGGTACTGGCACACCGGCCGCAACAAGTCCATCCAGCAGCACCAAGTAATCGGAATAACTTCCATGTCTGGTCTCAGCAACACCAATCTCTCTCTCAAATCCTCTCAAATGCGTCCAGAACTCCGCCCACGTCGTGTCCATGGTACGGTTATGCCCTTCGGTCGACATGATCATAAATGGTTTTGACAGCCCCAGATTCGTCACATTTCCGATGATCGAGCCATCGAGATTCACGCCCGCGACAAACCGCTGATCAGCCAGCATAGCTGAAGCGGCAGTTGCACCTCCAAGGGAATGGCCTAGAATCCCGACTTTAGAAGTCTGCAAACGCTGAATCTTGCCTCGGGATTTCAAGCCTGGGATTTGAGAGGTGAATGTCGTGTTTGACAAGCTGTCCAGAACGGTCCGTATATCTTGGACGCGGGCATCTACGAATGGGATATATGCGTCGAAGTCTTCGTAGTTGGGAGGAGTGACCGTGATGAATCTCCCATCGGGGTATTCGATGAACGAGGCGTCGAGAGGATGATCGACGACAACAACGACGTAGCCTAGACTGGCAAGATCTTCTGCTGCAGCTGTGTACAGCAATCTCGAGACTCCGTACCCGGTTGAGAAGATCAAGATTGGGAAGTCCGTTGATGCTAGCGGTGCTTTGAGATGGGCCTGTGTGGTGACGGTGATGGGGAAATTTGGAGGGAGACCAGCTTCTGCTGCGATGTAGGCCAGGCTCTGAGGAGGAAAGTCGGGTGCGAGGGGGAAAGAGGAGCAGGTCTTGTCGGCCGGGTAGAAGAATGAGGCTATGATGTCTCGGGGGTTCAATGGGACATTGAGCTCGAGTGCGATTGTGCCGACTAGATGTTTGCCGGGTAGTGCTGGGAGTTGGAGGTTGATTTGAGCGGAAATTGAGATGACAAGGGTTGATAGGATGGACAACAGAATTGTGAGTGGGAAGCGCGCCATAATGGAAGAGTTTCGCGTCTCAAATTCCAACACAGTCCTTGAGATCCGCTGCTTCGAAAATGGATTTGACAATATTCAGCTTCAATTGTTTGTGCTGTGTCGTGGACCGAGTTAAAGGAAGTGACGGATTGCTGCGTTGATAGATCCATGTTCCTAAATGCTGCGGACGATCTTTATATCTTAAACATTGCCTACTGTATGAATCTACCCACGAGGACAGCGCAAATCAGCCTAGAGCTCTGCCATCCCCAGCCTTACCCTACTGAGCACAACAACATTCCACAGATGTGGCCCGCAGCCACTATTGCGTCGTCATTCAGCCCTTCTAAGCTATAGCATATTTGCTACAGATATTCGGACATTGCAGAAATTCTATCTGTTAATTACAGACTGGTGGTCAGAATGTCGCTGCCTGAAAGCCACTTCTGTGAAGCCCGTGACACAAATCTCAGCACTGCCCCCTTTCCAGCTCGGCTAATTTAGGCGAGGAAGTTTCAGTGCTGCGGATATCAAAAGGCTTACAGTAGTGGACTGTTTTGGGGGTGTGGTCATTGTTGGAGGTAGTGTAGTGTGATTCATGCGTTCTTGAACTCTTTCAGGAACGAGCAGTCAATGGCTGCTTGTGGAGAAGTAGATACATCGTGGAGTCACGTGCAATACAACTCGGATATGTGCGTCAACCTATCGTCTCAAGCCCGCTTCATGTTCAGAAATTGACCTTCACCTTGCAATTTAGACATCCTACAAAACTCATGTTTAGAGCAATACAGTGCTCGTACATAATGCAAGTCCTCACTTCCCTCTCCCGGCCTGGTCCCAAAGCCTCTTCCTTTCCTCATCCGTCATATCTGGTTTGATATTCCTCAGCCTCATTGCCTGCAATTTGATCCATTCCTTACTGGATATAGCCTCCTCTTCTTCTTCCAACTCTGGGATGACATCACTTCCCTCTAGCCGCTTCAGAATGATATCCTCCTCTGGTCTCGCAAAGTACACCAGACTGTACCTTGTCTCTTTCGCTTGCTCGCCCGGAGGACTTACGACACGGTGAATGTTACTTCTCAGTAAACCATTTGTAAACTTCACCATTGCATCACCCAGATTGACGATACAGTGTCCTGGTAATGGTTTCACATACGTCCATTGTGGTTCCTCGCCAGGTGGAGTAAGCGACGGTGGAGGCAAGATTTGGAGACCACCTAGTCGATTAAAGAGGACCGTGATGCTACCAAAATCGGTGTGCTTTCCTAGAGCGGTGCGTTGATCAGATGGAGGTTGAGGCGGCGATTTGACCAGACGGACTTGGTCGCCTGACAGCTGCGATTTGCGATGTAGGGATGTCAGGGTGTCTGATGGGAGATGGAGATGTTGGGTAAGATGCTGGAGAATGAGCGTGACGAGGGAGTGGGATGTGTTCATATATGATACGATGACGTCTTTATGATCATAGAGAACTTGAGGATGATCGAACGGAGCGGATGATATCCCAAGGAAGTCATCTTTCGGTATCTGATTTTGTCAGTCATGCATGATGATAAGCTGGCAAACAGAAACTTACATTATAGAACTCATTTCTATCCAGATTACCCTTCTCGTCTACCACAGCCGAGCCAAAGCCTTTATACCCCATATAACTCCCCTTACTTTTGTAATCGTACTTTGACAGTTCCTCGCGGCCTAGATCATACAGTTTTGGGGCCATGGCGAATAGCTGATCCGCATCCTGAAGTAGTGATTCCCCTTCTTTGTCGCCGCGAAGGTCGAGGTAGAAGAATCCTAGATCTTTCGACGAGGAGAATAATCGAGCCGATTCTTCAGGATCGCTACGTAACTTTTGAAGAGAGAGGCGATGGAGAGGAGCAGTGGGAATGGTGGATGGGAAAGGAGGGAGAGAGGAGAATGACAGCTTGGCTGTTTCGGTGATTGTCTCTGTTGCCATGTTGATGAGAAATATTAATGGAACTGATGTATGATGTCGAAAATGGGATGTTGCAGTCTGTAATACCCATCCCCAGATCTCGGTACTGCGGGAAGCCTAGGTAAATGCGGGGTAATATTGGGGTCTCGGCTCGGGCAACTGCTTGACATCACTAACCACAAATAAATATCTCGAAGAGACCGAGGCAGCTTCATGACCATGAACTATATTTCTATCGCAAAAGCAGCGCATATTCTCAGGCAAATCAATTGCAGGAAATTCCATAGCACCAGCCAGCTTTAAGCAGTATTCTCTGGAATGTCAGAATCAAGCTCGATCAACGCACAGTTTCAACGCACAGTTCTCCTTTCCATATCCGCAATCAGGCCTCAATCACCTTCAAATAGCGACCCATGTTCACCTTCGCGTCTCTGGCACAGGCAACAACTGGCTCGTTGTCCACGACAGCATATGTATTAGCAAGCACGATAGGTGGGAGCCAGTCAACCTGTCCTTCGACGAGCACTCTGGTCCGACGAATCTCGTGCCTGTCCTTGCCGAAGTACCTTTCAGTCCGGAAGCTGATTGTAATTCTGTCAGTGGAAGCTTCTTAATAAATGATGAAACCATACCTCCAATGAGCATTGGCAGATGCTACATCCTGAATGCCTTTAATGTAGCGGTGGACCTGCTTATCAATTCCTTCACCCCATACTGGAAGATCTGCGAGAGCGAGATACCACTGAAGAATCAAAAGTCATCAAGTCATGTCAATACATATGAAGATCATGGGAATGCCCCTATAATGCTATGGACTATGCGGAAATGGTCAATCCGCTACCTTACTTACCTCTCGATACCGCTCCCGGAGCATTCCTTGAGCTCTATCATATGCGTCTTGTTCGGACAGTCCATGGTGACGGAACAAGTGAATGATGTTATGAGGGCAGTCTTGGTATTTTTCTCGATGGTACGAGACGCTGTCATTGGCACTGGCAAGGATTAGAACCTTTTGTGTTCTCCAAACCAGACAAGCGTCACTTACAGCATTTGTATTTCAACACCGATTCTTTCGAGCTTCATCAGAGCCGGGTTTGCAAACACCTTGTCTGGAATGTTGAGACCACATGCATACCTGATCGTCAGCTTGTGTCCGTATAAAGGTCGAAAGCACTGACTCGACCCAAGTGAACAATACCAAGACCCCGATGCTGTGGAATCAATACTCAAAATATCCAGAAATGGTATCATCCAGGGCGATACTAGGTGCGAAGCCAATCGAGCTTCGTAGCGCTCTCAGGTATTCCTTCATATGTTTCAACCACCGTCGCTTCACACCTTTACTTGTCAGCAGCTGGCTGTACATCAGAAGCTCAATCATTACCAAGGCTGCTGAGAGAATCCTGAGTCTGTAAGCCATGAAATCTGTCGATAGCGCAGCTCTCACCATCTGAACCCCGTTCCAGATATCTCTCAGTACCCATTGAATTGGCTGAACGTCTTCTCGATTCACATTCACATCTTCCAGCATTGCCAAGGTGCAGTCGATGTACTTTCGAGCGTCATGTTCAAGAACGCCAAGAGGGCCATCGTCAAGTTGATCATCAAATACGAAGACCTGGCTAAGGTGAGACAAGAAACATCGTGAGAGTTTTCATACCCAGTTGAGCCAGTCTGTCACAACTTTCAGACCTTCTTTATCAACATCTGGTACGGTGACAGCTGCAAAATACGCAAAGTCACCTCGACGCATCCGATCTGCTTCACTCTTATTGTAACGACATGTCCTGCATATTGTTAGAAGTATTCTCAGTATGGCGAGAGTGGAGTCAACTTGATCGTCCAAAGCAATGACTCTTCTCCAGCTTCGTCATAATGAATATTTGGCGTGGGTTCCCGGGACATGAATGACTCAAAGATGTCAGGGATGAGAACCATGATGAATGGTAGGAAAGGATAGTGATTTCAGATTGAAGCAGGCTCTTGATAGTTCGAAGTTGGAGAGAGTCCAACTGAAAATAAGTACGCGAATATGTGCCTCGTCTTGGGATGTAGGTGACTGTCTGGTATCACTCATTGAGGACCAAATCGGATGTCGTAGTCCAGTCCAGCCTTCTGGAAGCAAATCGTGTGCAGTCACCTGGGGGAGATTCACCAACAAATGCCCAAACAATCAATACAACCCCGAGGGAAAACAACGTGATAGGTAATTAGCATACATGGGCTCTCAGCTCGCTGATAGACGTGCAGCCTGCAGGAAAAATATTGGAACGGTGTATACTCCACGACTGGGCCACCTCTCCGCTCGACCTTAGAATCTTTGACTGCCCAGTTCTCACTTCATCCTATTTCATCCCATTCTATACTTTATCTCCATAGCAGAGTCTTGACTTAGATGAGCACGGATAATCTCACCCTAGCATCATCATGACTTTCTCCACGAGCTTCGATGTCACTTTCAATACTTACCATTCAGTTACTGCTGCTGCATGTTTTGCGGTATCGGTCATCATCTTTTCATGCCGTCTGATACTTATCTGACTTCTCATAGATCACAGTCTTGATCATTTCCAAGATTGTATACAATCTTTATATCCATCCACTTGCCGGTTATCCAGGACCAAAGCTATGGGCAGTCTCCAGGATCCCATACAATTGGCACACCCTGCGTGGTACCTCAGTATTCAGGTTCAGAGCCATGCATGAACATTACGGAGATATCGTTCGTTACTCTCCTAACGGCTTGTCGTATACCCAGCCTGAAGCTTGGGATGAGATTTATGGACCATACAAAGGCAAGAAGCACATGGAGATGGATCCGGGGGTGTTTGGTGGAGGTATCACTGTAACAGGTGCTGGCCAAATGTGAGACGTTACGCATCCTATCAGTGGAGCATAAGCTGAACCATACAGTACAAACGCTGTCAATGGCGAGCACAAACGTCTCCGATCGAGATTCCTACGGGCATTATCTGCGAAGGCACTTGCTTCACAAGAAGGAATACTGCAGCACTACGCTCATGAATTCGTCGACGGTCTGAATCGGGAACTTCAACACAAACCTGGCGTCGTTGATCTCGGTAAGTGGTTTACCATGGCCACATTCGACCTCATCGGGGACCTGGCCTTTAGTACATCCTTCGTCTCAAGACTGGGACAGTGCACCCTTGGATCCATGTCGTCTTCGGTGCATTCAAAGCACTGCCTCTGTTACGAGTCATTCGAGAGATTCCGGGCATCAAACTATTTGGCAAACATGCGACTTTCCTGCTTCCGAAGAAAGTTAAGCAGACGTGGATTGATCATTTCAATTATGGTGCAGATTTGGTCGATAAGCGGTTTGAGAGTGGTGAGGACAGACCTGACTTCGCACATTACTTGGTCGTGCCAGGCGAGGCACCACTCACTAGAGATGAGATCAAGGAGAATACAGTACAGTTAGTCACTGCTGGAAGTGAACCCGTAAGTGTAGCACTCTGATTAGTCAAGACAGAATATTCCACATCTGAAATCATGACTGATGAATACAGACCGCAACTTTCAACGCAGGAATGTGTTACTACCTCGCCAAGAACCACAAAGTCTACGAGAAATTGAAGTCTGAGATCAGAAGCAGCTTCGACACTCGCGAAGGAATGACGTTGGCGAGGCTTGCCAATCTTGAATATCTCAACCTCGTCATCCGGGAAGGACTTCGAATGTTCCCACCGGCCGCCGACATCTTCCCTCGCATCATTCCGGAAGGAGGCGAGTTCATCATGGGGAACTTCCTCCCAGAAGGACTAAGTATAAGTGACAATTAGATGAAGTGCGACGGCTGATCAAGAAAGACACATGTCAGCATAGCGGCACTTGCCATTTGTTTCTCCGCCAGGAACTTTCCGGATCCATACAAGTTTGATCCTGAGCGGTGGACTGAGGATAAATTGGCCAGTGATATCAGATTGAAGGCTTCGCAGCCGTTTGGGCAAGGACATCGGTCGTGCATTGGGAAGAAGTAAGTCACCGGTTCTTTTGAGGCTTTTCGTTCTGCTGACTTCAAAGCCTTGCTTATGCCGAGTTACGACTTCTCTTGGCGAGCTTGATCTTCCACTTCGATATGGAGAGGGTTGAAGTTGATGGAGACTGGCTTGAGAAGTGCCGAGTGTTCATTGGATGGGAGAAGTTGCCTCTCATGTTCCGCTTGACTCCAGTCTCTCCTGTCTCCTGTCGTTGAGAAGTGAAGTCTCGTTCTGACCAATGTAGCTGAACAATAGTACTTTCCTTGATATTTTATGCCTTGAGAATGTTAGCCGCTGATTTATTTACGCGGAAATTAGATCGTATTGCTTTGACGGCATAAATTCTTCCTATCCTGTACTACGATGTTCCGCAAACGTGGATGCATCATGCACCTCTGTTGATATCACGTGATCAAAACCTACGACTCTCCATTGCATTCGGAGACTGCAGTCGAGTACCAGGAACATTACCTAAGCTCTTGCAAAGGTTTATCGAAGCTGCAAAACCTTTAACAGTTGTCAAATAACGCCAAATTCTCCCAACCAAATAATAATTAGGCAGCTTTCTGATTAACCCAATCGCTGTTAGAAAGGTGGGAGCCGGATTGGCTAGCGGTTTGGGGGTATTCGAATGAGAGTCTATTCAATTTTCTCGAGAGTAGCAGGTGCTTGCAATCATGATTATGTCCCATGATCTTACAATGGTTAATTTACTAGAACGATCTCTCACTGTAGATGAAAGTCACATGAAAACGGTTCACTGGTGTTGACTTGATAATGGCTCGGCTTTTGTAGCCAAAAGAAAATGGAACTCAACCTCAATGTGTCGAAAAGCAGTTGAAAAATTGGAAACATAGCACTTGAGCGGCCAAAAAAAGTGATGACGGAATATCTATGCCACGAATCTACCCTAATAAATGCACATCGTTACGTGTCCGTCCAGACCTTCACGAATCTTGCTCACGGCAGAAAATAGTCAAGATCTACACCGGATCCGCATGCAGTGGTATCTTTCGACGTTAGGAAGGAATTGGGCATGTAACTGGGCTAACTTACCAAGGTAGTATTGCTTTGCGACGGCGGATGTCCACCCTCCCATGAAAGTGTTGACAGTATTGACACCTGGTGTTTTGTCGAACTGCACAGCCCACAGAGGAAGCTGTGACCCGACATCCGTACTTCTCGAGCCAAACATTCCAGACCATTGATTTCTTTTCCTCGTCAGTAAACTTTTCACGATCAAATGTGTCGGCTTACCCATTAGCATAGATACCCCACTTGCGACCACTATTTTGGAGCAACGAAACCCATTGCCGTGCAAGTGCCGTGTTCTGCGTCGCTCCAAGGTTCCAGGCATTGCATGTGCCTGAAGTGGGTTCAATGTCGAACCAAAGAGTCCCAAGTGTCATCCCATTGTTGTCAATGGCATTCAGAAACTCGGCGAGCTGAGTTGAAGGGCTCTTGCATGCGACGCCAGTTGGTTGTGTTCCTGTGCATGGGAACATGTATGCATCGATCCTGGCGACTCCTGCACTTTTGGCTGCATTGTAATTGGCTACGAAATTGGACGCAACTTGTCCACCCTGGCATCTGTCAGTATCGAAAACAATGGAAATTATCCTTTTGAATGCTTACTGATCCACAAGCTTGTTGATATCCTCTCAGAGCGACTACTTTGTAATTTGAGGCAGCGCAGCTCCAGAATGACGCAGGAGGTGTTGCTGAGAGATCAATGCCTGGCAACCCCGATGCTGAAGAGGATCCTCCAACACAGCACTTAATTGTCGAAGTTATTTCTTGAAATCATAGATGGTTTGAGGGCAGTACCTGGTAGTTTGATGCACCGGGACAATACCCAGATACGAACGATCCAGAGCAGCTGCTGGTGGTATATTGGCAGTGTCCGGAACCACTGGGGGTTGAACAAGGAACAACGCAACATTGGATATTGGAGGCACCTGGACAGAAGCCAGAATAAAATGTCCCTCCAGCGCAGCCATTTGCTGTGCTGCCACAATACCCGGCACCATTCGGTGTTGTGCACGATGTTGTTTGCCGAGATTCCAGGGTTGCCGCCAAGACACCACCAGAGAGAAGGATGAATGAGACTCTCATCTTGAATTTTATGAATGAGTACTTGTTGTTGAATATCTAATTGTTGAGGTATTCCTAAGATTCAGTATTTGAGAGGATTTGCCGGTACTTAAGTTATGCTTAACTTGAAGCTGAGAATGTGTGCAGCCCTGGTTCGGGCATGGGACCTTCCTCTTCGGCGGCATGATCCTCCCGTCCGTCGCACAACTAAACCTATTGAAGTCAAGATCTTCTGACTTTCTAAATAGAGACAAGATTGTACGGTAGTAGCTTGGTGGACTCACACGTGTAGAGAAGGAAGGATGAGAATCCATTCTGCCGTCTTACTTAGTTTGCGACAGTTTTATGGTACTTTTGTAGTTTCGGAAGGATTCGAGGTCACAAGCGAATGACAACACTGGGGACGATCCACGTGACATATGCAAGGGCGTTTATTTCGAGGCAAGGTTCAACACGAGCTGACACCTGTGGTTCTGGCGCCTCAAAGATCTCCCAACAAGCATGAATGCACGATGCGGATCATTTTCTCCCCTTTGAACATTCCCGGAGACAAGACTCGTCATCATGGCTGCAGAGGAGATCGACTCCCAAGTCAATCATCTCAACTCCAGCTCCAATTCTCGTCGTGAGACGTCATCGTATGGCCGAGTCCTGTGCTGAAGTCTCATTCCACTTGCGCTGATCGCTTTCGCTGTCGTCAGCGATGAACAGGACTCGAAACACTTTCCATCGAAAAATGACGAGCTCGTCTACTACATCAGACATGTGTTTGTCCCGATTCAGAAAGCATAATACTTGGATTTACAAGATCCCTAGGAAGCATGTCTGATCATTCAGGCCAGCCATTCCAGGAACCCCAAAGGAGGAATCAAAGTTGCTCACGTGATGTTTTCTTTCGCTAAAACTCAACTCAGATTTGCATATACCATGTATTTGACCTCTGTGCTAAGCTACACGTTCCTTCTGGTGGCAACGGAAAGCCACCTCCCCGAGGCTTCTCCCATGCTTGCGGAAATCTACTCGCCATACGCATCTAGCACACTAATGACCTCCCCAAATTCTAAACCCGATTTGTCTTCACTTCCACCCCACAGCAAAGCTCATTCTTCCCGTACTCAGTTACAAGGAAAGGTCGACCAATTCTTGATCTGGTTCATGTTTGCCCATGCCTTCTCAAAGTTTATCATAACCTCTTCAGCGCTACAGATAGGTATGTTCCAAAAGCCAGGAGCTCTGATGCCACCATCGACAACAAAATTAAGATACTGGAGTGACTCGCTAGAGCTGTCCAAGTTCCATCCTTTGAAGCCGTTCTGGCCACCATTCTTGTTGTATGTAGCGATAGAGCCGAGAATGAGATCATCGTAGCCAATATCCATGAACAGCTTCTCGGTGATTGCCTCAAATCCCGGTGGTGTTCCAGGCGGCGCACAACTGTTCGTGTATTCGCCTCCGTTGCACGTTTCCTGCCACTTACGCGGGGCGACCAGCCAGTAAGATTTGCCATCTGGACCACAGAAGCGAGCATTCTTGTAGGCCCATTCAGTGATGTATTCATGTTTGAGGATGTTTGAGTTGGCGTTGCAAGCAACATTTTCGCGAATGATGACAGGGTACAAGTTTCTGGTTGATGTCTTCCAGGCTTGTTGGATGAGGAAGACATTCAGAGCGCGACCAACTGTACGTGAGAAGTCTAGAGGTGAGCTCCTCCAACCCTCTCCCAGGAGGGCGCCGTCCTCGATTCGACCGTACAGCTGTAGGTTCCCGGGCAGGGATCCAGAGAAGAGCTCAGTGTTGGAACTGATCAAGATATCAACCCATACCCCAGCACGCGTCTTGACCTGCTCTTGCATTGCATTCTGTTGACCGAGGGTGCCATCGATCTTCGCAACCAAGTCTTTACCTAGCGTTAGGCCCCACTTGAAAGCGTCATTTGTGGTATCCTTGATCACACCGTGTGCCTCTCCCTTGCTTATCCTGGGCCAGGTGGGCCCCATAATGAGACCCCAGCCAATCAACGCAATGTCGAGCGCAATTTGCATAGAAATGCTACTCTTTTGAGGCAGGCCAAAAGTCGCTTGAATAGCAGTCACATTGTTGTTTATCTGAGCGTCGCGAATGCCCTGCAGCATATCCATGTGGAAATCATGGAGACGAGAGAATGAGTTGAGGAGGAAATAGCCTGCGGGAAAGCTAACATCATGACACTGTTTGCTGAATCCTGAGCATCCAGATGATGTGAGGAGATTCTCACAATACATGTCTCGGGGTCCGTGAAAGTAGTTGCTGGCATTGTTGGTGAAGTCAATAGGGGCACGACCAAGACTGATGTTGTAATGGAAGCCATCTTCGATGGCATCGAAGGCAGAGTAAACACCAACACCATACCACTGATCGGCATTGCTGACTGAGGTGTGAGATTCGATAATAGGGTGGGAGCAGGTGATACTCCGGAAGTCAACCTTGCCTCCATCGACTGGACTGTAGCTGATATCGCAAATGCCAGCTGGGCAGCTACCGCCATTGCGAGAACAAGAGAAAGCGCATAATCCGGATGAAATAGGGGCGCCGGGGCGGACAGAGTCTCGCCCGACAATACCTCCCATTTGTTCAGGCGGCTCTACCAGGCCACCAGTGCTGGTGCACATACATGATCGGATAGGACAAAATCCAAAACGGCAGCTGTATTCGCAAAGCTCTTTCATCGCTCCGCTTCCAGTGCCTCCGGTACATGCAGGCTCTAGAAACGGTGACACTGTAGGGATGACTGTGGATCTCTCAGTGTACGTGCAAGCTTCCTCTGGACATGTGCCGAGCGGGCAGCTGAAGCTACATCTGTTTGGCAAGAAGTTAGCAGTTGCAAAGACAGGGTTATTTCTTCTGAAAGAAAGCATTCTTGTTTCGAAGAGATCTAGAAGCCCCATTATGAAGGAAAGAAAAAAAAGGGGGATCTCTTGACACCTACAGTCCACCGAAGCTGGGATCTCCATTTTTGCTGTAGCCCATTTTCGTGCCATCCCATTTAGGCAGCTCCTTTGGCGGACCTCGCTTTGTGCATGTGCATGCACCTTCAGGGCAATAGTCGTAGCTGCAAGCAAACTTGCATACATTTGCAAAGTTGAACACACCCTTCCCTTCAATACAGCCTTTTCCGATGCTGGCACTATTATGCACACTGACTGTTGCCAGCTTGCCTTCCACGACTGGATTCCAGTTGGTGACTCCGTTTGAGCACGAGCCCTTGATTGTGCCCGTGGCATATAGAACCTGGACGACGGTGCTGTCCTCACGGCGACTGTCCCACCATAGCGGCAGTGATCGGAATATCAGTGTGGTAAATGCCAACACCTCCATTGGGAGAGTGCTTCCAGTATGTGCGGCCATCACCATAATCGCGATTCCAGGCCGAGTTACCAATTCTGTACTGAAGTCGACAACCTGGTGTAGCACAGAGTGCAGAGACGTAGATCTTGTCGTTGACGATTTCCCACGGCTCATACTCGCGCTGCAGCTGCGATGCAGTGTTGCCTACAGTACCACCCGAAGCGCAGGCCTTTCCCATAGTCTCCCGATACCCTTAACAGACGGACGAGTTAGCAGTTGGTACTTTTAGAGCTCATTGGGAATATGGTTAAGTCGAGACGGAGGAGCTGCATTGCTACTTACAGACTGTGATGCCCTCGTCTCCGACCGTGGCTTTTCGGTTTTTGTACATGTCGATGACAAAAGGTAAGAAGGCTCTCCAGTGGTCATGCGAGATGTCCTTGACGTAGTTGAACGGAGCTTTGCCAATCTCGAATGGTTTGTAGCCGTCCTCTGTCAATGGTCCAATATAGTGCGATTCTCCGTAGTCGTTCCAAGAGATGATCCTATGAGAAAGTCCTTGAGTCAGTTCACATCATCTTGATCGACAGGGCTTAGGTACATAAATGGTACTGTAGCTACAGAATTTCGCCAGAGTTATGGTGAAGATAGAAGCAGGTGAAATATTTACTTACTGAATGAACTCAGGCACGACATGATCTGGCAGGGACAAAATCTGCTGCCAGCGGTCAAACCACAAGGAATCTCCCTTCCAGAGCCAGTTCTTGTTGTAGCCAGGAAGATTGGTGAAGAACCAAGGCGAAACCGGCATCATGAAGGGCTTCCCGTTGAGATATCGCCAATAGCTCGCATCAATGGTGTTGTCGATATCCCGAGGGCCGGTTGGCCAAGCCGCCCAAGAAAACAAGCAGTCGGCGACTACACCTTCTAATTCTGCTGCTGGCTTCGCTCCAAGTGAGCTCCAGTCAGGGCAAAAGAAAATACCAGTCTTGGCCTTGATATCATGGTAGTCACCTGCTGACTGCCAACCCTCGAAGGTGCTGACCATTGGCTTGCCGTTATGTTTGAAGATCGCGGATGACTTGCTCGTCTCTTGAATCCAGGCAAGAGCAGTCTCCTTGGGCCAGAGTCCATGTCCGGCGTAGTCGAGAGATAGGAACAGCTTGAAGCCTTTTGCTTCAGCAGCTGCAAAGGCATTTCTCATCTCGTTAGAAGGTGCATCCTTGGAATAGCCGACATTGAGAGCGAAGGCGTCGATGTGAGAATCTTGGGCTATCTGGATTTCGGCTTTCCAACGATCCACTGACCATTGGGTGGCATGCTCCCACTGTCTCGATATTAGCTGCTGGTGCTTAAAATCATGCCTGGGGATATGGCAATCGTTCTGTAGAAAAGGGGGAACTTGTACACACCATGAAGTGGGCGAAGACTGAACGAGCCGCCACATTGCAGATTTGCGCCAGAATCAGAATCAGAGCTTGAAACCTCATCTTGAGGAGATTTCTTCCCCTATCTTCGCTGTCTGAGAGGCAGAAATTGAAGCAGCAGTCCAAAGAAGGGAGGCTACACAGTCGAAGTGAGGTGTACTCTGGGGGCCAGAAACATCCTACAAGAGCAATGGTCACATCTTTTATATTTGTAGCCCTCACATCTTTCCCCCTCCTATATTACCTCCATTCATGAGAATCTCGCGACGTTTGCATCGAGGCCCTCGGAGGACTTTGCTGTGCCTTTTCCAAGAGTTTTTGATAGCGGTCAGAGAATATGCTGAACGTTGAGTTCCAAATCTAAGTGGTCGAAACCCGAGCTCATTTCATTCTGCCCTACCAATGACTCCGTGCTGGTCCACAACCCCCATTGTCTATAACCATCTCGTCGTCTACTTGACAAAATTTATATTTTATGGTAACTTGTTTCCCTTGGCGCTACCCACATTAACGAAGGCACGTGGGCAAAAAGACATCAGTTGTTGGGGCGCAGGCTTTATATATTTCCATGGCGAACATGCGTTTTACTCTTGGCTCAGTAACGAACTTCCTCATTCTCCAAGTCAAATGCAGGGACCTTTAAGCTCGGTGGAGCTGCCGAGCATTTGTTAGGCGACATTGAAACCCCTGTCATACTTTCCTCGGCAGCCACCTCGGCTTTGAGCGTTTCTGAACAGGTTCAAATCAGGGACTTTGGCAATCTACCTGTCTTACGGAAAGCGCCAGATTTCCATGCATGGTGAAGTTACAGTGACTGCATGTGGGTGGACATTTTGCGGTACGCGGAGTTTGTTGATGCAATAGCCGAGACCTGTTCTTGGCCTCAACGGGCTGCTTCGTCAAGTTTAAAGTTTTCGAATGTGGTAATTGATTTCGATCAAACTTCTCGACTTTACCCCTTCAAAAGTCATCAGATATAATGAAATTGGCAAAAGCTCATACTTAGGCACGCAAATACTTGACAGTGGATAAGGTACAATGAAGTGCCGTTTAGCCAAGTGCTTGGAGCTTGGCTGCCCACTCCGAAGCCTGTGCCGCAAAACAAGGGGCGTTTGCCAATCAATCGATAGCATACCACACAGTGGTAGTGTCTACATAATGGTGACAAGATTCATGATATTATGTTCTCGGTATGACTACAGCACGTCCAGGGCTCGCTTGCTGCCATGTGGTGGGGTTTCGATATCATCATTGGAGCAAATTAGTCCTTTCACTTTTAATCGCACAAATGTAGCGCTATCATGACTAAAATGTGCCATTGAAGCCGTTTTTCGCACAAGATCTCTCTTGAAGATATGTGTGCATAAAAACAGAGTGGCTGTGCCACATCCCAACGAAATACCGTAGTAAATAATCATGACATTTGCCACTCGAAAATGGCACTCTCGCCTAAAATTTACGTCGTCTTCGAAATCGCCAGAAGAGAAGTGTAAATCGGAGTTCCAAGGCCAGTAGCAGGGTCCCAGCCCTACATCACAGTCAGTAAAGCACGGGTGTCTAGAATTCCTTCTACTCACAGCAACAGCAGAAAACCCAGCACCACTTATGACTCCACTACACCCCGTATTCTTCCCTGTCTTGATATCCGTCAACCCAGCAGTCGCATTATTGTACAGCCAGGGATTTAAGAAACCCAGTGGTTTCTTTCCGGCCAAGAGCCGATCACTATTGAGCAGCTGGATGATACTTGCGAAAGTTGGGCAAGCACAGCTCGTTCCACTGACAGATTGAGCAGATCCTGAAGCGACGATAACGAAATTTGTGGATTGCGCTGCGATGTCAGGATACGCACGACCGGATTTGTTGAAATATGCGTTGACGGCAGTATGTGTGGTGTCTGTTGTGAGCCATTTGTTGACTGCGGCAGTTTGGTAGCTCGGCTGGCCAAATCGACTGGAGAAACCGCCGCCGGATCCGGACCATGCTCCCTCGGGACTGTTTCCTGTTGTTCCTCCTACGGTGGTAACCCATGGGCATGAGGCTGGGAATGAAGTCGTGAATGTTTTTGTTGAGCCGGTCTTGCATGTGGTGCCTACGCCTGAATCTCCGGATGCGACGAGAACGGACACACCTCGAGCGCCGAGCTGGGCGAAAAGGTTGCATACGTTGGTGGCGTAGTCTAGGGGTACAGTTGCTTCGTCGTCTCCGTATGAGATGGAGATTGTGTTTGGAAGTGCTGAGGAGTCCAGGCCAAGCAGGTAGTTCAAGAACTCGAGGTATGGCTCATTGGTGTTTGTTCCGGTACCCAACCAAGGAGGAGATCCCCCAACGCTGTAGTAGACGTTTGGAATTGACTCAGTGATCGCACGAGCATATTGGACGTCAAGATTGGCTTCAATGCCAGGGGTTCCTGTCTGCGGACATGTTCCTCCATTGATGAGCGTGCATGTGAATGACTGAGCTGCATTGCCTTGAGTTGCATAGCTCTTCATGAAAGTGGTGAGGTCTGACTTGAAGGGCCACTGCTTCAGAAAGCCAGCGATTCCCATCAAGCCATTGCTGTAAGCGGTTGCTGAAACATAGCTATAAAGGTTCGAAAGACACTTGGGTGTGATCGTACTTCCAGTGCAGCCAGCTACTGCTTGGATTGCTGCTCCGCTTGGAGCAACTCCAGCTTTTAATTCGGACGAGTCCAGTGCGTGATGCTCGGAAATAGTGGATCGCATGGCTTTGAGGCCAAAGAAAGTTGTGGGTTGGACCATGTCGACATGTCCTTTCAGCGCATCTGGCAGACTGTATTCCAGGGTCCTGACTGCGCTCTCTCCAGTTTCCTTCTCAACTGAGAAGCATTTGTTAGCACATGATTCAAAGCTTAGATGAGTTCACTTACTAAATGGCATGTAATTTGCTTTTAGCAGTGTCTCGATCTTTGAAACGCTTGCATCTACAATGATTGCGTCCGATCTCCGTGATAGCGAAGCATGGCTGCTTAGTCCCTCAGTCTCAAGCCACTCCATGACAAGCCTACTTGAGTCCTCTTTTGGAGCGATCATATCATCGATTGCTTGTTGAGTCAGGTGACTTCCGTAAAGCTCATGACCGGGAGTTGCAATCTAGGCTCATTAACTTGATTTTGGATACCTCGGTAGGTAAGTATGATGGCTTACCTGCATCGCCAAATCGTGAAACTTGTCCATGTCTTGGTGAGCAAGATGGATGCGCAACTTTATCATATGCGAATCTTTGTCAAGATTGGCTCCCTCGTCTCGGATCCATCCTGAAGGTGGACCTGCAATTGACTCAACAACGCTCGATGCGAAATCATTGTCTACAGTGGCTTCGGCAGTTGGTGAAGACCGTACCGAAATGGCTAATGCAACAAGCAGGAACCCCGAAAAACGCATTTTGAACGAATGACTTTCGTAGACACCTCGCAAGAGTTGAGCAGACCGTATGTATGATGGGCTAACAGCCTCTTATGTATTCCTGTGGGCAGTCCATTTGCAAATCTGGTCGGCAATCTACTGACCCTTAGCTTCCGGCACTGATAACCCTGAGAGATGTCTATCAAGCTTTCAAGCTGCCTCTTGGAGAACACTCTGCCGAAAGTTGGCCAGGCTTAATTAAATTAAGCTTATCTCGGATCGAATCAGGGCCAGGGAAGCCGGTCTGATCTCGGCATTGGTTGATCATTGTGGGATCTGCGCGAACATCAAGTTTTAGATTGCTCGATTAGGCAAGTCGTTTAGCCTGCAGAGTCCACATGCGAGACATGATGTCTCCTTCCGCTTTTTGCCCTTGATGTCCGGCAGTGGCTTGTGGGAGCACCTACTACATTTGGCCTCGGCTTAAAGAAGATCATGTACTGGATAATAGGTGCCACGCATGTTTTGCCCTTTCAGATTGATCTTGTGATACGCATTGTGGTACGCTAAATAAGCGAAAGCGGGGGTTCAATTTTCAGGGGCTCGCCTAGCTATTGACACGGGCACAAGCCCACCATTTTCAATTTCGCTTCGTGCAATTTGCAGGGAGTGTCGGATAGGAGAATCGAATGTTGAATTCTAACCCCTATGGTCTATCTATCAAATGAATGGCAGCAAAAATCTAATTGCACAAAATATCCTCTCTTCCACAATCTAAAGCGACAGATATATGTTCGAAAGGAAACACGAATCTCGTCCGTTGCCGGTCTATCTCTAGTCTTCCATGCTTACAAGACGTAGTTCATCTAACAGACAATCTTCCAGTAACCCTCAACAGGAGCTCCAATCGTGTTGCAGCCACCGACAGTAATGGTCTCGATAGGGTTGTCGACACATTGGTTGCTGATGTGCTTCTGGACTGTGGCACAATTTTAGCTTCATACTCATAATAACTTTTCCGTTAATACTTACACTTGCAAGGCGCGTTGATGTTCTCGACGAACAACGAGCCATAGGATCCACCATCATAGCAGACACCAGTGACATGTTGGCCAGGGGCGGCGGGTGGTGTGAAGACGTTGAAGTGTGCGATGAAAGGGTCACCGTTCTTCTCGCACTCGTGGTTATCAGGAGCGAAGAATTTGAGGCCGGCAATGGAGCTTTGACGAGCTTCGATGTTGACTGTTGGTGCTGCAGAGGCTGCGAAGGCCAATGCGAGCATTGAGACGAGGGAGTGGATGGCAACCATTTTGGATGAGTTGAGAAGTGGTGGTGGGTAGTTGGAGTTATTGGTATTGAAAGTCTTGATGATTTGGAATGTTGATGTGATGCTTTTTGGCCTCTGGACGAGGAAATCGGCCGTTCTTATAGATTTCCATCTCCCAAGAAGATTCAGTATGTTAGAAGAGGTGTCATGAGACTGCTCGTAAAGCCATTTCTGGAAATCTTGAAGTAAAACGAGCTGTGCCACACATCTCACTTTTAAGTGAGGCTATGTGAAGAGGGGTCCAAACGAGGCGTGTGCTGAGTCTTCATGCAAAATTTTATGTCCAGAAGAACTTTTTGAATAATCTGTCAAAGTCCTTGTAACTATCGGTACCCTTCCTCTCTCTGTGTTTTAAATTTGGTTACTTGGTTCCAAGCACGCTTTTTCCATTCCTATCTGCTTTTTTGTTCTTGGTCCTCATTTGACCTATGGAGTCCAACTCAACGTGGCCAAGCCACCCACGATTGATGACAACCACACTAAGCAACAAGATAACTGTCATGTTACACAGAAGGCTGAAACATGAATCAGGTACGTCATTAGTCCACGCAGAACGACAATCTGATCTTACACGAGCACCGATAGTGAGATATCTCGAGCCGAGATCCATATCGGGTCATTCTGTCGTCCGAAAGTTGCCTCTAGCTTGTCTTTTGCTTTCACGGCCTTTGAAGCGAACTGGTACTTACCTTAGATGTTACACGAAAGATTAATCTGCCTTTGGCTCTACGCTATTCCTGGGATTTTTCTCCGCCTGCATCCAAGTATCATTGAAAGCAATATAACAACGTTGGAGATATTTCAAGAGGAAAGTCAGAGGAGCAAAGTCAAGCGACATATCGAAAAATTAAATAATTGTAGGACACCAAAATGTTGAATTCTACTGTAAAACTAGTTCTTATAATCCAAAAGAATGTATCTAGATCACGCACTTGTCCCATGAATGATTAATAAAGAAAATTTGCCGTCGCCAGCACCTTCCTATCTAGACAATCTCTCCAGCCGCCTCCAATGCCAGCCTCAAGATTTACCTAATGACCACAAGTCACCTTCCAGAAGTTTCTCGGGAATGTTTCCCCTCCAACACAGGTAGCGGTATCCTTGACAATCTCAATCGGGGTTCCCGAGCAGCTTCCTGCAAAATGCTTCTCCCCTATCAAACAGTCGGATTAGCGAGAGATCCATTTAGCACTCACTTTTCCTTTTCACACGACCTGCCAGGGACAGGAACTTACACTGGCATCCGGGCTTGACATTATTCAGTCTGAGAGACCCATAATCAAGCTCAGAGTAGCAGACATCGACTTCTCTCTCCTCTGGCTTCAAGACTCCGTTTGGTGGTAGGAGGACAGGGTGTTGAGTCAAGTATTGAGCTTCTTCACAGCCGGCTGTGTTGAACAATTTCATTCCAATGGCAATTTGGCCGCGTGTGGTGAGCTCGGCAGGAGCTGCGCTGCCCATTGTGGCAAGGGCGAAAATGGAGATGAGGGATTGAATGGCGACCATTTTGAATGTTTGTCAAATTTTTATTCTGAGTGGAAAGTATTGATGTTGATTTGTTTTTGGAGGATGAAGAGCTGGATGAGGACTAAAAGTTCCGGAAAACGGCTCTTTATATACCTACTTCATGTGACACAACATAGTGCAGTTGCCTTGAGAGAAGGCTTTTGCTGACTTCCAAGGTGACGTTCAAAGTCGGATCTTCTGACCTGATAACTTACTTTCATGACACCTGAGGGTTCAGATTTTTGGATCTCATGATCAGTCTTGCATCTTACGTCTTCGTAGTCGCGTTCTCGAAAGGGAACGAAGAAGGACCTGCAAGATTGGAGAAGAATACTTGCCTGCCCACCGATCTCAAGAACAGTGCGAAGAATGAATCTCATTTTTGGACTCTAAGCACATTAGATGACGTCTAACGGCAAAATTGACGAATTAAAGGCTCTCTTATTTGCTTCAAACTTTTCAAGACTTTAGGAAAAAGTTCAAAACGGGGCTTTCGATCAGAAAGAAATGATGAAAATGCGACCAAACAAATTGACAAAACCAAGATTTTCAAAAATTTCGATGTTCCCAGTCCACCTAGGACGTTACAACCACGTGGGAATTTGACAATGCGAATTTGTGGCGCATTAATCTCAGCAGGGCTGAGCGAATGCAGGGACACCAGTACTGTGCCGTCCCAGCCAAGTGGTCTGGACTTCTTACACGAGCGCTGACCATTTTCATCTCACCCGAGCAGCATGCTCGTCATCGGATGTCCTCATGAAGACATGTGCTTGCTGAGCCTCATGAGTACTGTCTCTCAGTTCCCAGAAATGGGATAAGGGTCCACATATGATCTTTCGTATACAGCAGGGACAAGTCTGGTAACCTGTAGGATTTCAGTATGCGTTCTGTGAGGCTGACGGTTGGCGGATTGTCTTCGTATACAGAGTCAGCCTTGTGTTACCATGAAGGTTGGAAATCTCCTTTTCTCCGAGACTAGCCGAGACAAGCAGATGAGCAACTAGGCTGAGTGCAGATGTTCAAGGTGAGATAGAAGAACTTCAGATGTTGGGGTGCTTCTTATTGAAGACCTCGTCTGTGAAAGTTTCAGAAGGGGAAGTAGGTTAATTGCCAAGTCACGTCGAAGTCTGAAGACATAATGATTATTATTAGTGTATTATATCTGTGTCTTGGGAGTTTACGTGCAGTCTAAAACAGCTGGGAAGGTCTCGGTGCTTCTTCACCACGCCAGAAGATACAATAATCCAACCATAATAAGGAGCACTTGCACATTTTCAGCACGTAGGCTCAAAGTAATACCGCCACTCTTCGCCGTCGATGACGCAGCCGCTGACCCGGTCACTGTAGGTAGATTGCTTGTCGAAAGTTTTCCACTTGGGCTCGAAACGCTACTTGACTGATCAACTGCAGCCGTAACAAGTCCCGCACGAGTAAAAGCCAATCCAGAAATCGCAATCAGAGGATCTGGACTAGCTACTAAAGTCTGAGTCGACGCCTGTCTACCATCCAAGGCAGCTCGTCTCTCAATCTGGGCCATCGACGTGAAGCAGAACAGGTCTGAGTTGAGAGGTGTGGTTGACCACCCACCTGGACAGCATACACTGGTTGTCCCGCTGACGGAGAATGTCGAGTAGCCACTTGTGTGACATATACCAGCGTCGTTGTTGTTTGGAATAGACGTCGGCGTGCACCCTATAAGAGAGAATATGGTCGTTGTTCCGCTTGCGGTGAGTTTCGTGGTGCTGGGCGTGACTGGCGTAGGACATTGAAGTGCTTGTGCATACACGCCTGTAGCGAATGCAGTGTTCACAGACGCAGCGGCAGTTGTACTGGTACCACTGAGGCTCGTGATGGGTGGTGCTGAATTCAGGTAAGATGTTCCGAAGAAGGAAGCGCTGAGTCCCTCTGGCACGATCGGATATATGGTTCTAATGTGACCAAAAGAGGTGACTGTACATGGTGGTTGATACCCCGTATATGTGAAGTCTGGTAGTGGGGGAAGACCACAACCTCTGTAGGACTGGAAGGCTGTGTTGGTCGTTGCAGGCGGGGCAGAATCGGTCACCTTTGAGGTTTGAGATGGAAGAATGGTGAAAATCCCACTCTGGTCGGAGAGCATAAACGGGTTGTAGCCAATACTGAAAGAGTAGCGACCAGGGAAGATATCAAGAGGAACATTGTAAGTCCAAGAACCATTGTTTGGAGCGTTCGCTTGGACGACAGTCAGCTGCATTCGGAAACCCAACAGAGTTTGACTTACACAAAATATCTTCTGTGCTGTAAAGGATGTCTTGATTTGGAGTATTCCCAAAATAATACTTCCTCACAATGTAAACCGGTTCCGATGGCTGACCTCCTGTCCACGTAAAACTAAACGGCTCTCCAGGAACAAGAGCAGGGTCTGTCACGCCCATGGTGAATCTGAGAACATCATGCGCAGAAACTGCACAGAGCAGCACGAGATGAGCCAGCGCCGCCCGCAGTATCATGATAAGCGGCACGATGAGGACAGTAATAGCTACGTAGTAAATGATGATCACGATGGCAGAGCATCAATACTTGAGGTTGATGATATCCGTACTAGCCGGCTATGCTGTGCCGCACACTATCCCGAGATGGTTGCCCAGAGATCGGCGACATGTCTGCAAATGTCCTAGTCAGGGCAGCATCCACTTTTCCCTTGCTATTAAATCGCGAATTCCATTAATAGCGTAGGGCTACCACTGCTGTGTTGAGCGTATAAACACACCCAAGTAAGTGTTGAGTAGAGATACCGTAAGCTGTGCAGACACTCTGTTGGGCAACGAGGCCTGTAATTTCCGCCGGGAAACGCCCGGGAGAACTCAATTTTAGCGACTTCAGCATCAACAACCCTTGGCCCGGGGAAGACAGAGCAAAGTGCAGAGATAAGGTAGTGATAGCTAGGTGCCACCAAACGAATCGGACATGTTCCATAATAACGGAAATGGGCATGACATTGATGTGGCATAGTATTTCTAGGCACAAATGACAGAGTGAACTCAGCAGGCAAGATTTTCACACCGCAAAGTCTCGCTTAGAATAAGGGAACAAAGCCAAAGAAAATGTAGCGAAGACTTTGTCAATACACATTCTTCCTGAAATGTAGAAAGCCATGCCAGATATTCAAAATACTTCACATCGCTTCAAGCCAGCTTCAATACCCTCTTTCACCATTCACAACTTCTCCCTCTCCTCCTCCCAAGGCACAGCCTTCTCCCCCTCCATCCAAACCCTCATCCCCTCACTCCCTTGAGGCGGCGGAACCAAACCCTGAATACGCCATAACTCCCTCCTACTTTCCGTAACACTGACTTCCCACCTAATACACCAGAAAAGATCAGTTTCCATTTCACAAATTCGCAAGATTTCCTCCGTCCATTTCTGGGATCTGGGTTTGGAGAATTGAAATGAGAGTGAGGTAACTTACGTCCATCCTCTATGCTCAAACCTCTCTTTGAAGATCTTTCCAACCCAGTCCAGATACCGATTTGATCGCGCAACATCCTCATTGAAGTGTATTGCTATGTGCTCGGCCGTGAAGCGAATGAAAGTCCCGGAGGTGGGTTTGCCGCCTAGGAAGAAGGAGGTAGCGGGAAGCTGTTGATGGTGAAAATATTGGTTAGTGTGGTGATATTTGAAGGATAAATGAGCCCTTTATGAGGGCTTGAGAGGTATCGAGACGTACCTCATGGAACATGATGTTGACGAAGAAAGCTGGCATCGACTTGGTGTAGCCAGCTGTTAGTACGGTAGCTAGCTCCTGCTTTTCCTCGTCCGTGAGCTGACCTGGACTGGTGTAGAGTTTGAGGATTGGCATTTTGATAGTAGTATACAGAGATTACCAAAAGAGAGGAAGTGTTCGAGGTAAGTGCAGACAAGCAATGTGGCTGACTGCTATTTCATATAGTAGTAGATTGGTTACACTTGGCGGCGATTCTGTACTGTTTACTGATCAGCTAGACCCGGTGCTGACCTGGTGTGAGACGCTGACCGCATAAAGGATATAATGCGGGTAGTTTGTAACTCGAAAAGGGTCGATTAGGCGGTAGTAAGAGGGGTTTTGTGAGACTTAAAGAGGGAATCAGATGCGGAAGCTGTTGAGTAATCAATGGTCGTCACTTCACTATCTTGGGCTAGTGGATGTGGATCATGGGTATTAAGCACGCCAGGGAATACAGCCGAGGCTTTCGGTAGCTATGATGTTTAGAAGCTGATCTTCAACGAAGCTGGGCGTGGGAACAAGAGTAATTGCTTGTGTAGGTACCTGGGTATTGGCTAATGATAATCACGTGATCAATCTCAACATTGCCCATTTCGGGAAATGAATATGTGAGAGTTGAAGATGGTGATAAGATATATGACTCACTATAACCCGATTATATGCAGAATAAAGACATTTTGGCGTCCCACATCAGAAGTCACATACTATCACCAATTACTGGTCTCCAAACCCACCCAAACCAGTACCACCACATCCATCCTCAGATGCCCATCCCCACTTCCCCAATTCTCTTCACATCCTAACCTATATACTTACAAGTAACCCCATTCTTCCCCACCAAGCTACAATCCGTCACGGTATGCTACCCTTTGCTTTGAAAGAAAAATTTACATATTAATAGTCATTACTTCAACGTTGAACTATTAGTCTGTATATTTTGTTTTTTTTGTTTATAGATATTTCTTCGGTTACGTTTGATGTACTCTTTTTTTGTTTTGACGCTAAAGGGCGTTACCGAATCACCGCTTGAAGCGGGACGGTGCGCCGCCTGGATGGATCTTCAGCTGCGTGTCACGACAACCCTGGGCGGCTCAGCGAAAGCTTGATACCGCTTGAACTACGCCATCTGCATGTAATTCATCTCTTATCGTGGAGGATGGCGAGGGGTTATGGTGTGAATTTTGGGGGATGAGGGGGTTGGTTGGTGGGCCTCCGACTGTGCGGCGGAACCTGCTTTTTCCTTTGAGGTAGGAGACTTGGACGTGGGGAAATTTGAGAGATACTGGGGTATGATAAGCAACACCGAATACCTTGTCGATTTATAGGAAGTCGAGAGCTCCCAGCCCATGGAAATAAACCTAATAGGCGAAGGCAGAGGTAAATTTAAATGATCTTCTCAGGATCATCTGCAGATAGCTCTTTCTTAGAAGTCTCTCCTTTCCCAAGAAAGTTCTCCCGACCGCCTAAGGACGGTTTGCTCCCTTAGAGACGCTCCTGGATAGTGGGAAATTGGTGCTTAGATGCGATGTAGTACACTCAAGTCAAGATTCTTTTTAATCAAGTTGTCAGAAATATGGCTATCCTAGGTTAGGTAATCGAGTCCCTGCTTCTAGTATATCTCTGCAAACTCTGTAAGCACTTTGATTTTCACACCTTACTTACATTTTGACTTTATAAACTAGACTAAACTTCTCTTCCTAAATTAATTTAATCTGAAAGTTCCTAGTGACTAAAAGTAAAAAGTTGATCTAGTAGGTAGTAGAAGTACTAGGTATTTAGTTGTAGAGAAGAGGATTTCCAGTTTTCTTCTCTTTTTAAGAGTGATGACAAGGTGTCTTACCTTGAGGGTAGAGGTAGTAACTGTCCCCGAGGAAACAATTGTTCTAATACGGTCCAAGGACCGTTGTTGAAAAGGGATACATTTTAGAGAAAGAACTATCTGCAGATAATACTAGGACCGTTCTTCTACCCCTGACTTGACTTCTAGGAACGCTCAAGCATAGCAGCGAAAACACTTCTCCATCCAACGAGCTATTCTTATATGACCACAGAACACAGCACGACCGATGTAGTTCTCTGATCGAGAAGCTAGCTCTTTTCCAAATACTCCTTCAGCACAACCCTCAACAAATAACTCGGCGTACAAGACCACGCATGGCAATAACTATTATTATGACAATCCCCATACGGACTCCTCCTCGAATCCCCCTCGTCAAAACACTCCCAAAACGTATCCGCTCCCGCCCTCGCCATCCCACCCCAATACTCCCTCACCAGCACCACACACTCCTCTTCTCCGCCTGAGCGGGCGAGCGCTTCGGCCACATGGTGGTACGCGTATGGTGTGAGAGGCTTGATGGCTTTAGGGTGCGCCATGGCTGTTTTGAGGGCGAGGAGGCAGATGTCTGGGGAGGCTGCTTCAGCGAGGGAGAGCCAGGCTTGGGAGATCCAGGAGATTTGGCTGGAGGGGCCGCTGGTGAAGAGGTTTTGAGATGGGTCGTAGAATAATTGACCAGCTGTGGTCATTTTGTCGACGATGTCGAGGAAGGGTTGGGGTTGGGAGATGAGCAGGGCGAGGTTGTTGACTTGTTTGCAGGCGAAGAGGACGAGGCCGTGCATGCCGGCGTTGGTGTCTAGGCCGGGGGACCAGTCGAGGAATTTCCAGGCGGGGGAGGAGGAGGAGGAGAATTTTCCGGAGGGGTCGAGGTGGCTGAGGGGGAGGTTGAGGCTGTTGAGGATGGTGGGCCAGAGCTCAAGGGCGGTTTGGAGGTCGTTGGAGGAGAGGGTGTAGTCGTAGACTGTGGGGCCGAAGAGAGCGTCGTAGTCGACGATGTAGTCTGATGCGGGTGCGAGTTTGGGTTTCTCGAAGAGACATGCGGGGAGGCTGCCATCTTCTCGTGGGAGGGCGGCGAACATGTAGAGACATCGTTTGACGAGAGAGTGGTCTTTGAAGGTACAGTAGTTGGTGAGTGCTTGGAGTCGAAGATCACCAAGCCACAGTCTACGATCTCGACGAGGTCCATCCTCGAAGACGGTTTGCATGCAGTTCCGAAGCGTGACTTGGCTGATGTGGTCGATGAGGGCGAGTTCTTTGTCGGCAATGGCAAAGTTCTGTGAGGCGAGTGCGGTTTCTGGAGATACGGCACTGACGGCTCGGACCTTGATATCTGAGAATTTGACTTTGTATTTGGGGGAGGTGTCGATGACTTCTATCTTGAGGTATCGGAAGGAATAACGTCGTGGCATTTCCACGTCAGTAGGCAGCCAATCGACGTTGATGATCTCGTCAGGAAGCCAGCTGGTCGATATCCATGTATTGCATGGATGGAGGTCTTCTGTCACATCGTATGGGATCTCACCAAATGTAAGTCTGAGTCGTGTGGGAGCATCGACGTTTACTCCATCCACACCAAGATGAAAAGATAGATAGCCGACACGGTGAGAGCCGAAATCCAAAATGAGTTGGTCGCCTTTGCCGTAGGAGAGGTCCTGAAGTTCTTGAATGGTATGTATCTGGACTGGTTTGCATTTGAAGAAGGCCTTCTCATCCACTTCGAAATTGATTACTGATAAGGGACGGTCAATCCACTCATGAAGTTGCGGCTTCAGTGCTTCGGCTTTGCGAGCAAAGTCTTCGTTGAAGTGTGTTTTGGGTACTTTCTCGACCTTTTGGTTCGCTGGTACTTCCACAACGTCCATCTTTAAGGTCATGACTTGAAGGGCTGCTGATGTGGGGTTTAAGTCAAAAATCGGGAGTTCGAATATACTGCGACAAGGTATCTTCCTCGAAAGAGCTTTTCAGGACGATTATAGCCCAGGATTGATGTTTGGTTGATAAGGTTCTTTGGCAGTCGTTCATCCTCTCGTGAGATATGCTAGTTGAGGGACGCCCCGAAGGAGGGGTCGCCAAAGCCATGAACCAGAAGCCTTGGCAAATACAACATTGTCACGGGAAATCGGTCCACTTCCACACTGAATACGCCAACGAATCTACCGTTCATTGTATCCGGTATTTCCAAACACGATCTGATCACGATGCCGGGTCCTCTACACTCCACAAAGAAAGCTCTTTTCACTGAGAATTGAATCACAACCCAGCCTGTCTCGGGTGATCTCTCACCGAGGTCTATCCGAGAAACTTTGGCTTCAGAATCTCACCAGCACTAGGCATATGCTAGAAGGGCGTAGATAATCATGCTGTCTCACAGAAAGTTAAGAGAGAGAGGGATATAAGTATCAATCCGTATCCATTCATATTCGTGTGATTCATAGATGAGAAGTGCTGTTGGCATGACATAGAAAATTTCAATCCAGAAACGGAACGAACCTCAGCGCAAACTCAGAGGAGGGGCAAACACAGTTGTCGAAAATGCAATTGAAGATCGGAAGACATTCCGAAGTCCTTCGGTTGGTATGCCCATAAGCATCATCAAGTGAGAAGGAAGTCATGTGATGCGCACCATCAATGGATGATGTGACTTCAAATTGCAGTCCAGACAGACAGTACGTGGACGACTTGGTAAATTCAAGGGAGAAAATTGCCTTACTTTACGGAATGTGAGAGTTCTGACTATGCTTCGGCGAGTACCTGAATATATATGTTGTTATGAAGCCTGGGAAGAAAGCTTAGAGAGTGCACATCGTATCAATTGCATCGTGCAGATGACGAGACATGCTGCGATGATACGACTCGGAAATAAAGAAAATAAGTGAAGGGAGTAGCATTGGAGAGGCCTGTGAAGCTCCTTACCATTGGCTTACCTGTGGTCATTTGTCGAAATGATTGTTTATTCTCGAAAGTACATCATTGCGAGCAAGCGAATCTCCTCTTCGAGACGAATAAAAGAGATCACTGTAGCAAACGAAATAGAAAATTACTGTTTCTGGCTCTTCGCATTTAGTTTCGATTCCACGCAAGTATAGCCAGGTGGCCTTTCGATCGACCAGAGAATTGACTAGAGAGTATATAGGGATGAATTCGCAACCGAACCTTTTGCGAGCAACAGATGAGGGCGTGACATTCTATCGCCCTCTCAAAAATTATAAAACGAAATGTTGGAACAAGATTTAGAATATGACATGCATGACCCACTCCAAACCCATTTTCCACCCCGTATGATCGTCCGAACCCCAGTGTTAGACTTCAGAGTGGAGGCTCCTAATCAGGAATGTTCATCGCGTAATGTGAAACAGGGCAGGGTGAGCAGCGAAACAGGAACAAATAAAAATACAAAAATAACAACAATCAGACGTCTCCCTTTAGATGAGCGCAGTAAGGAGAGTAGTAAGAGAAGGGAGTTGGCCCTTGAGTTGTAAATGAAAATTTGATAGTTGGCTGACTATTCAGTTCGTGTTCTTGGTGGCGAGCGAAGGTAAATACGAGACGGAGGAACAACTACGGACCGATGAGGTGGCTAGAATTATGACTAAACTGCAGCAAAAGTCTGCAGGATACCTACCGCAAAAACCCCGAGAGAAACATATTCACGAAAGATTCTCAGTTTATCAAGTGAAGACATCTTCATCACCAACAACTTGACCTTGATCGTGTTCAATCCTCCCCTCGAAACCTGTGGGGGGATCCTCCGGATTTTATCTGACTGCTGATTGGCTCCCGAGTTCCCACTTTCCGGCCCCTGCCACCCCAAAACCAAGGATGCGCCAATCCCAGCCATCCCTAATTTTGGACGCACAGCCCCTGAACAAGGTTCCAGACAGGGTTGTTGAGAGGTTCATCAGCCAACCACAGCGCAACCAGACAACCACAATTCGCCCTGAGGGATGCGCACTGCTGCTCGTGTTGGTCCAGGGAGGCAAGGCCTTTCACAGCCGCACGATCTGTTCACGTTCATGTCCGAGTGCATGATCCTGATTCAGTCTCCGGTGCGAGCAATTGACTTGCCTTCAACTTCTGATCAAGGCTGCATCTTCAACGAATTTCATACATATCTTCAATCTCCTGCGCGCCTTCTCATTTCCAGGTTTAATCCAACACTAAGGCTGAGAGATTGCCAGTGAACCGCCCGCCTGCCCTGTTATTGATATTCGCCCGAAAACAGGATTGACATCCCTCCCCAACATCCACACCCGCTGCGTCTGCCCTTTGTTTGAAACCCACTTCTGCAAACGCAAATTCAATCGCAACTGCTCTCGCCCATTCGATTGAATACGGATTGCCCATTACACGAATTACAGACGGGTTGGTGCATCCTAGTCTGGGTTCCAGAAAGATACGAGACAGAGAGACATCATAGCCAGTGCCTTGGCCTCCTCCACATCTACCTCTCCTCCCGTCCTCTTCTTGCTTTTTCACAATGCAGCGACAGTATTCCTACGAGCCAGAACAACCTTACGACGACCCCTACAACACTCCTCCTCAGCGACCTTACGACCAGCCATACGACAATAGATACCACTCTCCAGCTCCCGAATACCAATCACCGCCACATTCACAGGGTTTTCCCTCAGCACATCCAGACAGTTCTTTCGATCGATTACGATCCGCACGAAGATACAGTCAAGAACGAGATCAACCTCCTCTCCACGGCTACGGCCAACCTGCGAATCCAGCTCCCCCGCCCCCTCCACATCGAGACGCACAAGGACGACTCTGGGGAAGAGAATTAGGATACACGGCATCGCAAGCCTCGAACATCACACCCGGAGCAGATAACTTCGGCGAGCAAGCATCAGGAGGAATAGCAGGTATTGCGATGGGAGTGGCAGATGCGAATGCGCGAGAAAGCGGTCTTGAAGCAATGAGGAACACACCAGGCTACGATCCAAGAATGGAGATGCGAGGAGGTTCTGGGGATAGGGACTATTACGAAGAGTCTCCATACATGCAACCTGCGCCGCGGAATGAGCCATCAGCTTCATCTTTGACGCCCATGGGCGCTGCTGCATTTCCTCCGGGAATGGCTTCTCCGCAAGCAAGATCCATTGTTTCACGCTCGGCCCACAGCTCTAACCAGGATCCAATTAACCACGAACCTTATGTTGATTCCCCATACAATCGGTACTCCCGAAACTTAGATCCTAGCCTTGCCGAGTTCGACCCCAGTACAATTGAGGATGATGGTGATGATGGTCTAGATTACAGAAATCAGAACAACAGATCTATGTTGAGCCTAGGTCATGATTCGGACAGGATAACGCCAGTAGCTGGTGGTGCCGCTGCAGGTGGTGTTGTGGGCGGTCTGCTAGGAAGGAAAGCTGGACCTGGTGCAAGTGGACCCCAATACGATCCCGTCGGAAACCCTTACCCAGGACCGACCAACTTTGAGTTGGGACAAGAGAAAGCAGAATGGGCGAACAAATCAGCAGCCCATAGGAAGAAGCGGAAGTGGATGATAATAGCTGGTGTCGTTGTCCTTATTCTTGCCATTGCTGGTGGAGTTGTGGGAGGCATCTTTGGCGCTCGCAATTCCGGATCCTCAGATACACCAAAGGGCGCTTCAGCATCCATGGATGAGGCGACTAATGGAGATCTCAACAAAGATTCTCCGGAGATCAAGAAGTTGTTGGGAAATACCAAACTACACAAAGTGTTCCCTGGGATCGATTACACGCCTATGTACACACAATACCCCGACTGTTTGACCTACCCAGCGTCTCAAAACAACGTAACACGAGACATGGCGGTCCTCTCCCAACTTACGAATGTAGTACGACTTTACGGAACAGACTGCAACCAAACGGAAATGGTCATCCACTCCATTGAACAACTAGGCTTGAAGAACGAAGTCAAAGTATGGATGGGTGTCTGGCAGGACAGGAACGACACAACCAACCAACGCCAACTCGACCAGATGTACTCCATCTTCGACAAATACGGCGCCGACCCATTCGTCGGAGTCATCGTAGGAAACGAGGTCCTCTTCCGCGAAGACATGACCGCCGCAGAGCTCAAGACCGTCCTCACAGGCGTCAAGACCAACCTCACAGCCGCAGGCATCAGCCTCCCACTCGCATCGTCCGATTTAGGCGACGACTGGACCGCCGAATTAGCCAACGAGGTCGACTACGTGATGGCTAACATCCACCCTTTCTTCGCAGGCGTGGACTCCAAGAGCGCCGCGTCGTGGACATGGGATTTCTGGCAGAATCACGACGTGGTGCTCAAAGCCGACGTCTCCAAACACATCATCTCCGAGACTGGCTGGCCATCCACTGGTGGGACGGGCTGTGGAGGGGCAGCGACGTGCACGGGTGGTTCGGTCGCTGGGATTGACGAGATGAACTCTTTCATGGATGATTGGGTGTGTCAGGCGCTGGCGAACGGCACGAATTATTTCTGGTTCGAGGCGTTTGATGAGCCGTGGAAGATCAAGTTTAATGAGAAGGGGAAGGAGTGGGAGGATAAGTGGGGGCTGATGGATGTTAATCGTAATCTGAAGCCCGGCGTCACCATTCCGGATTGTGGGGGGAAGACGGTTTCGAAGGTTTGAGGGCGTTGGTTGGTGACACGGTTCAGAAAATGGATTATTGTGCTTCGGGATGTACGCATTGAAATGAAATGCTTGGGATGAAGGAAGGTACACGGCACTCTATGGATGGGCGGGGTGTTGGTGTTGGTGTCAAGTGCATGAGTGAGGACGTCGAGTGGAAACGACTTTTTTGGGGCCAGCATCATTTCGCTGATATACTCGAAAGTCATTCGATTCAGATACAGCAATAATGTCACAAAAGGAACTGGAACTAGGACAGGAACAGGGACAGGGACAGGAACAGGAAGAAGGTACATACACGGATCACGAGTAAAGCAGGTCTTCATACATCTTTCTTGGCGTACTTGCAAGCATGGTTTGGCTCATGGGACTGTAACTCAAGTTCAAAATATACGGGACCTTTTTATTATCTCTCATCGCAGGGGAATGGGAAGGATGGCATGGTTTTGCAGGGTGATTGGCTGGGGGTGTATATAAATCTATATATGTGTCGGCGGAAAGAGGAGTGCATGCACTTTTTGGAGTTTTTTGTGGCTTTTAGTGTTTTTTTTTTTTTTTTTTTTTTTTTTTTTTTTTTTTTGGGGCTGGACGGGGTAGGGGGCAGGGACTTGGGCTGTCTGGTTGGTGAGAGGGAGCAGAGCGTGGTGATGGTAGGCAGAGAATATTGTGAGAGGAAGAGGAAGGGGAAGGGAAAAGAGAGGGAGGTGTATATACGTATGTACGTATATATGTATGTATATATATAACTCGGTCGACAGAATTTTTGAGGAGATGAAATAAAAATAATCGATTTGTACGTGCGTACGTACCGCTCAAACTTGATATGGTTCACGATGTCTCTCTATCTACCTATGCTCTTTACTGTGAGCCGTCCATCCTTCTGTATATACATTTACATAATCCCAGTTGCCGTTCACACCAAACCCAAGAGCAAAGTACAGGTTTGTGAACTTTTCACTCTTGTTATACATCAGATATCGACTGAAGAAGACTGACGGAGACGACTCCTCGCTATCTCCATCTCCACCTTCGTCCTCAAACACATACTCATACTCATCCACATACCTATCCACATCCACATCTCTATCCTTATCCTCACCATCTCCTCCTCCCGCCCTCATATCATATTCATTCACATCCTCATACTCATACTCATCCTTACCCCTATCAACATACACATACTCATCAACCCACCAACTAAGCCACAACACTTTCAACACCTTCCACAAACTTACTTAATTATCTTATGCCTCTATCTAAACTTCTATAGTTATTAGTCTAGCTCAGCTCAAATCAAATATCGCTTTCACAATGGAATGAATGGATGGAAGACTTGACTTGATTTGACTTGACTTGACTTGACTTGACTTGACTTGACTTGACTTGTCCTATCCTGTGCTGTGCTGTACCTTTATTTTTTCTTCGCCTCTTTCTTTCCACTACCCTCCTTACCTCCTATCTTTCCTCCTTTCTGGCAAGTCTTAGCTACAGCAAGTAGTCAGTAGCCGAACTCGCGAAATACCTTTCGTTCTCCAGCCAAGATAGATCAGATCGGTTTGGATGATGAATGATGGATGAAATGTTTGCAACTAGCATCCGCGGTGGCAGTACACACAAGGGTGAGGGTCGGTAGGTGTCCTGTGATGAAAAGGAAGGTACTGCGCCGACTTGCGAGTGGTGCGGTGCGGTGCGGTGCTTGGATGTAATTTTTGAAGATGATTGGGTGATTGAGGAGGTTGGGGGTGGATGGAGGGTTGGTGGGCTGGGTTGGGGAGGGGAGGGGGACCAGGAGGGGAGGTAATTGTGATGAGGGCTGGTTTTGGGGGTGGTTTTGGGTGAGGAAGAGGAGGAGGAGGAGGAGGAAACTGAGATGTATGGATTCGCGGCCTTGGAGGCATTTGGTCGATAACCACGAGTGGGAATAGCTTGGATAGGCAATCTATCCGCCACTACCCACCCACGTCTTTGTCGCCAATTCTTGTACCACCATCCGAAAGGCGCTGATCTCCTTGATGGAGCTCGCGAGACCACCAAAAAAGGACTTTCTATGAGCAGTAGAAGGAGGTAGGATACGCTTTCTCTTGTTCAATCTTGCGGATGCATTATTCTCTTTCTTAGAGTCGGGATCAGCAGTTCCATCTGGCATGATCGAGGGCGGACCCGAGGCGTAGGATTTGTGTGCTGTTCACACTTTGCAAGCCAGTCGAACTCCCCCCGGCAGTCCTCACATACTTGCCTATGTCCTAGCACCCTACACACCTCCACAATACAAGACCTATTTCACCCACGCCTCATGTCTACCCAAGATACCTCTTGATATCCTCGATATCCTCCAATGCAGACAGACGCCTCGGAACTATAACAGTGTTATAAATATAGTAGCTATAGAAAGTGCGGACTTCTTAGTTAGAAGCTATTGCTACTTGACAAGTTAGAGATTCAGAGATATAAGTACAGCATCTAAGATAAGTTCGTACAAGTAGATAGTCTTGGAATAAAACTATCTTCAGATAGGGTTGCTTTAAAGGTTACAGACTAAAATAGAATGCGATTCGGTGTTTACAAACCCGCCAAGTTGTCACTTGAGAGAAAGAAATCACACTGTCCTCATACTGTAGAATAGCAAGTATCTCGATCCCAGAGAGGGTTCACAAATTATGACATCGAATATACATCATGACCCCGCAGGTATTTCTCTGCTTACAACTATTCTCTATTCTACAGAACAGATAATCTTCCCCTTCGACTGATTACTCTCCATCAACTCATGCGCCTCCTGGATATCCCTCCAAGAAAACACCTTCTCAACCGGCACCTGAAAAGTCCCATCCACAAACCTCGGCACCGCAAACTCAACCAGCAAATCCCTCAACCGACTCTGGTAATCCAGCCCCCGACTCCGCAATCTACTCCCCTCCCATCTCAACCTCTTATTCTCAAGCAATCCAATATCCAGCCCAGCACCCAACTTCGACCCCCCAAGACTAGCAAGTTGCACGATCCGTCCATCCATAGCTGCAACCTCGAGATTCCCCTGCGAGTAACTCCCACCGATGAAATCCACAATCACATCCACGCCATGCCCGTCCGTAGCGGCCTTAATACCACTCACCCAGTTCTGGGTGTGGTAGTTGAACCCAGCTGTCGCGCCGAGGGTCTTGCAGAACTCGACTTTCTCGTCTGAGCCGGCGGTGACGAAGATCTTGCTTGCGCCGTTGGCTCGAGCGAGCTGGATGCCGGCGATGGAGACGGATGATGCGCCGGCGTGCCAGAGGACGTTGTCGCCTGGCTTGAAGCAGCCGACTAGGTGGAGGGCTTGGGTTGCTGTTATCCATGTCTGGTGGGAGCGTCAGCTGAGACTACTTATATTTTTTGGTGGAGAGATGAATGGGAGGATACGTACTTCTGGAATACCAGCTGCTACTGTCCAGGATATTTCTTTCGGCTTATGGATAAGCATCTTTGTTGACGTTGCCAAGTACTCCGCATATGCTCCTGTGAATCCTCCTATCAATATCTACACCGACAAAAGAATCTGCGGACGTACCCCCATAAGCGAGTCCAAACACCTCATCACCAACAACGAAATCTCCTGTCTCTCCATCCCCCAACTCAACAATCCATCCAGAGAACTCAACACCTAGAGTCTTGCCTGCTTGAGGAGGAACGTTGTATTTCCCTTCTCGTTGCATCAAGTCCATGCGGTTGAGGCCAAAGGAGTGGATCTTGACGAGGGCTTGGGACAATCCTGGGCGTGGTTTTGGGATGTTTGTATTGAGAAAAAGTGAACTGGCTGGGCCGGTGCCGTTTTTGATATCTGGTTGTGTCAGTAAATATACAGAATATGAGGTAGGAGTTGGGTATTACCGATGGCTCTCATTGTTGACATTTTGGCGAGGTTGGAGGTTGTGGGTTCGAGATGGTTCTATGGCTGAGAATTGATGCTTCTTATTTCTACCAGACCTTGATCGTCTCTTTATATCAGTTTGACTCGCTGTCGTATGTATCGTGCTCTCAGGTCTCGAACATATCGGCTGACATTTCGTCGCATCTCTTCCATCGTCAGCAAGACCATGCCGATATCCCGACATCTTTCTCCCCCGCATACGGAATTATTTCCATCACTTCCTCACGAACAAATACGTCATGTCATCCTACTTCCGAAATAATCCTTATTCAGATATCTCCTATTTCGGCGTAAGTGAGGCTATCGCCGAGTGACACCATTGCTGACACACCTGGTTGCAGAAGCGAGTGCTGACTCGGATTGCGCTGATTGGCCAATTCGACTTTCTGTATCCACGAGAGTGGTCCTGGTCAGTCTGACCAAATATGCAGTAAAGCTTATGCTATTTGAATCCCAGACGTGGTATGATATTCTATATGTGCTTTATTTCCGAGCTCGGCTCGTGATATCCGATTTCTCCTGCACTCCGTGGATAGGATATATAGCTAAACAGCCAAGTCGACTGACTTCAAGTCCCCAAATCAACTTCAGCCAATTTTCAAGATCCTACTCAATCACTCCTCAGTAAATCCAGAACCCTAGTCTCAATCATGGCCAAACGAGTCCTCCTCACAGGTGCAAATGGCTTCGTCGGCTCTCATGTCCTCGAACAATTCCTCCTCGCCGGCCACTCAGTCCGCGGCATTGTCCGCAGCCAATCCAAAGCACAACAAGTCCTCGCCGACTTCCCCAACCACGGATCCAATCTCGACTTCGGTATCGTACCAGACATCACATCTCCTGGAGCATTCGACGAAGTAGTCAAGTCGAACCCGCCATTTGACCTAGTCATTCACACTGCATCGCCGTTCTTGTACCGTGTCATATCTAGTAATCGCGAGTTCCTGGATCCGGCTATCAAAGGAACTTTGGAGGTTCTGAAATCAGTTAAGCAATATGCTCCGAGTGTCAAGAGGGTGGTGATTACGAGTAGTTGTGCTGCTGTTGTTGATTTCTCTGCTCCGCCGTCTGTGCCGAGAAAGGTGTACACTAAAGATGATTGGAATCCAACGACGTGGGAAGCTGCCCTGTCGGGATCGCCGAATACTGGATATCAAGCTAGCAAGAAGTTCGCTGAGCTTTCTGGTATGTGATCTCTCCTTATATATTCCACGGCGTAGAAGAATCCAAATGCTGACAGGCTCAAACAGCTTGGGATTTCATCAAAACCGAGAAGCCAAATTTTGACTTGGTCACATTGACCCCTCCAATGGTGTACGGTCCACTTCGACACTCGATATATAGCCCAAAAGAACTCAACGAGTCTAACTCCAGGATCTACAAACTCTTCATCGATTCCAAGAAAGACGCTGAGCTTCCTCCAAATGGCATGCATGTGTACACTGACGTCCGAGTACGATACTTCCTACCCAATTATCTCGGCAAAAACTAATTTCTAACAGGATCTCGCACTTGCGCATCTCAAAGCAGCCACAGTGCCCGAAGCATCTGGTCAGAGATTCATCATCTGCGCTGGACAGGTCTCGTCGCAGCAGATATCAGATACTCTGAGAAATTCGCTGCCTGAGGTTGAGGAGCGGACTCCGATTGGAGTTCCTGGAGGAAATCCATTACCTGAGGGTGCCTATGATTGTAGTAGTGAGAAGGCTAGGAATGTGCTGGGGATGAAGTTCAGAAGCTTGGAGGAGACATTCGTTGATTTGGGGAAGCAGCTGCTTGAGATTGAGCGAAAGGAGAAATTTTGAGTTTTTGAGTGAGTAAGAACCAGGAAACTGATCAGCTGGTGTTGTTATTGAGGGTGTTTAGAATGGGCTTATTGAGGTGTATGTAAAGTTAATTAGTATTAAAGAAAGTCTCTTGACTCGTGCGTGTTTGTGCTGTTCTCTATTCTGCAATTTCTTACATACAGGACAACTTGTGTTTAGGAATGGTAAATACGATGATCTCTAGCCGAGTCATGGATGAGAGGGCCGAGCTGGCTTTTACTTTTGTGAGCCTGTCATGGGACGTTTGGAAGGTTGATGCGGCTGAGAGTATATGGTTCAGTGGTGTATTCCTACCCCAGTCAAAGAGACGTTCTGGACTTTGTCTCGCGTCTCAATTTAGATTGAGTGTGGCTAGAAGCTCTATTTTCGTGGGGCCGTGCGTTGGAAATGAGTTTTAGACTCGAAAATGAGTGGCTAGTGGCTGGTGGGTGGCTTCATTGATAGAGATGTTTTCTCCGGTAACAGAGCTAGATGAAGGGTCAACAAGATAAGCTATGCCACGCTACTAATGTCTAAGACGTGTGTGAGCCCTTCCAGACTTCCACATGAACACAGCGGGTCACACCAAGCTTCTTACATGATAAACCGACGCAAGTAGAACTCGAATCAAATGAAATCACTTTCGTTTGACAACTTTGACGTGAAGTGCTTTGGTGTGCTCCTGTGCCACCATAACTCGAGGGTCGCGCATGATTTGACAGATCATTGCGCTAAACCTGAGCACAACGCTGGGTTAAGCCTTCGCCCGTAGCATTGAAGTTGTACGAATCTCATCGGCAGAACTTACCATAGCACTGGTATCTGTAGTGGCACTATTCATCACACAAGATCATCTGTTTTTGCTCGATGCTTTGGGGGCTGGGTTGCTCAGCAACTAGCGAGACTTTAGGTAGGGTGTTTTGGTGTCACGTGAGTTGTCACTTAACCAGCCACCCAGCTTCATGTGGCTTGGAGAGGTGTGAGACCAATTGACAAGTCGTAATTGATGGAAGGAAGGCGGTACCTCCGTACCTGTTGTTCTTTAAGCGGAAATAATGGCAAAAAAAAAGAAACCTAAAGATGTTGAGGATTCTGTCATCCGGGCAACCGGCAAAAGTCGAAAATGACAACATGTGATAGTGGACAAGTCGAGCCGCTTTTTCTGGCCACAGGCAGCAGTCAGAACGGACCATGACATCAATCGTCAAACATGGGATGATCTCAATTGAATCCAGGAGATGAGAACGAACCCGATCAATCGTAACCATCAAAGACTGATGGTTCGCGGGAAAACTTCGAGAAGCAGGGGAAATGACATTGGCTGGAGAGGCGGCTCAACGGACGATGTTGAAAGAATTCAGCTCTGGAAATGGAAGGAGACAAGACCAAGAGCTGATTTGCAAAGCAGGCTCTATTGGTAGGAAATACCAATGGCCAAGACAGGGGAATGTTTATCATATGTGCAACTCAGGCAACATCGCTCTGTATGGCTGAATCGTATCCACCAGCAAAAAGAAGTTCGAAGATGCATCACCAAGGAGACGACAAGGATACGTTTCACGAACTCTTGACGGACAGCTTTTGAGCCATTTGTTTTGTGGGGTTGGGAGGATGATTGCAAAGCCGAGCAAATCATACAAAGCTCGCCAAGGATAAATCCGGATCAAAGCTGCACATAATTTTTGACCTGTGAGCATGGGCCGTTCGAGCCATCGAGATGCATGCGATGCAATGCGATGCGATGCGCGTCCTCTTGCGCACTCCTCCTCATCCGGACCGACAGCGGAATGATCCTGGGCGGCGCCGTCTTCAAGACAGACTTTTCGCTTTCGCGATGCCTTCGTCTGTTTTTGAAACGATGACATACAGCCATCAGTCACATGAACTGTACCTATGTAGCCGAGCGATAGTCAATATACAGACCAAGGCAGGATACGATACTTGATACTCTACTCAACTGAACTGAACGAGCAACAATATCTTCATGCAGTCAAGCTTTCCACTCAAGCCGGGACAAATGCCCCCGCTCCAATCCAGTACCCCAGATTTGCCACTTGCCAAGGGCCATGGGTTACAGTATCCACCCCACCCTTGGAGGGAGCCCCAAAACATCACCACATCACCACATCAGCATCAGCACGAACATCAATAATAATAATAATGTCTCACGATTCATGGGAGAGTTACATTCGGACATGTTTTGACTTCCATATCAGTCCAGCCTACGCGGTGGATAATTTCCAGATCGCTTCGAAGCTTCGTATTCAGACTTTTTCCCGACCTCCCCTGTTCTTCTTACGAGGCTGCATGACATGTCATTGGCTTAATGCCCAGGAGCTACATGAAGTCGTGCAACCACCACGCTCCAGCTGGGCCATCTTCCTGCAGACAGCTTCTTAGAGTGTGCTTTAGCATCCTTCTAGCACCCCTCTTGATACTGTGGCTACCCCTCCATTTAGGCCGAAGCAACAGCCTGCGGACTGGGGACCAACCACTGGAATTTTAGCCGCCAAATCGACAGGGAGGTCTAATCCGCACGACCATCACCACTTTCGAGGACTAGATGCGCACACTTGCAAGTCTCGCTCTCAACAAAGTTGCGTGCTGATCATCCAGCCTCCTTCCCGAAGCTTCCCTTCCTCCCCCCCTTCCCTCGAACTATTGCTTCTGCCGTTAGGAAGGTTTCTCGCTTGTGCTGCAATGCCAGGGATGAAGTCATCGCCTGGTGTCAGATGTGCAGAGTTTACCATCATCCGGGAGCCCACCGAGCCCACTTCGCCGTCATTCATGGGTAGTAGACAGGACTACTATCCCCTGCCTCTCGCCTTTCTCGCATTGAGAGACAGAGATCTGGCGCCAATAATTCGGTGTGATAGCTTTTTGGTTCGGTTCGGTCGTGTGGGCTTGGTATCCCGATCAACCTTTCTTTATAAAGCTCCCCGCCTCCTCTTTCTTGCTGTTTCTGCTCTCTCTAGTTTACATCAAGGAATATTTAAACCCAGGTCCTCGTCCCCCTTGTTCGATTGTCATTCGCTTTCAATTGAAATATCGTCTTGTACTGTTCATTCGCTCAACATGCAGACTACATTCGCTCTCGCTGCTCTGGCCTCTGTTGCCTTTGCCCTTCCTCAAGGTGGCCCATCCAACAAGTCCCCTGATACTCCTTCTCCAGCAGGATGCCAAAAAACCTATAATGGGGAGTTCCAAATCACCATTGTCAATGGCTCGTCGACTGCTGTGACTAAGGTATGTTCTTCAACGATGCATCGACTTCCCTCACTGACCCTAACAGCGCCAAACCACCTGTGGCCAAGCGAATCTCTTGACCGCAAAGCTCGCCGACGGTGTCCTCACCGACTCTCAAGGCCGCATTGGTTCCATCGTTGCAAACTATCAGTTCCAATTCGATGGACCACCTCCACAAGCTGGTGCACTCTACACTGCAGGCTTCTCTGTCTGCCAGAACGGAACATTGGCTATTGGTGGCTCGGCAGTCTTCTATGCGTGCCAGAGTGGAGAATTCTCCAACCTCTACGACCGCGCCTGGGCTAATCAATGCAAGCCTGTCTTCCTCAACGTCCTCCCATGTGGTTCTTCTGGAGGCGCTGGTCAAAAGCCTGATGGACAGCCAACATTCACCTCTGCCGCTCCTCCAGTCTCCCAAATCGGAGATGGTCAACCACAAGGAACCACTGCTGTCAACCCACCAGTCACTCAGATCGGAGATGGACAAGTTCAAGTACCAACCAAGGCTCCACACCCAGTCACTCAAATCAGCGATGGACAGATCCAGGTTCCCAATGGAGTTCCCATCACTCAAATTGGCGATGGACAAGTTCAGGCACCAACTGGCGTCACCCAGATCTCTGATGGACAGGTTCAAGTTCCTACCTCTGCTCCAGCTCCTCCCGTCACCCAAATTTCAGACGGACAGGTTCAAGTCCCCACTGTCGCTCCTACTCCAGTCACTCAGGTATGCGCTGAACGTTCTGCAAATGCAAACAAACAATTCTAACTTGTGAATAGATTTCCGACGGACAGGTCCAAGTCCCAACTGTCGCACCAACCCCAGTCACTCAGGTAAATTCCTCCGCCATGGGCCAAATGTGACAACATCTAACAATATTACAGATCCCAGACGGACAAGTTCAGGTCCCAACAACAGCCGCTGGCCCAACCGTCTCTCAGGTATGCTGCACCAACCTCCTTTACTCTTGTGACGCCTGAAACTTAGAAGTGATATATCTGACACATGACATTAGATTCCCGACGGACAAGTCCAAACCAACACCACCATCCCCGTCATAGTCGGCCCCAACGCCGGAAACGGCTTGAAGGTTGCCGGCTCCCTCGCCGCCATCATGGCTGGCCTCGCCGCCGTGCTCCTCTTGTAAAATTGAGGCGCGCGCGCCTCCACAAACTTTTCAATTCTATAATTGAATTTCGAATAGGGATAGCGGGAACATCAATAGCCGCGAACACTTTAATCGTTGATTAGATTACGACACTCATTTACGGCTGCATATGGATATGGATAGGGATTGGCTGGAATGCTTATGGATATGGACATGGGAACTGAGAATTTGCATATATGCAGCGTTGGCATGTCTCGCATGGTTTGGCATTGCGCATCACACATCATCGTCATGAATTGGTTTGCGAAAAAATTGCATCGGTATCTGGCGGAGGATTAATTAATTGGTGGCTGGTTTGGAAGCCCAGAAGGATCGATGTCTCGATGCCTTGTAATGTCTGGAATGGACGTTGGAGATTAGGATAGTCGCAGAGTGAATACAGAATCGAGAGAATGTAACTCAATACACCTCGCCTAAATCCCTTGCCTTGTTTGATCCTACTCCTTGACATGACCCACAGCACATTCTTAATGACACATCATATTGACCTGAAATGATGTTTAACATTTCGGAGTAAAGGCCATGAGGACCAGAGACAGTACTCGTAGAATAGAACCCCACATGAAGTTAAGTTTCTAACCCCTAGCGTCGTCCTTCGGCCACCGAAAATCCTTCCCTCGGCATTCCTCCTCCCGATTCGAGCGATTCCTTTACACCTCCTACCTAGGCACTGGAGAAACAAACTTATGGATTGTGGATCTCGATTCTTAACCACAACTGCCCTCGCGCTCTACGGAGTACAGTACACACCACCTATTTCCCAATCTTCAGCACTCCCTCGCCAAGATCACGCCACCACAACACACCATCTGGCCAGACACACCCAACACGCCTCAAAGTCAACAATCAACTTACCCCAGCCATCAGATCTGTACAGCCTGCCAGCCACACAGCTAAACTCTCCTGCATCTCCAGCTAACTAGCCACTACTGACGAGTTGACTCCGAGCTCCCCAAGTCCGGAGGTGGCTCCGCTCTGCCTGCAGAAACCAGCCAGCGCTACCGCCGTACTGTAAATTTACAGTAGAAGAACAGACCTCGAACTAAAAAAAAATCAAAATCAAACTTACCTTACTCTGTGCGGCCCTGTGCCAAGAAATGTTGTTTTCCTACGCCGAGTTAAGTTATTTGACGCTCGTAGAGTTTCGAGCCATGCTAGTTTGGGACGACGCCTTCTAGCTTTTTTAGATCTTGAGTTTACAGTACTTTAGCTTTGCGGCCGAGGTGAGGCGAGGCGAAATCAGGATTGGGCTTTGGTCTCAGAGCCGCACTATGAGTGAATGTGTGAGTGGGTTAGTGAGTGAGAGTTCCGCGATGCGTTAGTTAGCGGGGAGGAGACGAGAGAAGAGGAGGGCGAAAGAAGAGTGGTGGTGTGGTGTGGTGTGGTGTGCAGGTGCGGCGTCAGTGCGGGGTAGATGTCTTGCTTTTCGGATTTCCTGGGCTCTTTTCTCCTCCTCCCCCTCGCTCAGATTTCCGGTTTCAGGAAGAGATAGGTAAGGTAAGGTAGGGTGAGATGGTTAAATCGAAGCTTGCTGGGCAGACGTATCCAAGAGAGTGCTTGTTCTATATGCCGCGCAATATTATGTTTGATACACCTTAGACGGAGATCAGGATCGCTCTGATCACCCGCGAAGCGAGAATGTCGAAACCTGGAAGAGGCAAAACACAATAAACAAACAAATAATAGCAAGAGAGCAAAAGTTCATGATTCAGGTTCGAGATTTTGGACCTTCTCTCCTCATGACTAAGACCGAGACTCGAATCAAGAAAAGTAGCACGAGATCAGCCCCCCGATTGCGTGTACCAGCGCTTATCTAGAGCCGGCGTAAAAGTTTACTGTACAGTACATCTCGCCGACGCACAGATCGGAGACTAGAGTTAGCTCGTGAGCCGCTTCTTAGTCTTGGTATAAGCTAGAGAAAGGAATACGAAGAGTAAGTAAGTGTAGCGGGGTGTCATTGCTTCTTTGGAAGGGATCTCCTTGAAGATGGTGCTGAATTGGGGATGGAAGCACCAGTAGAGGTTGCGTTTGGTTGCGGGTTTTGAGTTGGAGTTGGAGCTTCAGTAAGTGATGTCATGATGCGATGTCTGTGCTGAAGACGGGATGTTGAATGCGATGTAGACTTTTAAGTGACACTTGGCGTGCGTTTGCGGTTGACTCTAGTTGAAGGGTTCAAGCTTGAGGTCATGATTTTCTGTTGGGGGCGGTGCAACACGGGAGAGCAGCGCGATGTGCAGCTAGGGTTTGACCGAGTTGGGTACATGACTTGAAGGTGTTCTGATGTCATTGATGCTTTGACGATCTTTCTAATTGAATTTTCCTTTGGTACTGGCTTTCGTTCATTTGCAAGCATTCTTGAGGTTGTCGTTGTCGTCGAATAAGTCGTGATAAAGCGGGGTCATCGCTATCGAGGCGAGCCAGGTTAATCACTCAATGTCTCAGCTATAGCACAAAGTCGCTCAGCTGAGACACAAATCAAGTGATACTAGATATTGTAGCTTTGGACGGTTAAAGCTGTCCGAGTGTGGATGGTGGTATTGCTAAGCTATTGCTCGAATGCTGGCTAGATCTGACAACGAGAAGAGCTCCGTTCGGAACGATGTTCTGAACAGGTAAGCGATGATAGGTCGGCCTCGGAGACAGATGCGATCAGTGTAACTGCCGATTATTACTTATAGTGCCCGTGTTCCATGGGGCACTTCTTGATAAGTACAGGCATCTGAGCAGGGACATTAGAGATACTTCATACATAGCTTCGAAATCCCAGAATTCACAAAATTGAAAACAATGAACTGGATTTTGCAGCGTGAAGTATGTTCTGATCCTAGTAGTATCTATTTCTGGTATAGTAGATTCTCGTGTATTGCATATGCTTCCCTCTGCTCTGTTCATCCCCTCTGATCGAAAGTTTCAATGCTGTATCCTGCCCAGCATCCACATCTTTGGAATCACAGCTCCTGGATAGAATCATACTTGTGAATGAGCATGAATATGAGTATATGTACAGGAGTTGTCTCACATCAAGTAACATCATTGGAGCCTTCGGTTTCGTTTCCCATTTCAAGTAGACTTCATCGTGCACTTCTCCCACACTAAGCGAGGCATGCTCGGTTCACCACTTCCAGATTCGGCTCAAAGTCAATATTGACGACATATGTTCTGCTTCGCCTATAATCCGCTTCTTCTCCAGATGCAAAAGAGAACCGAATAGCAAATAACAGCATACAGTCTTCCACAGCCTGCCTTTTCGGCGCGTCGCATTCGCAACATCACTATTCTCGCCCTGCCAGGAACAGTACTAGGTGAAAGAAAACCACAAAAAGTGCAGAGTCACGCAAGTATTACTGTAGAAAGTATGAAAGCAATACTTCAATTTTGTATGGCGGAATCCTTACAATAATTCCCAAAGTATATTCTGCATGTTCGGAATTCCGTTAGTCACAATGCCAAGACAGCCCCACGTCCTTCACATGTAACGTCACGTACCGTCCACGAATAATCTTCATCCTCCAGAATTCTCTCCTTGAGACGGAATCGCCAGAACACTTACCATTCTTGTCCCTGCTAGCTTCACACAATGGAATTCCATCAGTTCCCAAAACTACCAACTGAGCTGCGCTTCAGGATCTGGAGTTTCACACTCCCCACTCCTCGAGAATTTGGCCCCATTGGACCAAAAGGAACAGAACCCCAGTCCACGAAAGACAGCACCTCAAATCTAAATGAGTCTGGAAATAATGCATTTTTGGAATTCGAGATCCCAGCTTTACACATCAACCATGAATCCCGCACTGTTGCTCTTCAACACCTCACACGAGCTTGGGACGACAACGCCAGCAAAGTGATCTACGTGAACTACTCCCTCGACACGTTCACATTCACCAGCATCGACTACCTCCTACACCTCGTCCGTCGAAGCGGGCTCATGCATGGCGGCGGTCCTTTCCCCTCTTGTAAAGACATGAAGAACATGCAGAGGATCAAGATCACGTTTACGATTCAGAGCCTGAATTTACATCTGAGGATGTGTCTTGAGCGGGTATTGCAGCCTTTCGATGTGCTGAGGGAGATTGTGGTTGTGGTGAAGATGTCGTTTCAAGGGGATGTGTATAGGAGTAATTCGATTGAGAAGAGTGTTGCGAAGACCATTACGGATGCGAAGGGGTTTGCGAGGGAGATTCTGGAAAAGTCCTGGGAAGGCAGAGCGGGAAAGGTCCCGAGGTTGGTTATTGAAGAGCTGAGAGTTTGAGGACCAGGTACCTGTGTGTACTTATAGACTGAGTGATGAGTTCGGGCCCATCAATTGAAGGATCTGGCAGTTCACGGCATACAAAAAGTTCAGTGCTCAGCCCTGCCATTCTCGAGATATTGCGAGCCCCGAATGCTGTGTCTGCTGTTTATTTTGCGCTTACAACAGCCTGTGGTCAAGTCCTCCCGTGAAGCCTTTCTCTGAAGCTGTCAATAGACAAAGCCAATCATTTTCGCCAAATTTCATACCGACCTTTGTCCTGCTGTGCGGTCTTTTGAGTTCAACAGGACTTTTTGCCGAGTCTGAACGCGGGTGATTTCTAGCATCAACTTCCTCACCATTGGCCAGTTGATGATAAATTGTTGGGAAATTCACCTAACCTCTACCTTTTCTACCTGGTTCTTTCCTATTGACGCAAACACTGTCTGAATTAACTCCAAATTCAGAACTCAGGTCCAAGCCACCGTCTATTAGACCCCCTTCCGCTGGTATTATCCTTCCAAAACTTTCTTCCAACATCAACCGCCTCCAGAACAACACTTCTGGTAAACCTCCCACCCCACTTATTCACTCATCTTCACCTTCCTCATCCATCTCTATCACTTTGCAAGTACAGCCATTGTACAAGTTCCAATGACACCCCTACCAAGCGCCGCCGAGCTCGCCTCCCGTGGTCTCCTCGACCCACCACCCAGCACCCTCCACCTCCACGACCTAATCAACGCCTGCCAAGACGGCATCTACGCCAAAGACCGGCTCTCCGACCAAGTCATCGGCATGCTCATCTTCGCGGTCGACTCCGGCATCATCAAAGCCTGGGAAGGCACGATTTTCCAGGTTCCATTCGTGCAAGGGTTCAAGCTGCGGAAGGGGCAATTGCACCTCGGACGGCCGTTCTTGGGACCAGATGGGAAGGTGTTGAAGTTGAGGGGTGTGGTGTGGTGTGGTGAACACCAGGGAGAGGTTTCTGCATTGGAAGATTTGGACGTCATCAAGAGACATTCGGGGTATGCGGCTTGGGTGAGAGGGGTGCTTTATTGTGGAGGTACCAAGAATGACGGCACGTATGTGAGGAGATATATTTTCAACTCGCTTGTGAGTTGCGATGCGAATGTCAACAACAAACCCTACGCGCCGGGTCCGCTGTCGATCATGCCAGGTGGTGCCGCTGCTGCCGACTTGGAGAGCGAGAATGATGCCTCTGCAACATCGAAGAAGAGGAAGCGTGGCTTACCTGCTGCTGCTGCTCGAAGAACTAGCCCTGAGATCGCAGAGGGATACTGTCCTATCTCCGATGATTCCTCCTCATCTTCGTCATCCGACGACAAATTCGAAGCTGAGAACGAGCCCGAAGCCTCTTCCCAGCCCATTAACAAATCACCTCGCAGCATTCTTCCCAGCACTCCCCAAGCCACGCTCATGGAATCAACCACGGTGAAAAAATATAATGGTTGGTTGCTAAAGGGGATCGAAATCACCGTGAAGATGACATTCACGAAGGGCGGTCGTAGAAGTACCTTTTCGGAGGAGACAGTCGTGGATACAATCGAGGAAGCAAGAGAATTCATGAACGACAATTTGTCTTGGTTGGAGAACGAGGCTCCTGGTATTTTGCGAGCCAGGCTCGTGGTATCGCCCACAGTCAAAAATCAGAAAGGACGCGGGGTAGCAGAAGAGATACAAGTCATCGTGAAGCACACATTTGAGCTGGACGGCCGCAGAGGTACAGATATGAGCGATTATGCTATGAAAAACGTCGGGGATGCGAGGGGATTTGTGGAAGAAATTTTGTCTTCATTTCAGTATGAAGATGAAGAGGGTAAGGGGAAGTGGAGAGTCAGAATTGGGTGATGAGATTGAAGGTCTGGAGTGATGGATCTCGCTAGAGTATGGACGTAAACAAATACCTTTGATGCTAGATAAAGCTAATGGCGACTCAGTGCTTGTGATGTGGACATTCAAAGGGTGCTCACTGGACGGAGACATATAACGGAAGATGGACTTTCCAGGTACATACTCTATCTGACATTGTATCAGGGCACGCTGTTCAACTCACACAACCTCTAAAAAGGTCTGCTGAGATTTGCTGCAGCTAAAGAAAGTTTCATTCCAAGATCTTCTAAAGTACTTACTCACCTCGCACGTTATATACACACATCTCCGAACCCCCAACTTCTCAAGCCATAATAGATTCCAACCAAGAAAACCTGCACTCTTTGTAGCCAGTGCATCCATGACACCCGCCATTAGAAAATCCTTTTGACATACAGGCAAGCAATTAAAGACCCTCACGCGCTCTGAACAGTTAAGTTGTTGAGGAGATTGATATGGAAGCGCCATTTCCTAGGTTGGGGCGACATCAGAGGTTCATGGTGCAAGTGGAATGTCGACGGGAGTGGTTTCCTAAAGTATACTTTCCGCTTCAACGCAACCAGCGATATCATCATCTTCCACGCAAATCAAGCTTGGATTTCTAGGATTGCGTCTTTCAAAAGTTTGCCAGTCAAGCATTTAGCTATTCTTCGCCATGCTGCGATTGCGGTGCAGAGTATAGAGGTAGATGTCGATCGGGTCCGATCCTGCAGATTCATGTTGATGGAATAGGGAGAGAGTCTTGGGGATCGAGCTGTTCGTGGAAGAGCTGTGAGGAGGGCTGTGAGTAGATGGATGGGATGAGGAGGTTCCTGGGCCTTTTCCCGCTGCTGAGAACTTTTGGGATTGCAGATATTGGTTTGGAGACTTGTGACATCGAGAGATGAGCGAGGCTTAGTCTGTGAAAATATACGTCGGCGTATGACCTGCCTCTGTTAAGGAGAAGGATCGACGCACGATTGTTCAGTAATCAGAAATAGTGGAAGTGGGGAATTGTGCGTAGTGTATGATGAATTCTCGGGGTGGAAGTATCCTAAAAACAGTGCAGTTGAGGAGTTTCGGAGAGTAGGGCAGCCGACTTTTCCATACAACCAGGTGCCAGAGGGGGTTAACGTTCGTTTTATTGGACAATTGCGTTGCAATTACCCAGAAGTAACATGAAATTGGCGCACCTGAGCAAATATTCATTCAAGCCAAGGTATTCATAGCGTACTGACGACCTTCGTGTCTTCGTAGGTATCTGTGTACCACCTTCACATTTTCTGAAATTCGGAGTCGATGCCACTATCATGCCAACGCCGGCGAGGCTTCGGGGATGGTTGTTGAGACCTGAAGGGGGATGGATAGTACGCGGCAGTCCAGGACGTTTCGCCCAGTTCTTCGACCGCAGAACTGTTGCCCAGCATCAGATCCAACCTAGTTAGCCAACTTAAGCTTGAGTCTTCGAAAAGAAAAGGAGGATCTGATCATTAATTGGGGTATTGACAAGGCTGTGCCCAAACAAGTGGTGCGAGGACAAGCAAATAGTCAGACAATAGCAAAAAGACAAGCCACAGCGCAGAGTCGGCTTCTGCAATAGTCTGTCTTGTTATTTGTGGGCCAGACTTTGTCTCCTTCCATGACGATATGGTGTGCCATATGTGTGCATGTCTTCGCTAGACTGATTCGCTGTTGTTGCGGTTCTAAACTTCTATTGGGATTTGTTTTGATCGGAGAAGAAAGCGATTGCCTCCGCTGGCGAGCTTTCGGGAAAGTGGAGGGGTTTCTGAGAAAGTGATTTGTTAGTATCAAAACTTGGAAGTGAGGAATTGGGTGGTGGAATCTTGCTTCAAAGATCTCACGATTGTGCATTTTTTTCTCTCTCTTGGTTTCCGCCGCTTTGCTTTGTGCTGTTCGCGAGTGTTGGCGTACTTTGGGGTTGCTCTGACGCACATGAAAATGATTGTCTTGGATATGTCGAAGGTGCTACTGTGGGTTCGCAAATACATAACAAAATTAACTCTGTTAGCAATATCTACTATAAAAACCAGCTTACAGCCACTAGTGGTGATTGATCCAAACAAAGTCTGGATTAGAACAATGGTTGCTGCAAGGTGATAGCATACATTTGAGGTTCAAGAAGCGAGAACCGAAGTAAGCCATGGTAGTTCTGGGGCGATAATCTTCTTTTTTCCCAGGACGTTTTTTCGAGTACACAAAAGGTTTATGGCGGAGATGATACGTATACTAACTGGCTTGATATGTAGATGAGAAGGGAGCGGAAACTATTCAAAACGTAGGATTACGTCAAAATCGCATGTTGACATACCAAAACACACCACCTTTACCCCGGTATCGTGTCAAATCATCTTCACGCCGTTCCTCCTCTTATCAATGACGAGTTCAACAGTTTTTGAAACATATAAACAAGTACAAATTCCCGGCAAAGGCTTGTGACCACGAGAATTCAATCTCTTTCGCCGTGGGAGTTTTCGACTCTCATTTCCTGGGCTCTTGCAACAGTTCGAAGTTCCATTGAGGTCTCGAATACAAGCAGGGAAGCTTGATGCTGCCTAAAATGAGCGGGAGGACCAAAGAAATCCGTTTTGTCGCAGGTATGAGTCAGTTGCCAGAGATCAATGAGAGCAGAGCACACCGAGCTGCGACTCGTGACTGCTACTTCTGCCTCCGAACTCTACAGTACGGCGCGCCAGGCTAAAAGTTTCAACACCACGATGTTCTTGCGGCCGTGCCAAATAGCTTCGGACTTTGGCGGGTTCCATGGCCGTCAAGGTCACTGTGAAGAGATAGGCCTTTGAACTCATGTGTCAAAGGCAGCGAGAATCCCGATAGGAAAATGACGAGGGTCCAAGTCATGGCCATTACCAAGTCCACTACATTACAGACTGTCAAAGAAGTGATGTGACACTCCTGTCAACCTGCATACCTAAGGGCCCGTTTGGATCGGAAGTGACACTTTGTGTCACTTCCTGGAGTGACAACGCACGGTCCAGCTATGTCGGATTTCTAAGCGAGATACAGAAGTGACGCTAAGATTCCTTTGTCCCACTGAAATTTAGTGGGGATTAAGAATAAAAATTGAGTCGTGTCATCAAGGCATTGATGCCGATTTTGAAGGGCGCTGGTTCTAGTGGACTATACGCTGGAGGGTACGCTAGAGGGGCTCCTAAGGGCCCTGTAGTGAGTAGCTTGTTAGGGTAGTACAAACTCACTTTCAGGGAAGTAACTACTAAAGTTTTAGGGCATTCTCTTACTTACTTTTCATATAATCGCAAATCTTGTAATTTACGTGTTATAAAAAAACTTTCTTAGATGCACTTGTTAATTAATACCTTTTAAATCATTTGTATTAGACAGATTATTTTTATGTACTTTAGTTAATAAGTTATGTTTAATCTAAGAAAACGTTCGTTAGTTAAGCTTCAAAGAATAGAATAAAGTGACACTTTTGACGTGATTTCGACTTTTAGTGGGAATTACTATAAATAACAAAAGTTAACAGAAATGACAGATATTTCTAGAAGTGATAAAATCGAGCCAAACAGAATCGTTACTTATTTGTTATTTCTCGAAGTGACGGAAGTGACGATTTTGTTATTTCGAGTTTTGGTGTCACTTCCCAAGTGTCACTTCCGATCCAAACGGGCCCTAAGTACTTCCAAGCGCTAGCAAAAGGTGTGAGTGCGTGCACCTGGTGGCAATCCGGGGAACCTTTCACTGCATTGTGCAGTATGCAGGATACAAGTATTTAAAAGGGATGTTCCGAAGCGTACTGGAAGTCAAGGCATTTCTCATGCCAACGGAACGACCAAAGCTACTTCCTGCTTTGAAGAATTGCCTAGACTTGAATGCCATAGTAAATACGAATAACCCCCTTTACCTAGAGTCGAGCAGGCTACAGCTTGCCACGCAATCGTTTCAAAGAGAGGGGTAATAATGACTCCCAGGTAATCTCCTCAAGTGTGTCTCCGTCAAACCCAGATATCACGCATTTATCCCATGGTTGGATGACAGCGGTAACTATCAATAGTGCAAGTGGTCTTTTCCAATGCACATTCTAATGCACAGCACCAACCAATCGCAACAGAAACCAAGTGCGGAGAAAACCATAGCACTGCTCGCTATGAAGTGATGAAGGTTGCATAAAAGCATGGCGACGGCATGGTGGGTGCAGACGCAGGAACATGAATGGCCACTAGAGAAATACACTTACAGACGGAACATCCTCGGCCGTGACATGACTGAGCCATTCATAACTTACGCACAGCAGCATCCCAGAGTTTCTGTAGTGGAGGTCTGGTAGATCCTTTCTGACAGTTTCGTAAGCAGTGCAAGTGTTGCATCAGAGACGCCTAAATCCGAGATCTCGCTGTTAAATCAACAGTGAAGTCAGGGTTTCTGGAATCGAGGATAGGGGCCTAGGGGGGTGCGGCCGCTGACGGAGCAGGGGATTTAGAGTGCGGAGCTAGGTCAGAGCTAGGTAGGGAGCTACTTCTAGGTAGGGAGCTAGGTAGGAGCTTTGAATTTTGGCGGCTACAGCGCAGCGGGTGGAAATGGCCCAAGTGCTTCCGGCGCATGTCCGGGCTCCTGCTGTCCCAAGCTTCACTCCAATTCCAGGGGTCCCGGGGCCTGGGCCTGGACCTGGTCAAGTATTCCCGTCGGGTGCCCCCATGCTCCCCCAGTCAGAACACCCACCTACCTTACCCAGCTACCCTACCTAGCCTGTCGAGCTTCAATTAAAAATCCCCATAACCTCTGCGTCTCCAATTCTAACTTTCCTGCTCCCTCTCCCAACCTTTCCAATGCATCCCATACTCGACGATGACATCCGAGTCCGAATCCGACGACAACTCAGACCCGCCCGTACGCCAAATCTTCGTTAAGGGCGATGCAGGGGTCTTCTCCTTCGACGGCTACCACCTCGAGTTCCAAGATCATCGCTACGCTAGGAATGTTGCGCAATATATTCCCCTTCTCGAACCTCTGCCATCCAGTACAGGCACCACTGCGGCACGTCAACCGAGACACGACGATAGTAAGCCTCACGGATGGTGGCAGAGCCAATGCGTGTTTCGCGGCCTGAGTTCCGATGGGACGACGATCGAGGAATTGCAGGATGTCTTGAGGGGCCGCGAGGACGATCCCATCGCAGACGATATATTGGATCTGCAGGAACGGGCGAGGAGGAAGTTCAAGGCTATGAATAAGGAGGCTAGAGAAATCAATTGGCTGCATCATATGTCGGACGAGGAGAAGGCAATGAAAGACCCCAGAAGATATTTGAAGGAGACATTTCCGGCTGGGTCGAAGAGCAAGGAGACTGTGCTCTTGACCACGCACTTCGTCATAAACATCCAGGATACTGCGAGGGAACTGGGACTGCGATGCGAATACACTCACGCACCTACAGACGGCGACGCCGTCCTTCAGATGGCCAAGTACTGGGTTGTGGTCGGGCAGGACAGGTCCATCGTAACAGAGAAAGTGCGGATGATTGAACGGGAGACACAACGACTGAAGCGTGAAAAAGAAGAAGGTCAACAGGAGCTGCGGCGGAAGAATAAAGTTATCAAGACCACACAGACACGGACGGGGAACGAAGAGGCCATAGCGAGGAGCAAGGACTGGGATGTGGCTGGGCTCTGGAGCATCAGCTGTCCCCACATCGAGCAAGCCTGGGACGTGGGAAGTCTTACCATGAGCCTGTACCTGGAGACAACAGAGAAGGGACCGCAGATGTTTGCATATTTCGACTTTGGCGTTCTGACGGGAGTTCTTCGCTTCGAGAAGCAGAAGGGTGATACGAAGACGTCATCATCACCACGGCCCGCTGTGTACAGTAATGTTGTTGATGATGACGAGCACAAGAGCGGGGAAGACAACGAGAGGGATGAAGAGCCGGAGTATGCTGAGGAACATCTCGATGATGATGATGATGATGAGAACAGTGACAAGTCGAGCGACACATACGATGAGAAGGAAGACGACGATGATGAAGACGATGAAGACAGGCGGAGCCCAACCCCTGAAGCATTCTACTTCGATACCATCACGCAACCCTCAGCAAAACACCCAACGTGGAACTTTCGTTTCCGAGGAGAAGAAACAGGCCAAGGAGAAATCGAAATCGGGTCCGACTCCGAACTGTACAGCATTACGTTCTGCAGTCCGAGAGGTCAGACGTTGAAAGGAGTAATTGGAAGTAGTTCCTTTGGAGAGTGTACATTCACAGGCGTAAGGGTAGGTGGTGATGGGAACGAGCCTCTGGATATCCGTGAGGAGTGGGCGAGTAGAAATGCTTCGGCGTATGATGATGCTAGGATTGGGAGATGGCATTGAGTCTGGCGTTGGCTTTTGGGTGGCAGGCATATTGATTCGGACAGGTACAAGTGCAGCAGTCTTGGCATTTAAAAATGGAGGATACCTTTCTTGGGGCGGGCGCTGTGGTGTTTAGATGTTTTGTCTTTTGGTTCCTGGAGGGATTTGTGGCTCCCAGCTGGATGGCGACGGTTGCATATACCCCTTTACGTACGCAAGTCTTGCATTTACTTTCAAATTTACCTGAATTGGGATTCTACTTTCGCCTGGCAAAAACTCACCATTCTCATTTCAATGGTGTCATGCTACCATGTTTTGCATTTCTATGAACATATACAGGGGAAGCGTCCCCTTGAATCTATATGATTCCTGCCTCTGGCTCGTGCACATTGAGTCCCAATTGGCGCGAGCACCATCGATACCTCTACATAATCACAGTCATCTCACTAGCTTTTCATAATAAGTGACGTCCCTCAGCCGTACCACACAGCCTCGTGCTAGGATTTGTCTTTCGGATTATTGAACTCGTGCAAGTTTTCTCACAAAATCGCCGTGGACAGCCAGAGGATCGGGCGTACCAACATCGCACCTGGTCATCTCTTAGTGATAGAAATCCACGCTGTGACCACCACAAGAAGAATACTAGAGGATCCCGGTGATTCTCAAGTCTTACGTCCATTCTTGACTACATGCTCTCGAAGTATTGTCTTGCACCAGACGAGCTTAGAAGGGCTTCTCCTGGCTTCTCCAACAACAACACAACCAATCATTACATCCTTCTATTTCTTCTGATACCAATCACTCAATCTATATTTGGTCTCGCCATCATACACAGAGAGTCGCTGCAACGCCTCTTCGCCCTCTCGAATAATAGTCTTGCGGATCTCAGGCGTTCTCGGCAGAATCTGGCACTTGAATGGATTCGGCCTCATATTCAATCCATTTCTATTCACATGTCAGCTTCTGTAATTTTCGTACAAGGAACAAGCAAGAATTACGTGTAATCGAAAATGTCTACAGGGATCTCCTTCCCACTTGCATCCCTCGCCTTCCTGATGTTGAATGCCCACAGCAGACGTGCGATGGTCATGAACGTGCCTTGTTCGGCTAATCCTTGGCCACTGCAAACACGTCGACCCCAGCCGAACGTCATATATCCCCTTTCATTAGGAAATGGACGAGATGCCGAGTCTTCTTTCAAATATCGAGATGGGTTGAAACGATCTGGATCGGGAAATTCTCGCTCGTTATGATGAATCGCCCAGACATTACCTTGGACCCAAGTTCCCTTCGGTATATGCCAGCCCTGGATTTCGTTAAAATTTCATTTCCCGGTAAATGAGCTATGGTTGCCTACCTTGTACTCATCGTCCTGGATAGGTGCGTGAGGCTGTCCGCCAATGATAGCAACTGATCGCCACCGAAAGACTTCTTTGACGAAAGCCTTGATATACGGTAGATTCGGCTCGTCATCGATAGATGGACTCCTCCCAGATCCAACGACTCGATCGAGTTCCTCCCACGCCTTGGGGAGAACCTCAGGGAAAGCGCAACATGCCAGGACGAATGTGACTAGTGTCGAGCTGGACGTGTCGCTCCCAGCTCCGAACAAATTCCCTGTTAAAGCTGCGATTTCTTCTGGTCTTAAATCGTACTGTGGCGCCTCGTTGAACAGCTTCTTAACGTAACATTGGGGCTACTCGGGGTTTTTGTTTGCTTCTTCGGCTAGCGAATAATAGAAACTGCCTCCTCTGCCGTTCTTGCCGCCAAGGCCATGCTTCCACGGGGCAATGGAGGTTGGGAACTTCGCCAAGACTGGCCCAGCGATGTCAATATGTCTTTCACTTCATTTTGAGATTGGTGAGCTTACAAGGGAATGTCTCCATAAGCATGGGAAAAGTCTTTCCGGGTACGTTCAGCTCAGCAGCTCGCTGCATGACTGCCAGAACTTCACTGATGATCGGATCCTTGGTACTCGCAATCCTCCTCCCAAACCCAATAATGGAGACAACACTCGCAGCATAGCGCTCAAAATGCTTCTCATAATCCTCAGGCGTTTGCAAAATGTTGTACGCGACGAGCATACTCTCATCATTCTGAAAGCCCCGGTAGTTACGAACTTGCTGGAGACCGACACCCATGTGCGTGAGTTTGCGGTGGACTCGCCATCGAGGACCGTAGTACATAGACACGAGATTCGTCTGTCCAGGACCAAGTTCGCCGAAAACAACCATTCGTGGTCGGGAAGCGTAGATTCCTGCTCGCTTGTCGAGCAGTTCGGATGCTGCCCAGGCGTCACAGATCCAGACTGTGGGGTTTCGACCAATCCAGAATGTGATTACATTAGTGTTGTAATTTTTTGCTACCTCTTCAAAGTAGATCCAAGGTTTGGTATCAGGTAAAAGATGTGTGTTTCCGATAATTGGGAGGGGAAATGGACCTGGTGGCTGTCCAATGTTAGCGTTGGGCTCTCAAGACTGGTATTTGCAATTCCCACCATTCTGAAATGAAGATATATCATGTGTGCATAATCCGCTGCCAAAATCGCACACCCAACTCCAAGCATCGTGAGAGCCACGTTTGTGGCTCCATACCTGGAAACAACTGCCTGTATTTGCGACCAGGCCACGGCCGAAGAGAAAGAGTCTGAGAGCATGGTCGTTAACCGGCTTGCATCAAGATTCTAAAGTTTGATCTTCTCATTCGGGCTTTACGCTCTCTCACACATGGAGGAAATATACTTGTGCTATTTCCGTTCATCGGATCTATCACACCGTCTGTCACATGGATGCACGTATCCCACTCTGGACATTTGCAATCACACACGTGCAGCTCACTTATGCATGTGGGGCTTCGAGTCGCTTTCTGTAGGTAAGGTGTGCAGAAACCCCACGAAGCTTAAGAGGAAAAGTCCAGGCACTGGAAATAGTTTCGTCTGCCAATGTGCTCGCTACCCCGCTCCCCCCAACATTACCCCGGAAATCAGTAACAGGAGCACCGGCCATCCAATGACAACAACAGACTGCCTCGCTTCAGATTTCATACCCATGTGGGACAAGGGTCTGACTCGGATTAATTCATTCGATAACGAGGCTTTGTTGATCCGTCGAAAAAGCTACATGATCGTCATATGTAGCCTTGAGAATCCCCTCCTCCAACAGATAGGCAAGATAGATTGTGCTTCTCCAACAATCAGAGACCATGTCTTCCCACGTCACTATACCGGAAACCTCTCTTTGGGCCAATCGAAAATGTCTTCTTCTTTGCTGTCTCGTTTCAACAGCCAATATGCAGTATGGCTTCGACTCTGCAGCAGTCGGAGCTCTTCAGGCAATGCCTGGCTTTCTTAAAGTGTTTGGATATGAGGATCCGACCAGTCCTTTGGGATATGGCATCGATGTAAACAAGCCATCCTCAAATATGGTCACCACTGAGCTTATATATGAATAGAGTACCTTTCAACGCTTGATCACTTCCCTCCTGACTCTGGGATCTTTCCTGTCTTCACTCATAGCCGGCTCCTTCAGTGCCTACTTGGGCCGTAAGCAAGCCTTATGGCTAGCATGTCTTCTCAACGCCGCTGCAGTAGCCATCCAAATCGCGACAACAGGCAAAGGAGTATTGTACCTAGGCCGTTTCCTCCTCGGTCTCGCAAATGGATTCTTCGTCACGTTCTCGAATGTGTACACTGCCGAAGCAGCGCCCGCTCATTTACGTGGTGTGATGGTGGCACTTTTCGCTTATTGTGAGTCACTTGTTTACTTTTCTTGCATTGTAGCCGAGCGAGGCTGACATGACTGACGAAGGGGTAAACATTGGTTCTATCCTCGGCGCTACGGTTGATAATATCACGCGCGTGCACATGTCTAAAGCGTCCTATCAAATCCCTCTTGGCTGTCTGTACATCGTTCCCACTATCCTTGCCATAGGCCTCTTCTTCGTACCAGAGTCGCCTAGATGGCTACTACATAAAGGACGAGACTCTCAGGCTCGCGCTGCCTTGAACAAGCTTCGAGGCACATCTGTTGAAAGGCAATATATCGAGCTCGAATGGGCTGAGATGGTTCGTGGTGTGGAAGAGGAGAAGAAGTTGGAGAAGAGTATCGGCTTCCTCGACATGTTCCGAGGCTCAGACCTTCGACGAACTCTGCTCTGCTACGGCATGATCGGTTGTCAAACTGCAAGTGGCATCTGGTTCCTCATCGGATATCAGACATACTTCCTCAGTCTCGCTGGCATCACGAAATCATTCGAGTTCTCGGTCATGAATACTGTGATTGGATTCATTGGCGTCAATGTTGGCATGTATTGTATTCGACATGTATTTGGTCGTCGGTCGATTCTGATGATCGGTGCTACGGCCTGTGGACTGTGTCAACTTGCTTCGGCGGTGGCTTATACCGTTAATGCGGGGTCCACGGATACTGGTAAGGTCCTGGTAGCGTTTACAGCAATATTTTACTTCTTCTACAACGGCTGTGTTGGTTCAGCTAGTTATCCCGTGGCGACCGAGCTTGTGAGTTCCAGGTTGAGAGCTTGGACTGTAGGAACCGCTACGAGCTTGGGGTACATTCTTGCGTGGCTGGTGGGGTTCTGTAGTCCATATTTTATCAATCCCGAGGACCTAAACTGGGTACGTTGCTTTAATCTCCCAGCCCCCGGCTCTCTCGTTCTCGATAGAAGCTGATAGCAGTGCAGGGACCGAAATATGGCTACATATGGGCAGCATCAAACGCCATTTGCGTCGTGTTCTTCTTTTTCTTCATGCCCGAGATGAAAGGTCGTTCTCTAGAGGAACTTGACGAAATTTTCGAAGCACGCACCCCGGCTTGGAAATTTAAGCAGTTCCAGTGCACGATCAGAGATGAAGCTGCATTTGATATGGCCGAGCGGACAGGAGTCAGGATTGGAAAGGAAGGAGGCGTTAGCGAGCAGATTGACGATAGAAGTGAGCGGGTTTAGAGGGGAGGACTTCCAGGTCTAGATGCCAAGTATTACCTGACGATTGACTTTGAGGGATAAAGCGAGTTGACTTTCTGCTTGTCAGAGCGGGAAGGTTGAGGCGGCGCTTAATGACGATAGACTTTGGACTGACACGAGTCAAGATTAATACACTGCTTTTGGCCAATGAATATCTTTCAATCTACATCCGTCTAGAAATTTTTCCATAGGGCACAATCTTTTGTCTTGGCAAAACGAAACAAAAGGTTGAATTCACGACATGTGTCCATTCTTGGAACTGCCAATAATTGGTTTATAAAGCAGACACAAACCTGGTCGCCCGAGTTCAGTCTTTCCAAGATTTGACATGCGCAATCATGTGTTGAAATCTGATCTCGTTGGCACAGACAAGCAAGTTGCTACCTTAGATCCGGTTCGTTGACTTTTGACCCACGAACGAGGTTCTGGGACTTCATCCTTGACGACAGCAAGGCTTGTCATGTGGGACTCGTCCACTTCCGTCTTTCTCGTATGCCCTCTCACATGGTAAAGACAAATATCAATTTCACCAAACCTGGTCACGATCCATCTCTCAAGCCGCAATTCTTACCACCGGTTCAATCTGTGGGGTTGTTGACTCCCAATCTCGGGGAGGAGAGGCAAAAAGGAGGAGACCCCGCAAACTTCCCGTCTCGAATAATTGGATCTGCAGAATTCCAGCACCTCCATGATTTCAAACCCCTGGACTGGATTCGGAAGACATGGATACCAGATTTAGACGAGTTATGCACTACTGTATTGACCCAGGGCCTGCAGCAACTGGTCAAAGCGATAGTGAAGCTTAGTGATTGATAGGGTTGCATTGCATGGAGGCTAGCTCGGTCGTAGGCTGGAGAGACTGGGCCCCACGCTGATACCAGGTGTCTCCTCACTTGTGACCTTGTACGAATAAGAAAGAGATAAGGTTTCGTGTTGAGAAGGACGAGAATGGCTTTCATTCTTGTACTACATTTGATCCGTCTGCTGCTAAGTGTCTTGTAATCCAACGAATTTTTAGTTGAGGCTTGCATCGTCAAGACGATTCGACTGATGCCAAGATCTGATACTTGATTGTCTGAACCGGGTCTGAAATCTGTTCATTCGTGATAGCTTACAAGATATCGAAAAGACAGACATGGAGACAAGAGTTGAGGCCAATCATGGGAGGCATCTGGCTCACAGGTTCGTGATTTCCTCGTTCCTCTTTAGATTGTAAAAGCTGCGAGCTAACAACAATCGACAGCCATGCCCACGAAGAAGACGTCCCAGGGACGGTGAACTTGAATGCAGCAGGTACGTGACACAGCCTGTTCCAGCAAAAGACAAGTGGTGAATCTATGTTATGAAAGAACGAAACTGACTGCACCTGCAGAGGGCGACGAAACAGGATATGGACAAGCACTGTTCCCGGTTCCTGCTGCTGATCCGAACGATCCCCTTCAGGTATGGCCATTCTTTGCAGCATAGTATGATAAAGACGTACATTATACTGAGACGAAAGTAGTGGCCCAAGTATAAGAAGACGATGATTCTAGTCATTTGTTCACTCTATTCTTTCCTGGGCAACTCGGCCTTGCTAGGCCCTTCCGTATACATTGGAATATACTCAGAGGAGTTCAAAATCACGCCAGCTGTTGCATCTGGATTGGTATCATATCCCAATCTTGCCTTTGGTTTCGGTGAGCATAGTTGTCTCCAAGACTTAGCCTCATAAATCTGATGATACGGACAGGCTCCCTCGTCCTTGTCCCAGCATACCTTAAATTTGGAAGACGGCCGGTCATGTTGTTCTCTTTAATCTGTGTAAGCTTCATCAATTTCCCACTGAATAGTCCCATTAACAGTAAGCAGTTCATCGCTGGTCTCATCGGTGCTTCCCAATCCACGACCTTTACCGGACTGATGATATGTCGGGTCTTGCATGCTTTCGGCTCTGGGGTCTGCGAAGCTCTCCCCGTACAACTCGTCAACGACATCTTCTTCTTGCACGAACGCGGCAAGAGAATTGGGTACTACACTGGTAAGCAAGATCCACAGTTCCAAGGCTCAAAAAGTCTGACAAATGAATAGTCTGTCTCTGCCTCGGAGCCACAGGGCCACTTTATGCAGGATACATGCTCGCAGGCGGATATTCCTGGCGACTATTCTTCTACGTCGAAATCGCATTCGCAGGCGCCCTCTTCATCCTCGCATTCATCTTCGTCGAAGAGACAATGTACAAGCGTGTTGTACCAACCTTACTCTCCTCCAGCCTCAATGACAGCAGGGAGAACCACTCGAAAGAAGAGAAGGTCGTACACGCTGAGAGTGCTGCGTCATATGTGCCGCCGCGGAAGCCGTTCCTTGCTACGTTGAAGCCATGGAGTGGGATTGATCGTGAGGCGGAGTTCTTCTTGACTATGTTGAGACCGTTCACGCTGTTCTTTGTGCCGGCTGTGTTCTGGGTTATTACTAGCTATGGTATGTTTGGCTACTTCACCAGTCAACAATTCAAGGTACTGATTTAACTTAGGTATTTACATCGGTCTCGGGGCATTGGCATTCAACTTTACGTTTCCCCTCAAGATCGTAGCACCACCGTACAACTGGTCAGCCGTAAGTTATATTCCGCTAATCAATCCTAGATACCACCTCCTCAATGACATATGACTAACACACTTTTCAGACAAACTCAGGCCTCATAGCCGTCGCAAACGCAGTCGGCTTCTTCCTCGCCGTCCCCTTCACATTCACATCCGACCGCCTCGCCGCCCACCTCACCCGCAAGAACGGCGGCATCCGCGAAGCCGAAATGCGTCTCGGCGTCCTCTGGCCCGCGGTATTCATCGCCCCCGCCGGCCTCATCCTCTACGGCTTCACGGCAGAGCGAGATCTCCACTGGATGGGATACTTCGCCGGCGTGGCGATGGTGAACTGGAGTGCTTATTTCTTCTTCTCGTTCACGCTCGCGTATGCTGTGGATAGCTATACGGCTAATACGAGTGAGATGCTTGTTGCGATGAATTTGGGGAAGCAGGCGATTAGTTTTGGGATGGGGTTGTATTTGTTGGATTGGATTCTGGAGAGGGGGTATGCGGTGGTTATTAGTGGGATTTTTGTCGCTGTGCTGGCGGCGAATAATTTGGCGTTGTTTGTTTTTGTGTTTGCGGGGAAGAAGATTAGGATTGTGACGGCGCATTCGTTTGTGGGGAGGATGCATAAGAAGACTGCTGGGACAGTGTTGACGCATTAGGTTATTGGATGGGGACTTGTGGCCCAGTGTCTGGGGGGAGCAAACCATGAGCATCGCGTTGAAGCGAAACGTTGGTGGGCTGGCTGATGTATCTACTGAAAGTATGTTCCATAAACATTTATAGTACAGTTTGTAAACCCTGCGTGAAATTCACTTGCTCGAATCCATGTCAATTGCTTATCAACCTGCCTTCATTTTGTGGTTCGCTGCCAGCCTCGCTTAGCATAAATCAACATTATCTCCTTGCAAACCTCAGCCCATCTATATGTATGTCCTGCACTAAATGTAGCCCTCCAGTCTCTCAAGATCTTCAAAAACGGCGTCTTTCCAGTGACTGAAGTGACCAAGAGGTCTTAAAGTTCTTTGGAGTGGTTCACTAATAACTACATAGCAATTACCTAGGTATTCCCCACTTTGATGGCTCCCCACTGCAATCTCGCCAAATCCACAAGCATCAACATTTCACCACCTCACAACCTCGCCTCCTCCTGCCCAACATTCCCATTCACCTCCTCATTCCTCCAATACTGCGTGAAGTCATGACAAATCGCATAAACCCCCTGATCAAACACCCTCCTCTTCTCCTCATCCTTCCCTGCCTCCTCAACCATCATCAAAAACGGATCTTCCGTCAACGCCTTACTCGGATCCGTCGCACTAACCCTCAAGAAATTATCGCTACTAACAGGATTAATAACCGTCTCCCAAATCTCCCTCCTCACCCTATCATACTTATCCAGGATCTCCTGCCCGGCAACACCCCTCGCGATACCCTCAAGACATTGCGCCAGCCCACCAACGTCGACGAGTCCACCTGTGAGGCCGAGTCCGCCGAAGGGGTTGCAGAGGTGTGCGGCGTCGGCGGCGAGGAGGATACGACCCACGCGGAAGGAGGGCGCGCAGCGTTGGTGGATGCGGTAGGGACCGACGTTGAGGAGCTTGTAGGAGCCGGGTTTGGGGTTGCCGGGGAGCATGCGTTCGTATTTGGCAGGTTGGTGGGCGATTACTTGTTCGGGGGTGAGGGTTGTGTCTTCGCCATAGGAGACGCGCCAGAGGCCGTCGGTGGTGATTTTTGCGGCCCTGGGGGTAGAGGTGTAAGTAACTGATCTGTTTGTGGACTTTGAATGGGGCTAGGAGGGAAGAGAACTTACATGTAGTAGTCTACCGGGTCTATTATGAAGTTGACATCGTCGTAGCCGAATTTCTCGAATGGATAGTAGACCTATCTTTAGGTCAGTGCCAATTATTCCAATATAGCATTCCCTGAGGGAGTAACACACGTTTGTAGCCACAATCTGCGCATCCCACGTCTTGCCCGGAAACTCACTCCCAAAAAGCGTCCTCCTAACCTGACTATTAGCCCCATCACACCCCACCAAATAGTCCCCCTCTACCCTCTCCTCCACTCCATCCTCCCCCTTTACAACCGCCCAAACTTTCCCCTCTCCATTAACCACATCAACAACATTCGAATCCCATCTCACTTCTATATTATCATGTCTTTCTATATGTTCGACGAGTAAGGCGCCTAGCATACCGAGGGGAAGAACGGTGAGAGCTTCAGGGTTGTGAGGATGCTGTGAGACGTTTCTGATGGAGGTTATGGCTTCGCCGCGGATGTTGCGCCAGGTCATGTGGTCGGGGATGAGACCGCGGGTGCGGACGTCTGGGAGGACGCCGGCGGAGGCGAGGACGCGGATTGCGGAGGGGGCATAGCTGGGAGGAAGATGTGTTAGCTTGTGAGGTTATGTGTGAAATTGCCTGCCTGTCATTTCCTATTTGTTTGGCTTTTTTGGGTACAGTGTACCAATCTCCTTCATTGGAGAGTTGGCTTTGCGATTGGGTATCTGTAAAGAATGTAGCACTTACTGAGCAGCTCTCGGTCGATCATCAACTTTTGACGCGGAATCGAGGAGTGTGACATTGATACCTGGGACCTTTGCCAGGAGTAATGAGAGGAGGAGGCCCGACGGGCCAGCGCCTACGATTATGACCTGTAAGTCGTGTTAGAAGAGTAGCTACCAATTTATTTCTCGTGCAGAATTCCTAGCAGTCGAAAAAAAAGCAATCGAAAACGTCATTCTGCAGATGCTACAATGGGGACATACGTGCATAATTCCTGGCACTTCTCAAGCACAGAATGTAGGAGAGTCAATAGATGGAACAACTTTGTCAAGTCGAGATACTGCTGAAGAGTAGAAAACCTCAAAGCAAGATATCTCAATCTCAAAGTCAACAAACAAGAAGATCCAACAAAAAAAAAGTCTTAAAGCTATCAAGAATCTAAACACGCAAGATCTTAGCTCCAGGACCAGGAGGACACTATCCTGCTCCACCATATCTTCAGATCAAACCATCAATCAGCGTCTGACAGGACGAGATCCCTTCTCACACCAGGCAATATGCATGCAAGTATGTGGGTTCCTCCCCGAGCGTCTCTCCTCTTTCTGATCACGATCGTAATAATCGACGAGAATCATGGATGGCAAAGAGTGAGAAAGTTGACCCCACATGGCATATGCATGCACCTCCTGTACTACCCCGCGCCTCGCCAAGAAAAGTTCCCACAGGGGTCTTTCCCTCCCTCTCGCTACTTGTACCTACCTCAGGGGAGGAAGAGGGGTGTAGGGTAAGAGCCAGGGATCGGGAATCCTCCTTTTTGACGACGCCTTGTGCTTTGTGTCTGATGGGAAAGGAGGATGGATGAGTGGGTGGGTAAAATTGGTTGGGGAAGGTGGTGGAGGAAAGTAAACTTTTATGTGGATGATGATGTGGAGAGAAGAGGGACCTAGTAGGTGAGGACTTGATATCTTCGAAACAAATATAGAAATTCTGATTAGGACACTCATGCAAGAGAGAGCAGGTGACTTTCACGTTTTTAGTGTTGATTTCAGCTCATTCTGAGGTAGGATTACAAAAAGACACAAGCGAGAAATAAACAACGACCACAGCAAATCTCACGACCACCCTATCGGATAAGTTATCAGTTAATAAGCAGAATAAAACCTACCAAGACAGAGCTCTGGAGCATAAGAAAAATAATGGCACATATCCAGATCAATGACTCTCACTTCCGTACTCTTAAAGACAAAGTCGTCGTCTTAACAGGAGGAGCAAACGGCATTGGCCGTGCTGCCGTGAGGCTGTTCCATGGTATGTCAAGCGTCTCTTCATCTTCAACTTCATTGAACCCCTTTGAATGCTGTTTCTATATACCTCCTGGTGTACCTTCTCATTTCTCATCCCTCCAACTCTCAGCCCTTCACCCCGCTCTCAAACCACAGAATCCAACTCCATCAAATCTGACTCCTCCCCCTCTCCACAGAACACGGCTCCTCCATCCTCTTCGGCGACACAAACACCCCCCTCGGCGTCGCCCTCGAAACAGAGATCTCCTCCCCCCGCGCGAGATTCCTCCTCTGCGACGTGACGTCCTATTCGTCTCAACTGGAACTCTTCCGAACCGCGATTAAACTCTTTGGGAGGATTGATATCGTGGTTGCGAATGCGGGGATTTCGGTCCCGAGGGATCCGTTTGTTTTTATGGATGGTGATGGTGATGGTGATGGTGGGGATGGTGAGGGAGAAAAGGGTGAAGGAGGAGAGGAGGAAATTGAGAGGGAGTTCCCGACTGGGGAGATTGATGTTAATCTGAAGGGGTGTTTGTTTACGGCGAGGATTGGGATGTTTTATTTGAGGAGGAATGGGAGATTTGCTCGAGGGGGAGGTGATGTGGGAGGAGGAGGAGGAGGAGGAGGAGGAGGAGGGGATTTGGTGCTGGTGAGTAGTATTGCGGGGTTTAAGGAGAGTACCGGGTTGGCGGTTTACACGGCTAGTAAGCATGGGGTTTTGGGATTGTTGAGGGGGGTGAGGGTTCAGGCTGGGAGGGAGGGGGTTAGGGTTAATGCTGTTTGTCCATGGATGACTAGTGAGTGTTGTTTATCTACTGTCGTTTCTTCTCACTTTATCTATTCCCTTTTCTGGTGAGTTTAAAGTTATTTTGGGACGGGAAGTACGGTTCTTTTTGTGTTTTCTCGGTTGGGTTGAGAGATTGGTAGGAGGGCGATAAGCTTGGTAGAGAGGGTCTTGATATTTGGGTATTTGGAGTTGCGGAATTGCCCAGGCAGTCATATTCCATCCATCTAGCGGGCGTGAGAAATGAGTGCTGACTACTGAAACAGGAACAGCAATGGTAGCCGGCATCGAATCCGGCTGGAGAGAGCTCCAACTCCCCGAAAACGACCCCACCGACGTCGCGAAATCCATCCTCATCTGCGCGACCGCAAACCGCTCCCTCCCTTCCCCCTCTCCTCTTCCTTCTACCCAGCCCTCCTCCACCTCCACATCTAACTCAGATCCAAGCAGCAGTACCAACCACGCAGGAGTCAACCTCCCTTTCTCAGGCAAGATCCTCTTCGTAGCTGGCGGCCAGAGTTATGAGATTGAAGATAAGATGGTGGAGTTGGAGCCGGTCTGGTTGGGGAAGGAGAATAGTGAGGATTTGGAGAGGGGACAGGAGTTTTTGATGAGGGAGGGGACGAGTTGGGATACGAGTTTGGGAAAGTAGGTTTGGGGAAGTGAGATGGTGGAAAGGGGAGGGATGGAAAGAGTGTGAGGGGGTGTATATGGGTGTGTGTTTATGTGAGGAGCGAGGAGGGGGGATTCGAGGGATGACTGGAATGATAAGCCATGGGTTAGCATGAATAGTTTACGTGTTGAATTGGGCACAGTACTTTTCGTGGTCAAGGCTTCACGTCTTGCTCCGAACCGAATACAAAAATATCATTCTATCATTCTACAGGTGGCCCCTCCCCCCTTTGCCACTTTTTGTCCTCTTCTACGCTGTCCCGTGGAACGATTCCTTCTTATGACTGGTCATTTAACTAGGAGAGTGTATCACATCACATCCACTCAGACTTTATTTCCAGACGCGAAATCCACCCTTCCACTGTCGAGTCTTTTGCCCTTTGGTCAGTGTTTATGAAACTTGTGCCTCTGTTGCTTCCCGGCGTTCCTTTGGCTTGCGTGGCTGTTTCGTAGGGGTTAATTGGGTTTTTCCATTCTGAGGGGCGGGTTAGACACCGCGAGGGCGAAGGACGAAGAGAATGAGAACTGGTAAATAGACTTGACCGAAAAGTAGATGGTAGGAAGTGAAGTAAGAAAAATGAAACAAATGCGACGAATAGGAATGAGGCCAGCTTCCACACTTTCCACTCAACCTAAATAACCCCTGGGGAAGCGTAATCGGGTACCGCAATCTGAGATGTGGGTAAGAGTGCATTGAGTATGTGATTGATGAGCGGAGGAGGGCAGAAACTATACGGTAGATGAGGCACAGCACAGTGACAGCAAATCAGGAGGTTTGGTGGATTTGAAAGGGAGTGTTTGAGTTGATAGAGGGTTACAGTCGGGTAGTATTTGTATGCTTGTCTGTTGGGAGGGAAGGTTAAAAAACACCAGGATTAGGATTACGAAACGTTGACATAAAAGTTAAATACAATTTTCTGTCATATGTAAGTTATTATGTCACATTCTGGTCTGCACGTTGAAGTCATCTTGTTTGAGTCTGGTCTGGTAGCATAGCATGGGTAGGAGTGAGGAAGTAGAACTGATGGGTTGCACTGAGGGAAGAGATATTAGGCTCTTACTGCAGTTCCGTGGCGTAGGCAAATATTTGCCCGGACCAGCCCAGCTTGGAGACGACAGAAAACTGTGTTATCGTGAAGAAGCGTGTCCAGAACGTGAGATAATGACAATCAGAAATACAGGCTTTTTAACTGGTTCTTCAAGGCGCATCCCAGTCGCTTCAAAAACTCGAGGGTCATTAAACGTTAAATTCGGATGTCAGGCGGCATAACCTTGATGTCATCACCAAAGGTAAAATTCAATACTGCACTCACGAGAATTCTTATTATTCGAGTTGTATTTAATATTCAGCCGATAAGGCCGTGGCCAGCCATGACCGTTCATGGGTGAGGTCTCACCAGTGTTTGCTGCTACGTCTGTCTGGTTGTCTGGTTGTCTGTTTGGAACACGAAGAAAAGCTTTCTGCACTCTCCTCACCACGGAGCATGCAGAAGCGATCAGCAGCATTCAGCCAGGATCACACCCATTGGGCGAACATCAATTATCCATCTGTCTTACAGTACTGTCCATTATTATTCCCTCCGGTCCTCTACTACCTGTACGCCTCTTAAGTGCCTCTATTATTTGAGCCTGCACACCACACCCATCAGTGTACCCCTGCCTGGCTGGGCAGCACCCGTTCGTTCCCCTCCTTTCGCTACTCCGCTTCTGGGGTAGCGGATCGTTGGTGCTGGATCCAACGGCTGAACGCCCTTCCATCAGTGATCCAGAACCTCAGGAACTCAACGGGATCCGACTTCTCACCTACTCTTCCACGGCTCAACACTTGCTACCTGTCTGTATCATCTCCTCCCGACTACTCCCGCTCCGAATACCCTCACGACACGCCCGTCGTATTACCAGTTCCTACGCATGCGATCTCTATCTGCCATGGTTGGAGCCATAGAAGCGTGAGACCGTTGTTGAATGCGCTGCGCCGTTTCGTTGTGCCCTGGAGAGAAGATCCGGAGGAAGCCCCACACGACATCACCCAAGACATACCTACCTACCCTTAGCTATGCCGACCACTGCAACTGCAGATAGTCCAGTCCAGGACCGGAGACCAGAGCAACAGCAACAGGCACAGCAACGGGGCTTGCTTCCGAAGAAATGTCGATATTGTGAGAGGAGGTTTTCCAAGGCCGAGCATTTGAAGCGACATCAGAGGTCCCGTATGTGATGTGTTTTACTGTTTTGGGAGATGGTGATTTGGGCGGGGTTGGATGACTTGACAAATACTAATTGTGGAATGAATAGATACTGGAGAGAGACCGTATACATGTCCGCGATGCAAGAAAAGCTTCTCGAGAAGGTATCTGATTGCGTGTTGTCTGGTTTGCAGTAGAGTTACTAATTCTCCCAGTGATGTCTTGATCCGCCATCTCAAGAACCACCCCCAGATCATCGGCGAAGAGGCCGAGCAGAGTTCATCAGAAGGAGATTTCATAGAAGTGAATGGCGCACAGAATCCAAACCCCACCCCCGGCCCATCCTCCGAGAGCAATCCAGCAATACAAAATGTGCGGAGGCAGAGTCAAGTGGTCGCATCACCCTCTGTCATTGACCCCTCCCTTGACGACCATCTCCCTCAGACGAACTCGAACGGCTTGCCTTCCGGCCTAGACCACCTCGCTCTATTGGCATCGCAGCAGAAATGGGATAATGGAACAATGGATGCAGTAATGACGGATTCGGGGAATGCTGCCCTGCCAGAAATGAGTGCTGCTCCGAGTTGGACTCTGGAGATGCCGAACAATAACCATGTTGGGCATCCAGATGTTAGTTTTGATCCAAGGCCTCCACAGCCGGATCCGAATTTCCAGAATCTTGGCCCTTCTCCGAATACGTCTACTAGATTCAATTTTGGAGAGGATTTGTACTCTGCTCGGTTGAATGGGATACAGGATCATATATCTCCGGATATGGGAGGAATGGCTCCAGATGTTTCGATTATGCCACAGGATTTGCAGACTTGGTTCGATCAATTTGACCTCGAATCACATCTTCATCCAGGAAACTTGCAGGATTTCGGAAGTTCGAACAGTCAGATTGCTGGTGTAAGGAGAGGATCATCTCTGACGGCGGCATCAGACGAACCGACATCCGTAAGGAATCCAAGCTCGCCCAGTACTCTCATACCAAACGAACGGTTCGCGAAAGTAGAGCGGTGCTGGCCGAATCGACATAGTAATCCTATTCGACTCATGCCTACACTTTGGTGGGATGCCGTACTGAAAGCAGAGGACAATCTGTTCTCGAATGGAAACCTCTCACCAGAAGCCATGGAACAGAATAGGCAGTGTGGTTCACGGTGGGGTCTGGATGAAGATTGTAGGGAGAGGCTGCAGAGAATGTTCGTCACCATTACACATGTTTCGACTGATCAGACTCCAGCTGCGGGGTTTGGATCACCGGATAACTTTTCGTCGCCGTCTGAATCGAGGTCTGCCGGACAAGGGGGTTCAGTTGTGAATGACCCGCCAACATCTTCCAACTTCCCACCAGCGGAGATATTTGACATTGGATTGGATCTTTATTTCCGCCAATTTCATCCTTTGATGCCTTTTATCCATACGCCTACTTTCTGTCCGAAGACGGCACCGACGTCTATTTTGTTTATCATGTGTCTGATTGGTTTGACCATACTTCAGACGAAAGGAGCAACTGCATTTGTCAGACAGACATTTCCGGTGGGTTCGCATTCTCGGATTTGTGAGACTTGACTGATTTGTAGTAGAAAGCACTTGAGCAGGTATCTACTGAACTTATGCCATCACTTTCTGGAGATCGAAGTCGTATAGATCAGATGTCTAGTTTGGCAAGTGCCGTTCTGATACTTAACCTGACCGAAATGATGGGAGTGAGTATTTCCTACAAGATTTGATGCATCTAGCTAACAGATCAGCAAAAATATCATCAGTCACAATGCCAGATGTTATACACAAATGTTATCATGGTAAGCTATTTCATGATCAAGTTGGCCCCTCACTGACCATTAGACTGCTCAAAAACATGGCCTCTTCAATGCCAATGATGGTCAACCCTTGAATGAGAGCTTCTTCGGTCAGATATCCGATCTAGAAGCTAGATGGAAAGCATGGAGTAGGATAGAATGTGCAAAACGGTATGCTCCAACACTCTCCTTGCAGGAGTCTACTCACATCACAGGTTGATTGTCTCTTTGATAATGGTCGATACTTGGTACTCAGCAATGCTCCATACAAGTCCCATCATGCATACAGACGAAATCCAAGTCATTCTCCCCTGCGACGCTGGCCTCTTCCAAGCCACCACCGCAACCAAATGGGCCCATCTAGCAGCAACCCGTCACCAAATCTGCATGCCAATCGTCTCCCTCTCCAACGATATCCTCACCCTCCCAGACCTAACTAACACTCTCGAACCCCTCGCCATGCACGGCATCCTCAGCATCATCCGCCTCCGCGTCTCCCACGACTTCCACCGGCTCCTATCCGGCTGCCACCGCCGCGCCGACGCCCAACACTTTGTCCCAGCCCTAACCTACGATCTCGACCCCCGCGCAAAACACACCAAATCCCTCCTCATCCACGTCATGAAATCCTACGCTCCACTCTTCACATCCATGAACCCAAACTGCGTCGTCCTCTGGCACAACACCTGCATCATGCTCACGGCCGACATTCGACTCTTTGAGATTGGAGCAGGGTGTGCGGGCGCGCCGGCAGCGAGACAGGCGCTGGATGATATTGCTGCTTGGACGCAGACGCCGAGTGCGAGGAGGGCGTGTCTCCATGCGGCGCAGACGTTCAAGTTGATGTCTAATCGGAGGGCGTCGGATGGGGATCCGTTTCATGCTTCGACGGGGTTGTTTATCTCGGCGCTGATTTTGGGGTTGTATGTTTTTATGGTTCCACCGGAGAGTGAGGCCGGGGCTGGGAGTGCGAATCCGAACTCGCTTTCTGGTATAGGACCGGCGTCGGGGTTCGATCTTATTGATGATGTGGATTGGGATGTTGTTGGTGGTGAGGGATTGGGTGCTCTCACTCCTGAGGGGAACTCTCCAAACCATGCTCTCAATTCCCACTTGCACACCAATCAGACTCCCACTCCCACAGTACCAGCAACAGTAACAGACGACCCAGCGATCAACTTCATCCGGCACGGCGGCGGGATCTGCTTCGACGGCGTTATCCACCGTCCTGGATACGAGGCTGCGAGGAGGATACTCCTCGATTACGCGAGGCTGCTGGAGGATATTGGGAGGTGGAGGGTGCGGATTGGGCAGTATAGTAAGGTTTTGAGGATTATGAGTGATGCTTTGGTGGATGTTGAGGGGGGTGGGGGGTAGGGTGTGTGTGGAGGAGAGGAGGGGAGGAGCGGGAGGGGAGGGGAGGAGGAGGGGGTTGGTTGTGATTGTTTATGTTCATGTTCGTAGTCAATGGTTTTTACATCATGATATGGTAGGGTAGGATTGGTAGGATAGGATAGGATTGGGTATCTGTTACGATATTTAGCAAGTTGGGTGGGTGGAGTATATATCGGTTTGATTTGGCTGGACTTCGTTTTAGCATGGGACAGGGAGGAATTCCATGGGAATATATTTCAAGAGAGTGGGGGGGTGGCTGCAAAATCCAAATTCTTTTTGATACTTAATAGATCATTTTGCCAGTTGTGTTAATATGTTTTAACTGAAGTCCCGTGATGTCTCAATGCAAGACATCAGGTCTCATCTCTTGTAAGCAATGTGGGTTGGATTACGCAGGGTTGGGTCTGGAAGAGTAGCAGGCCGATGGGGTGAGGCAGTCGGAGTAAGATGAAATTAGCGGCTGAGTGGGAGTAAAAGGATTCAGCATTCAGGGTTTGGGTTTTGTAAAGGCAGGCTAGCTTATTACCGTACTGTCCACATGGAGGTGGAGAAAGATGAGTGACTTGTGGGAACAATATAGAATAGCATGGACGATCGTTTAGCGGGTTGACATTATGTATTGCGAGACTGGACTGGATTGGACTAGGTGAATAAGTGACTCATCATGTGAGGAAACTGGGAATTGATATTGAATAGCTTGCTATTTGGTATGATATTCTGTAGTTGAGAAGGGTATGTAATTTAGCTACATCGTGATCTGCGTGAGTGAGTAGGTGCGAGAAGATGAACGAGGGAATAGGCGGCATGGAAACAACAAACAGCAGGTGATAGCTAAAAAAAAAAGAAGAAAAAAACAAGAAGCTAGAACATGAAACTAAGTGACTGAGATGCAGCTTGTAGATAGATATCAGGTCATCAAGCTATCAATTTCGCGTCTCCTTCAGATCAACGACGACTACGAACATAACAGAGGAGCAAAACAGATCAGATTAGATGGAACTAAATGAAAGGGAGAACATGTAAAGGTGGTAGAGAGAGTATGAGGAGAACAGAACAAAAAACTTGGAATAAGAAGAAATGCACAACATGTCAGGACCGTGACCACCAACCAACACCTCACTCGACTCCAGCTAGGTCTTCGTCGCCTGCCTCTCACCAACGCACTCCTCACACCTCTAGATCTCCCATCGTCTCACCCCCTCAAACAAACCTCCCAATCTTCGCATCATGGTAATACTCCAACCTCTCCCTCGCCGCAGCCTTATCATCTTTGACTCTCTGAAGCAAGTCTTTGATGCCCGGGTAAGATGAGAATTTATCGGGGAGTCTATCCCAGGCTCGCGGGTCGGTGCCTTCGAGGTGCATTGTTCCGCTGCCGGTGTGGGCCCACTCGGTGAAGAGGAAGGTGCGGGAGGATTCGATCATGATTGTCATTTGGTCTGTGGGTTGGTGTGGTGTTAGGTGGGTGTGTGTTTGAGGAGGAGGGGGTGGTTGGGGGGAAAGGGGAGGTGAGGATGGTTGGGGGTTAGGGGTGTACGAGGGGTGGGAGGGAAAGGAGGAGAGGTCACGGAAGAATGAAGGGGGGAAGACGTACTTTCGAGGATTTTACGGGGTTGGCTCTTTTGGATTTTCATTTCGTTGACGTAGCCGTCGTTGTTACCGCCTGTTGGTTGGGGGTAGAGTCAGCTTTTGTTCTGATAGTCGTAAAAAGTAGGAAGGAGGAGTAGATAGCGAGGCACTTTGTCCGCTTCGGACGGAAGTCAAGGGGAACGAAAATAAACAGAAAACGACTAGCCACGACACATCATATCACCAGGTCCATAACCAAGATCTCAAACAACCACAATCACAATCACAAACTCCACACACAAATGCAAATATTTCAAGGAGAGAGACGCAAAAAATAACTCACCATGCGGCGTATGTCCCCCCTCAAAGCTCCCCCCACCAGGCTTAAAGTCGTCACTCCTACCAAGTCCATTCCCATACAAACAGGCGAGGAACTCGCTCGCTGAGTTCCGGTGGAAGTACGGCAGGCGGAAGGTGTTTGCTGCGGCGTCCCAGCGAGGTCCGAACCAGAGAAAGTCGCAGAGGGGGACGTGTGGGAAGGAGGATTTGGCGGTGAGGACTGTGTTGATTGAGGGGTCGGTGTGGTCGATGCTGGTGCTGTTTTGGGAACTGAATTTCGTGAGGTCGTACTGCGGTGGGGAGGGGGGGTTAGCTTGGTCTGAAAGCGTTTGAGTGAAGCAATGATAGGGGGTGTGAAAGGGTGGTAGGAGATGTCTTGGGGATTCTAGGGGTCAGAGAGGAGGGGAGGTGAGGTGTGATGAAGAGATGAGGCGAATACATCTCGCTTAACTCGTCGCAACATCAACACAACTTCAACCCCAACATCTGCCTTTCCCACAAGCAAAAAATCTTCCCATGGCTACCTCTCAAACAAGAATAATAGCACAGAGCAAACAAGAAACTCACCTTATAAGGCACCACATTCCCATGCCAAGCAACCAAATCAAACGGGCTATGATCCTGCCCAATCGCCTCCAACTTCCCATTCAATTTACACACCACCTCCCACTCAGCATGTAACTCCTCCAATTCATCAATATGCGCAACGGGCACCAGAAAATCCCTCGGATTCGCAAGTCCATGTCCACCAATCGGTCCCAGGTCAGGTAATTCCCACGATGAGCCCCAGATCTCGGTTATGTATCCTCGTGCTCCGGGGTTCTCATCTTTGTCTCCTTCATTTTCAGGCGTTGACGAGGCAAGACGAATCAAGAACCGGACACCTCTGGGAATAACGAATATCTCGCCGGGCTGCACGAACATCATTCCCATCTCTGTTTGGACGTCGAGGTTTCCCTGCTGTGGACAGATCAACATGTCGCCGTCTGTGTTGCAGAATGCGCGGCGGGTCATGTTGGTGTTGAAGGTGTAGATGTGGAGGGCGATGCCTTCTTTTAGGTTGGGGTCGCCGGAGCCGCAGAGGGTGTGCAGACCGTCGATGAAGTCTGTTGGTTGGGAGGGGGGTGGGACTGTTCATTAGGAGTTAGTTGCTGCGTGGTGATGGAAGGAGGGGGAGAAGGCTTACTTGGGAAGGGCGTCCATTCTACTTGTTGTGGGAGAGTTTTGATTTTGGGGTTGAGAGAAAGGAAGCAGCTCTCTATCGTTGCGGGAGATTGAACTGAATGGTAGCCATCTTGCAAATTCATCAGCAAATCTTTCTCAGGCCTCTTTTTGATGTAAATCTTCGTATGTTCTTGGAATATCGAATGTTCAATGAAGCTCGGAGTTTGGACTAGACTTACTATGTGCAGCAGCTGGTCGAATCCGGTACATGTAAGTGCTCTTATTCTCCTGTCTTGGAGCTGCAAAGGCAGAATACGTAATGCCTTCTGTGTAAAGTCCAAATCGAACTTCCTGTGGGTTATTTTGACCTGCTGGGAGAGTTCCTGGAATGACTTCGGACTTAACACTAGGTTAGCTACTTCCCCTCTTAAACACTCAAAGAATACCAGAAGATGTCAGAGAGAGTGTGAGGTCAGGCATACCTGAAATCGATTCCCAAATCCAGCCATATACTCATAAGGATCATTTTCTCTCGTCGGCTTGCTACGTTGTAAATCCGTATAGTGGAATGTTGCACGTGGATCCGTTAGAGGTTCCCGTGGGAGAAGGACATAGCTCTCTTCCGAAGCAGTCGACATTGTTGTATCGACTTCGCCCATTCGATTGTCTCGCTTGTTGTATTTGGTGCTAGGTTTCTTTGTGGTAAAGCTGAGTTGAGTGTTCTTCAGAGAATATCCAAACTGTAGAATTATGAATGAATATAAGGACTCGAGCTCAAAGCTTGAAAGATCTCAACTGGAAGCTTCTAGTATCAAAAAAATCTTAGTGTCTTCCTTCTCCAAAGAAATACTATTTCTATGCTTAGTTGATACCTTCAATCAGTCGAGCTTCGCTTGCTAGTGGATTCATAAGGGTGGTGGGGCAGAGCTGTTTTGGTTGCATGGCAATCGTGGCGGACTGGCTCGGCCTTTGTGGGGTAGGTACAGGGTCGGTTATGGCAGCTTGCCAGTGGTAAGATTATACAGCCCCACGGCATTAGGACGGGCGAGGTAGTATCAGTTGGTGAGATCTGGCAGGGTCGGAAGTATCACTGTATTTTTAGTTCTTCGGTATTGGACTCGGAAGTGTTTTGGCTGTTGGTGGGGAGCTTGGCCGGTGAGTGGATGCGTGGGAATATTTGGGTGCAGGAGGTGATTGGTGGGGGGTTTGGGGTATCTACCTAGGTACGTTTCGTCATCTGGAGAGCTCTAGGAGCTGTTCCGCCAGATGTGAATTCGTAGAAATGTGATTTCGATATTGCGATGGAGACACGACAGAGAAATATATTGTGACATTTCTTCGGCATTGAGGCAGGGCAAATATTCAGATGAAGCTTTGTTTATTATGTTCTTAGAGCTAAGACATCGTCAACCATTTGCTGAGAAGCTCCCAAGTAATTGAATGGATCACAGAGAGCTTTCAGCTTCTCTTCATCCAACGAGTCTGTGACCGCCTTCTTCTTCACCAAACAGTCGAAGAGTGTCCCTGCTCCTTCAATCGACTCTTTGCAAGCTTCGTACACGACATCATGAGCCTTCCCTCTACCAAGATATGGAGCAAGTCCCATCATGACTGCTTCACCAACAATTAGACCTTGCGTAGATCTCAAATTTTTGCCCATCTGCTCAGTATTAACAACCAAACCACTCAGTGCGAAATCAGCCTGGTGCAATGCACCAACCGCGATGACGAAACTCTCAGGGATAGCCACCCATTCTAGATGCCAAGGTCCAGAAGCTCGCTCGAAATCAGATACCATACCATCCAACACCAGACTAGCATTTGATCTGAGGATTTTCGAGGCAGCGAGAATGACTTCGCTGGAGATGGGATTGCGTTTCTGCGGCATCGTGGAGGACGCTCCTCGGTGTGGGACGAATGGTTCAGATACCTCGCCGAGTTCGTTCGAGGACATGATGATCAGATCAAGAGCCAACTTTCCGAGCGATCCTCCTACGAGAGAGAGGAAGTTGACGATTTCGGCAACGCCATCGCGGGCTACATGCCATGTTATTGAGGGATTGACAAGGTCCAACTCTTTCGCTAGCTGTTTCCTCACTCTTAGCCCGTCATCACCACTTCCAAGTGAAGCAAGAGTCCCTGCCGCGCCTCCATACTGCACCAGTAGAGCTCTAGGTCGTAATTGTTTCAGCCGTTCTTGATGTCTCTGTAAACTCGACAGCCAAACAGCACATTTATATCCAAATGTGACTGGCAACGCATGCTGTAAATGCGTTCTCCCCGCCATAGGTGTATCTTTATACTTCTCCGCCAGGGCCTCTAAGCTCTTACTCACATCCCCCAGCAACCTCTCCACGATATCCAGTCCAGTCTTCATCTGTAGCACACTCGCGATATCCATGATATCCTGCGTGGTAGCTCCCCAATGCACATATCGTCCTGCTTCCTCATCACACATGGCCGCTAGTTGCGTGACGAGAGGCAGGATGGGATATCCGACAATTTCAGTCTCGCGGGCTAGTTTTTCGAGGTCGAGTTTCGAGCTGACTGCGCTGGAGGTTATGGCTGAGCCGATGTGGGAGGGTATGACGCCGCATTGTGATTGTGAGCGGGCGAGGGCTGTTTCGGCGTCGATGCAGCGGTTTATGTAGGCTTTGTCGTCGAAGACCTGAGTAATCGTTAATATTTGACGTTTTGAAATCCAGGGAGTATCTAGGCAGTTTGTGAGGTTTTGCTTCTGTTCACGACATACCTTCCTGATTTCCTCTGTTCCGAATAAGGACCGGAAAATACTCGAATCGATTGCACTGACGGAGCCCATGTTTCTGCGAAATTGTACTATCGACACGATTGATACTCTTGGTCGACTTAAGGCGACGCGCAGGAAAGCTCGAGATGCAAGCATGGTGTTTTCAGTTTTTTTGAGCAAGATCCAGAATGGGATGGGATGTTCAACCAATGGAGCTCGATTCAGCGGATTACGAGGTTCAACGGACCATTCAGGCAGGGGTCTGAACTTTGGATCAAGATTTGAAGATCTACAATGGATCAAAACAAAAACATTCGTCCCACGCTGCTCAACAAGGCGAGACTGTGATTTTCCAGATCGTCTCACGATGCTACACCTTTTTCCCGTGCTGACGTTGAAGCTGGATGTGGGAGTGTGGGGCTGAACGTCAAGCTGCCGCTTCAGGGACGAAGCTCCCCTGGAAATGCCAATGCGGGGAAGGGGAGCGCTGTTTTAGTTGAGGGATGACGCCCGTTAGTCGGGGGACACCCCGAAGCCATCGGAAATACTTCCCTGGAGTGGCGAGAGAGGCATGTAAGCGAGAGCGGGTTTGGTGATGGACCTCGTGTGGGAATGCTACATCCCACACTTCTATGTTGTGGGTTTGCGGAATTGAGATGGTATTATGAGTTCGACCAATGGGATGTTGGGAATGAAAGCTCATGCAGTCACTTACATTCATATGCTGAGCTATTGACATGAAAGGATGTATAAGTTCGTGAGAATTGGGCGTAAACAACATCGCTGTTACAGGAGCAATGGAACTCAAGTAGGAGTGAGGTTTGGAACTCTTTTTGAATGGTATTAATTGATCTATCTCGTTCCCAAGCTTTCATCATGATCAATATCCTATTCTCGAATGAACAATGAGGCAACCCCAAGTCCAGTACTGTGGCCGTCAGCAAGTCACTTGCCATAAAGGAAGACCAAACATACCTTGCACACATGCTAATAACCCCAACCTCTTTATCTCTCCTTAACAATTCGCTGAATAGCGTAGCTGCTTGTCTCGCTCCCGTAGCCCCAGTTGGATGTCCAATGGCAATGGCGCCACCATTTGGGTTGACCTTCTCCATATCCAGTCCCAATTTCTGAATGCAGTACAAACTCTGACTAGCGAACGCTTCGTTCAATTCGCAGATATCGACATCTTTTTTGTCAATACCAGTGTATTTGAATAGCTCTGGTATGGCAAAAACTGGGGAGATGCCCATCTCGTCTGGTGCACAGCCTGCTACTTTGGTGCCGACGAATCGTCCAAGTGGTTTGAGACCTCGCTCTTCTGCCCAGGAGCGGCGAGCTAAGATGGTTGCTGATGCTCCGTCTGACATTTGAGAACTTGATTGGCATGAGCTTACTTCTTTGAAGAGGAGAAAAAGATATTGACTTACGAGTTTCCAGCTGTACTTTTTCCATCAGGCTTGAAGACAGGTTTCAGTGCAGATAGTTTCTCCAATGTCAATCCACTTCTAATCCCATCGTCCTTCGAAACAGTAATCTCACTCTCCTCGCCCATCTCAGCATTCTTCGTCATTACCGTGACTGGAACAATCTCTTTATCAAAATACCCACTCTCCCTCGCCTCCAACGCTCGCCTATGACTCTCCAAAGCAAACTCATCCTGCTCCCTCCTCCCAATCCCATACCTCTCCGCCACATTCTCACTCGTGATCCCCATCGGCAACAAACAATCCCTTGCATCCTTAACACTCGAATTCCTCAACCTTGGGGAAACATCTTGCGGCACACCTCTCGAGCCGTAATTCCTCGACATACTCTCCACGCCACCTGCTAGTGCGACGTCGATCTGGCCAGCCATGATGGCGTGCGAGAGGTGAGTGATGGCCTGGAGACTGCTGGAGCATTGTCTGTTGACGGTGTGGAATGTTGTGCTGTTGGGGAATCCGGCGTGGTTTAGGCACATGCGGCCTGTTTTGGCGAAACCGAGTTCTGCGAGGACGTTGCCGATTAGAACGTCGTTGACGTCGCTGGGTTGGATGTTGGCTCGTCGGACGGATTCGCTCATTACCTGGACTTGTCAGTTATGTTTGTTGACAAGGATTTGGAATAGAAAATTAGCTATGGAGTTTTGTGCTCACTGGACCTAAGATATCTTCTGGCCACGCATCTTTGAAGCCTCCTTTGAAAGCTCGTGTAACTGGACTTCTGACCGCGGCCAAAACAACAACATCGTTTGCTGCTTTCTGTGTGAGTTTCTTCGCTGTTGTTCTGAGTCCTGCCATTTTGAAATGTAAATACAAAAACTTGGATAAGAGGCCAAATCCCAACCAGATTCCAGATCTGCCTAGAAGCACGAATTTGAACTCCTACTCTCATGCAATCGTATGCGGTGACCGAACATGACCCAATAGCATTAAGGGGTTCACTTAGGGAGGGGTATCACGTGGGTGGGGCAATTCCTACCCCACACGGCATTTTTGGGGGGAGGGAGCTCCCAAGTCGGTAAACGGCAGAGGATTTATCAGCATCAGCCTTGTTCCGAGAGACGGCCGTTTGATATCCAAAGTCGTCATTGCTTGTCTACTTGAATATAAAATTCTTTTCTTTATCAGAAAACTTCACCAATCCATAATGTCTTTCTTTGCAAATCAAGGAGGTCAAGTCGACAGCTCGCTTGTGGGCTGTTACCCCGCATCTCCTATCAAGTTTATGATATACGGACGAGGTGAGCTTTTGTGTCAACAAAACTGAGAGTTGTTCACCGGGAGGACTGACGAGATTTAGGAACCGCGAAGAAACTGGATGAAGTTATTTCCAAAATCAGAGCTTCCAAGGCTTTCATTGTTACAGGCCAATCTTTAAGTACAAGAACACCAGTGATCAAAGATGCCGAAGCGAGTTTGGGGCAGGCTCATGTGGGAACGTTTAACAAGATCGGACAACACGCGTACGTTTCACAATTTTCCTCAACTTAAATTGAATTCTCATTCCGGAAGAACGTCAAAGCTGATAAGACGATACTGATTCAGACCTATTGGCGCAATCCGCGAAGCAACAGATCTCGTCAAGAGCTCAGGAGCCGATGTCCTGATATCCATTGGTGGAGGCTCGCCAATTGATAGTGCGAAAGCAATTGCGTATCAGATTCATGAGGATACGGGGAAATGGATACCGAGTATTGCTGTTCCGACTACGTTGAGTGTGGCGGAAACGACGCAGAATGCAGGGTTTACTACAGAGGAGAAGAAGAAGATTGCTGTGAGCAATCCAGAGTTGGTGCCAAAAGGTGAGAGTGGATGAGAATTATGAGAGTGGTTTAGCTGATCGTCTCGCAGTTGTGGTGTATGATGGAGATATCGCCTTGTATACACCCACCAATCTTTGGACAAGCACAGGAGTACGTCCCATTATTTCTTCTCTCCAACTCCCAGGGTACATATACATGCTGAGAACAAACTCGTCAGATCCGCGCCCTCGACCACGCAGTCGAACTCCTCTACCACCCCCTCGCCTCCGAAATCCCCACCAAACGCCTCGCCCTCGAAGCAATCCGCGACCTCTTCACCTACCTCCCACAATCCAAAACCGACCCCTCCAACGCCGACATCCGGCAGAAGCTCTTCCTAGCCTGCTATGCCTCGCTCTTCCCATTCCTATATGTAGGCGGTGTAGGGCTGAGCCATAGCATCGGCCACGCGCTTGGTGCGACGTACAACATTCCGCATGGGATCACGAGTTGTTTGACGCTGGCGCCGGTGGTGGCATTGAAGGCGAGGACGAAGCCCGAGGAGGCGAGGATGATTGCTAGGGTGGTGCCGTATATTGGGGAGGAGAGTAGGGGGAGTGATGAGGAGGATGCGTTGGTTGTTGGGAGGGCTATTGAGGGGTTGGTGGAGGGTTTGGGGCATAAGACGAGCTTGACTGAGGTGTGTATCTTTTGGTGTGTGAGAAAGTGACGTGTGATTCTGATTCATTTTTAGTACAAAGTGCCTCCTGGAGAGGAAGAGCCGATTGCATTGCATGCTTTGGTGGGTGGTAAAGAACATCCGGATTATCAGAACTGTAAGTCTTCTGTCATCTCTTTCCCCAGCGTACGATGCTAATATGAAGCAGTGATCAACATTGTTCACAATCTATACTGAGAAACTTGGTTAAGTCTTGTCGATGATCGTCCACGTGCCTGTAAAATTATAGTGAAATAGAATACATGAAGTTGTTTCGAAAGTTCTTTTCATATCGTGCCTTTGGAAGACTGTGTGTTGAGACCTTTCTCTCTTCTTTTGAAGATTGAAGTCGAATTCATAATGTTAAGAATTGAACACTGTATGTAATTGCCAAGTGTCGACGAGGGTTACACATTTGCCCTCGGGTCAATGACTATACCCAGCCGTCTACTGTTGAATCACGATCTGGAACACATATACAGGCGCCATGCAATAGATTATTTAAGATATGAATTTGCATCTCAATCTATCTACATCTTCCCTACACATGCATGGTCTTCAGATCCTCCGAAACCCTAAACGGCGCCTCCGTCTTCGCCTTAACGTCCTCGACACTCACCCTATCCGCAACTTCAATCAGTGTCAACCCTTCAGTATGACTGACGTCGAAGACAGCTAGCTCTGTAATGATTCTCGAGACACATTTTCGGCCAGTGAGGGGGAATGTGCATTCTGTATTTAGAGATGTGGAGTTAGTTTGTGGTGGAGAGGAAAGGGGATGTGATGGGGATGGGAAGGGAAGAACTTACGCTTGAGGATTTTGGGGTTGCCTTTTTTGTCGACGTGGTCCTATGGGGAGTTAAATCTGCTCCAGAGGTAATTGAGAGACGGATAGGAGATTTTGGGACATGTATACCATGGTGACTACCACTTTGGTCTTTTCAGGGTTGGCTACGAGATCCATCGCTCCGCCAATACCTTTGACCTTTCCTGGGAGCATGAAATTCGCAAGATCTAAAGCCGAAATTCAGTCTCTCTTTACTATTGGAAGGTTCCTCCCTTCCAGATGCTTGATCGAATACTTACCACCATACATGCCAACCTGCAAAGCCCCCAGCATCGTCAAATCCACCCTGCCCGCTCTAATCATACCAAAACTCTCATGACTCCCAAACAGCGACGCACCAGGCGCAAGTGTAACAGTCTCTTTTCCAGGGTTAATCAGATCCGGATCTTCCTGGCCTGGTTCAGGGTAGCCGCCCATACCAAGGATACCGTTTTCGGATTGCAGGACGACTTCAATGCCGGGCTCGAGGAAGGCGGGTGTAATTAGTGGCATGCCGATTCCGAGGTTGACAACCATACCGTCTGTGAATTCTTGGGCGGCTCGTTTTATTATTCGTTCGCGGCTTGTGGTGTTTGATGAGGCGACTTGTTGACATTAATTTTCACATTTCATAGTTTCCGAGGTCTGGGGCGTAGGGAGGGAAAGGTAAACATACCCTCATCCTTCGCCTCCTCTTTATTCTTCTTAAACGTCAACTTCTCAATCTTCTTCTCCTCCGTACTCCTAATAACCTTCGTGACATACACCCCTTGCAAATGGATATTCTCCGGCTGGATCTCGCCCACCTCGACAATCTCATCGGCTTCCACAAGCGTCACCTTGGCGTTCTTGCCCATGGCTTCGTTGAAATTGTTCTGTGCGAGGCGGAACGTGCAGTTGCCCATTCGGTCGGCCTTGTGGACTTTGACGAAGGCGTAGTCGCCGAAGATGGACTCTTCCATGACGTAGGATTTGCCGTTGAAGTCGCGGGTTTCTTTCGGTTTGGATTTGATGGCGATGGTGCCGTCGGGGTTGTAGCGGACGGGGAGTTCGCCGGTTTGGACTTTGGGGGGTATTAGCAAGATATTTTGAGTATAATATCTTGATGTTATTGATGTGATTCAAAATACTTACCAATTGTGCCATATGCAGCAGGAGTGTAAAAAGCAGGTATGCCAGCAGCACCCGCAGCACATTTCTCAGCCATTGTCCCCTGAGGCGTGAGTTCCAGTGCCAAGTCTCCAGAAATGTACATCTTCTCAAACGCCTTGTTTTCACCAATGAACGAAGCTATCATTTTGCTAATCTGCCTCGTTTCTAGTAACTGGCCTAAGGGAAAAAATTTAGTCAATTCCCTCTCCACGATATGATTCTGGCATGTTGAAAGTATTCAAAATAAACTGGTCAACATACCTAACCCAACGCCCGGCATCCCAGCATTATTCGACACCACCGTGAAATCCTGTAAATCCTTCCTATCCCTCAAGGCATTGATAAGAGAATTCGGGACACCGGAAAATCCAAATCCTCCTACCAGCAGCGTGGTGCTGCTTTTCATGTCTTTGATCGCTTCTTGTGCCGAGTCGCATATCTTGTTGATGGCTCGCCTGGCGCTGGAAGAGGAGAATTCCCGGCGGGAATGAGGTATCCTCGTTGCTAGTAAGCGTGCGTGCCTCATTTTGCGAGTTTGGATGATGGAGTATCACCGACACATGAATGAGAGGGAGAAAGAGATCTTGAGAATATGTCACGGAGGTATATTTTCGATTTTGCTCCGAATGTGATACAACCTTAGCTGCATCTGTATCTCCTCCCACTCCAAGCCCCACGGGAGCTTCGTCAGTGAGCTGGAGCTGCATGCATTACCTGTGGAGGAAGGCCGATGGCGGACAAGGCGAGTTTACAGGGGTGTCGGGGACTTGGAGGCGATGACTTGGGGGTTGTGCGGGGTAGGTAGCTTGGCGGATGGTCCCTGAGTTTTTGGGGGGTGGGGCTTGAACAGTACAGCACGATTGGATGGAGGACAGGAGTGGGGGTGACGACATTGAAGCTCCATTGACAATACCGGAATTCAAGGACGCTGTTAAAGTAAAATTCATCCCAGCGCTTCAACTTTCAGGTTGTTGAGGGTTGTCGAGATTCGGTTATCAACTGCGAAAGTAAACATGGCTCTCAATCATCCCAGTCTTGGCAAGATGCGGGGTCGAGTCTCGGATGATGGACAGACAGTGCAATATCGCGGCATCAAGTATGCACGAATACCCGGACGATGGCAAGACCCAGTATTGCTTGATGGGCCATTGAATAGAAGTGGAGACGGGAAAGAGTTTGATGCAAGCAAACATGGGCCTTCGTGTCCACAGCATCCGGGAGGTCATGCTTTCGATCTTTCTCTTGTGGGAGAGGTGGAGCTTGAGAATGAGAATACGGAGACAGATGAGTTTGAATGTCTTAATTTGGTAGTGACAGTTCCAAAGGGGGTGAAAGATGAGGATAAGCTTCCTGTTTTTGTTTGGTAAATATTTCTTTTATGTTGTGTGAATGAGGCTGATGAATGGCAGGGTTCACGGGTATGTTTGTGAATACCTCGTTTAGATTCAGGCTCATGCTGCATAGGGGAGGTTTCTCCATAGGAAGTAGTTGTTGGCCGCAGTACGGTATGTCTCCTATGATCTTGGACGTCTCCATTGACGTTATTAATCATTTCTTAGATCTGGAGAAATTTGTGAAAACGTCTGTTGATATTGGAAAGCCAGTCATTGGAGTCTCGATAAAGTGAGTCTCGACACCTGATTAGAAAAACATTCATATTCGGATTCTGACGACTTAGCTATCGCCTGGGAATCTTCGGATTCCTCGCCTCGGATGAACTTGGCTTGCCAGGCAATTACGCATTGAAGGACCAAGCATGCGCTTTTCAATGGGTATGGCATAGAAAACTCAACTTGCACAAAGTCTTACCTAATAAACCACTTTTCAGGTCCAGAAGAACATTGCAGGATTCGGAGGAGACCCCAATAGAATCACAGCAGCAGGCGAGTCTGCAGGCGGAAGTAAGTCCCCTTCAACCCATCAAAAACCCTCACTAACTCATCCAAAAGTCTGCATATCCACCCTCCTCCTCGTCACCACCCCACCCCTCTTCAACCAAGCCATGATAATGTCCGGCGAAAGCACACTCCGCAAAGCGCGCAGACCGAAATGGCAAAACAACCACTACAACACCAACACCAAACTTCTCGGACTCGAGAACCTGACTTCCGAAGAGAGGAGACGGGCATTGTATGAGATGAGCGCTGAGGAGATGGTGAAGAAGTTGCCGATGTTTCAGAATTGGAGTCCTTGTTTGGATGGGGAGTTTATTCGCGAGGAGGTTGATTTGGGGATGTTGTCTGAGAAAGGGGGAACAACGGGGCGGCCGGAGTGGTGTGAGAGGGTTTTGATTGGGGATGTGGAGCAGGATGTGAGTAATGCCCCTATCTGGTCGAAAGGACGACGGACTGATGTGAGTAGGGAACTGTCCTCAAAGCGCGTATTATGGATAATCCAGACATTATGACTAGGCTACATAATTCCCTAGCCGCATCTCTCAGTGCTGAAGAGGGTAAACAATTACTCGACTCTTACGGATTAAGTGGAACCTTGACTCCAGAGAAACAGTATGCTGGACTGCAACAGCTATCTTCAGATCTGAGATTCTACTTCCCAGTTCTCAAGACAGTAGAGGGATGGGAAAGAGAAAATTGTTTTCGATATCATTTCCACCAAGTAAGCAAGCACATCCCCTCCTCTTCCCCCCAGGCGTGCCCTCAAGCACACTGACTTACATACTCTAAACCTCAGCAAAATATCGTAACCGGCCCCTTCAAAAACCTCTCCTCCCACGAACTCGACGTAGCCTACCTCCTCCAGAACTTCCCCATCTTAAACACGCAGCCTGAGCACGACCGACTCGGGAAAGAAATGGCCGCTATATGGATCAAGTTCACATACGGTAACGGTTGGGATAAGGAGGATGGGGAGAAGGAAGTGTTGGTTATTGGGCCGGATGAGAAGATGAGTTGGTGGAGTGAGAGGGGGTATGATGAGAGGTTTAGGGAGGGGAGGGGAGGGATGTTGGTGCGGATGGGGTGGGAGAGGGTTTGTATGGTGGGGGAGATGGTGCAGGGTGTTTGGGAGGAGAGGGACTAGCAGGGGGAGGAGGGGAGTGAGTCGAGGCTGTGAGGGTGACATGAGAATGAGGATGAGAATGAGATAAATTGTATATACCGCGGTTAAGCATGTATATTTACGCACTCTGAGGATCTGTACTATTCTGTTGTTTACCTGACGATAGAAGCAGTAAATGTGGGGCCGGCCTGGTATCGACTCGGTAAAAAAACATGTGCTCTCGAATAGCTGGATCATTTCATCAAACAACTGTATGAACATACGCACTGTTCTACTCTGGTCATAAAATAACATAAATTTCGCCTCGTCAATCCCTGCTCTAACGAAACGTAGCTGAAGAATCGCCACGAAGTGAAGCCGCCCTCAAGCAGCAGCCCCACATCCCAATCCAGCCGACTCTCGGCAACCCCTTCTCCAAACGGTCGCTACCCGACAGCACCACACCACGCATCCAGCCAGACATAAACAACAAAACTAACCCTCATCGCCTGCCTTCCATTGATGCACCCTTTCATGCACACTTAGTTGTGATAGACCATACCTAGACCTGCAGCACAACATAGATTACCATGCTGCGAAGCACCAGAATATACCTCGGCAGCCCAATTTGCCGATCAGTTAAAGTTGGACGCCAGATAATACCTTTATCGACGAGGATACGTAATTTCTCGTCATCGCCTACGGATTCACCGAGATTACCGCTCTCGGGGACGAGGATATTGGATTTGACGAGGGTCTTGGCGGGGGTGAGAGTTCCTTGAAAACTTCAAAATGCACTGGTTGAGTTGGGAAGGAGAAGCTAATCACGTGGTGTAGCCGTATTGTACGCAGATATTGGGGGATCTTGGGTAAGTGAGGGAGCAGGGCTTTTGTTTTCATTTTTGTGTTCTTGGACTTGAGGAATGGATGTCTGGTATAGTTGTGGACAATTATGCTTATATATGTGGTAAACTAGAGCAGAAGTTCTGAAAATAGAACATCCAACTAGAGGAGATGACACGAGACAGTGGGGACCACCGTATGCGCCGCATATAGATGGGAGTTCTGGGCCGGGAGAAAGTGCTTATTACCTCTCAGTATATCCTCATCCTCTCTACCTTCTCTGAACTGCACTGACCAGATATTCTAGGTAAACCGCAACAAGAAATCAATCGGGGTATCGTTCAAAGAAGAGAAAGGCGCAGCTTTGATACGAGAGCTCGCTTTAAAAGCTGATGTTTTTGTGGAGAATTATCTGCCTGGGACGTTGAAGAAGTACGGTCTTGATTTCAAGACGCTGAGTGAGGCGAATCCGAAGTTGATTTATGCGAGTGTGACGGGGTATGGACAGACAGGGCCGTATAGTGATCGTGCGGGGTATGATGTTATGGTTGAAGCGTGAGTATTCTCTAAGGTTCTTTTGTGGTAAAAAATGGATTTTGATTGAGAAACAGGGAGATGGGTTTGATGCACATCACAGGCACACGTGATGGACCTCCTGTCAAGGTGGGTTGTGCAGTGACAGACTTGACGACGGGACTGTATACGGCGAATAGTATTATGGCGGCGCTGCTTGGTCGTGCGAAGACTGGTGAGGGGCAGCATTTGGATGTATGTTTGAGTGATTGTCAGGTGGCGACTTTGTCGAATATGGCGGAGTCGGTTTTGATCTCTGGGAAGAGGGATACCGGACGGTGGGGAACTTCACATCGTAGGTTCTTGGGTATCCAGTGCATTGCTTTAGTTGCTGATTTGGAGTACAGCATCGGTTGTACCATACCGGTCTTTCAAAACATCCGATGGCGATATTCTATTTGGTGGTGGAACTGACAGGTTGTTCGGCATCCTATGTGAAGGACTCGGCAAACCCGAATGGATCAGTGATGAACGCTTCGCCGTGAACTCATCTCGGGTGGCGAATCGAAGTCTATTGGAGCCATGGATTGAGGAGATCACTATGTCGAAGTCAACGCAGGAGTGGCTTGAGATATTCGATGGCACGGGATTGCCATATGCGAAAGTCAATGATCTGATGGACACTTTGACGCATGAACATGGTATGTTTCCTCACTTGCGCGTTTGCTGATTGCGGCTGATGGATGTAGTTGTTGCTCGTGGAATGGTCAAGGAGATCGATCACCCGACGTGTGGACCGATGAAGTTGATCAATACGCCTGTGAAATACTCGTACTCGACTCCGGGGATCAGGACGCCACCTCCAACGCTGGGGCAGCACACGGACGAGGTTTTGAGCGAAGTGTTAAGTTTTAGTAAGGAAGAGATCAAAGAGCTGCGAGCAGAAGGGGTCGTAGGATGAACTTGCTCTTGAGGCTCAGTCCAAAAATAGTAGAAATTAGATCTTGCCTTCAGTGTAATACAAATGACTCCGGCTGAGATTTAAGCTTCAACACAGACTCTACCATGTGCGCTGGTCTTGCGATCAGTTCATCTATCAGACATTCACCCACAACTTCAAAGTGAGTAATCTTCGTCGAAACCTTGACGCCGTGATCATTTCTCAATTCGGCTTCGACATCTGAGGCTCCATTGAGCGGGTCATATTCTCTCAGCAGAAATGGAACCATGAAATCACCCCAAAAGAAGCACATCTTGTCACCTACTCTAGCTCCTCCTGGAACAAGAACGAGACGACCGTTTTGCAGTTTGCCAAATCGTCTGCCGTATAGGAAGTGACGATATTCGTCCGAATCCTCATATATTGAGTGAAGTACAAGATGTCGAATCAGCCGTTCCCGTTTTTCTGCCAGCATAGGGTCCGTCAGATCCCCTTTAATCCAGTCAACATCGGTCCGCAAGATGCAAGAACTAATCTCCTCCTTGGGCTTGGGCTGACGACCACCTCCTAAGGATGAGGGCTCGCTTGGTGGTGCAGACATGAGGAAGTCAAGTAAAGTTTCCCAGTGGTGGAAGATCACAGATTCAATTGCTTTGCGTGTGCCCCGAGTATACTGACCTTCTTTCATGCAGCCAGGCCTCAGTTGTAGAGATAACTCCTGCTTTGTGATCAAATCTGTCACCATGCAGAGTTTGCCTACTCGTTCGCCGGTGACGCAAAGAAGAAGTCGATCAGAATGCAAGAAGCAGGGCTTAATTTGATAATCATTGGGATCTGCGTAGATTTTCTCCAATGTCGCTACGTCTCTTAATAGAGGTCGTGGGTAGAGGGGCTTTTTCTGAGTCCAATCCGGTACCCAGGTTGGAAACTGAGACGCCTGTGATACGCCTCTCCCATCAAGCTGAGGGTTGCATTCAGCGTAGGAAATGATTCTGTAATTCTTGAGAATGGGCAGTGTGTATCGGACAATGTCTCGATACACATCAATAAAGTCCTTCGTATAGTCGATATCAATCAACTTATTTTGCTTGTCATCTCTCGGGGAGGGCCCAAGGATACGACTATGAGCGAAAAGCACGTCTCGGGGGTCCAATACTCCAAAACCACGTCTGTTGTCGAGAACTGCTAGAAGGCGGAATACAAAGGCTAGTGCACAATCGTCTGATTGATCTGATTGATCTGATTGATCGAAGAAGCTTTTCTTGCCCTCTTGCATGATCAAAATATCTTTCCACGGGTGCACATATCGGTTTGCTTGCGTCAAAGACTTCACTGTATTGTGGAGCAGCTCCCATCGTACGCGACCCCTTCCACATTGAACCCACGGGTCGACAGAGAAGAGCAGTTCTTGATACACCCAGACTCGCTGAAACCAGGGTCTCGCTAGGATTTCTTGCCACGGAAGAGCTTCTAAGGCTTCTCTGTCCACAGTTAATGTGGCGTTGGATCTCACAGCATTAAGAACTGCGTCAGTGTTTTGGGTGGGCTCTCCAAGAAAGATGATCGTGTGCGTGGCGTGTCGATAGACATCACCCATTTGTCTGACTTGCCCATTTTTCTCTTCGTCGTCCGATTGGTTGATACAAATGGCATCCGCCCATATCAAACATCTCCTCGTTGGATCCCTCATATAACGCAAGGCTGAGTCGAGATTGGGAGTGATGCGGAACTCATGGCCCTCAACAAGGATGGACTTCAATATCGTGGAGCCTCCCCAGACGTAAGAGAGAGCAGTATAGTGATTGATCAGGTCGTGGTCATACTCGTGTAATGTGGTGTGGATGAGCGAGCATTTGATCCTCGCGTTGAGCTCTGGATCAGGCTCCAGCTCGAGGAGACGGATACCATCATTCTCAAGGATTGGGCGATACTGATATCTTTGAAGATCATCCATATCTAAATATTTGAAGACTAGGAGAGTTAACTAGCTTAGTGATGGGATAACATGATTGTACTGTGCTGATGTTGTTGTGAAGAGAAATGGTTATGACTGCCAAGATAGGTAGGGACTCGTGAGCTGCCCAACCCTGCAGCTTTTGTCTGATCTACACGTGACATACACAGGTATGTATTCTTTAATTCAAGATACAGCATACATAGATAGGTAGATAGATATAGGTGCTGTCAATCATCACTACTCAGAAGTCGCCTCTTACATTCAGCGCGGTTGATTTGTCAAAGTGAAAGTCTGTATTGAGAGACATCTCCTTTCTCATTGTCAGAATACACAGTTTCATGATGCGCTGGTCGCGTCCATTAAACATATTTCAATCCCCGTTTTCGTCCCGTGAAATCGAAAAGTAAATGTATTTGAGAAACCCAGCGAGTCCTACTAAAATTATAGGCGACAGCTAGCGCCATATCGCTAAAACGATCCCCTAACCCTACTTCATGACCCCTAACTCCCCTAACAGTTTCGCCACCCGATCCGCCAACTGCTCGACATTATCAACAATCTCAATTCCAAATCTCTCACAAACAATCTGCACATTCCCTCTCTTCACATACCCCTCCGGACACGCAACAACCATTTTCTTTCCCCTCGCAAAAAGCCCCAATTCCATCAATGTGATTGGCGCTGGCGATTTAGGATTGAAGTATACCGCGACAACATCAGCTGCTTCCATGGCGTCCAATTCCCAGTTTACTTGTTCGCGGAATGGTGCGAAATCTACTTCTTCTCGCCAGGTGGAGTCCCAATCTTCTCGATGAGGGTTGAGGATCGTGATGGGGAGATGAGAAAGTGCGGCTGTGAGGAGGGATTGCCATGTTGCTGGCGGCGCATCGATGGAGCCTGAGAGGAAGATTGTGGGCTGGTCGGTCGTGTAGGGGTTTGGTGCCATCACGACACGGCATCGGGTGGGGTTTGGATCAAGGGTTGGAGACGCCATTCCGCTTATTTCTATCGCCAGTGCGATGCTATATGCCCGGAAGATACGGATCGTTGTTGTTTAGTGAAAAAGGGAAGGTTGAGAAATCCATTACGATGATCATGATCAGGCTACGGAGAGGCTCGGTCCCGCGAACTACTCACGTGTACCAGGTGAGGCTGGGCGTGACTTTCGTCGGAGAATGCGGAATGCCTTCATGATTTGGAGTGGTCCCGACTTTCGTTCGTCGTGGTGAGGGCGTCTAGGTGAGTCTAGGTGAGACCTGCGATGGAGCAGTCCCCGTGCGGGTGTTGTGATATTGACTGGTTAAACGAGTCACTGGACAAGCTACAGTTCCTTGTCCCTCAGGAGCTCCGCTCACTGCCCTCATAAGCCCGACGAGTTGTGAAACCATGTACAACTATTTTGTGTCGTGTTGGTATTGTGATCCGCATGCAAGTTTCCCCGAACTTTCGTGCACGTCGTGTTGTTCGAACGAGATTCTAGTTTAGCCTCGAAACCAAAGGTTTTTCTTTCGGGCATTTTTCATGTTGGGAATTGGTCCGCGGCTACGGAGATTACTGATTGGGTGTCTATTGAAAGCGACCAACAATTGAAATTGGCGATTGTTGGTGTTTGTATACCCCTGGAGGATCTCAAGTTGCCCCGAGGATTAGCGCCTGCTCGTTCTCGTTCGGTCCCCATGGTGTCGCGCAAGTGCCCTTTGTTCTTATTACATTCTCGTGCGTCCTCTGAGTCTCTGTGATGAGAGAGTCTAAACATTGCTCTTTCCCAAATGACGACCACTCGTGGGCCAGATACTGTCAGTGGTGTGATCACGAACTGGCTCCCATTCACGACTCCAGGGCCTGGCCAATCTCTCGCTCAATGCTCCACTGCCATTTACTATCTCCCTGGAGCGGTATCTGGATTCGTTGCTTTTGATCCTTATTATGGAAGGTGGATCGATACGGCTGTAAAGTGCCTGGCAACTGAACAGACTCGTTGGTGGGAGCAACATAGTGATGGCATCACGACGAACATAAATCTCGGTCCGTTTGCGTGTCCGACAGGGTACACGACTGCTACAATTAGCTCGGTCAATCCGTTGACATCTTTTGTTGGCTGCTGCCCTTCGTAAGTGACCTGGAGTTATTCTCCAATGTAGAAATCTTCTAACTTGGTGAAGGTCATATACGTTTTTGGGCAGCTTTTTAGGTGCCGCGACTCTTGGACAGTGCCATTCCCCGCTCAAAGTCGGTCAAACAATTGTCGCAAAATCTACAATCGACACAAACTTCAACTGGAAAGATACGACAGCGGTAGTGATAGGGAACGGATTTAGCGTGGCCGCTGTACATGTTAATGGCTTCGTTTTTCGGGAAAAGGCTCTCACAACCCCGGCTTCCACCTCTGTATCAACAACTCAGCCAGGAACCTCCTCAACAACCAGCTCAGTACAGCCGTTGAATACCAGCATACAGTCTATAGTACCGGTTGAGACCGCGCCAGTGACGTCTGAGGGTCTGAGTAACGGGGCGAAGATTGGCATCGGGGTCGGAATTTCGTTGGGGGTGCTGGGGACGGTCTGTCTCGCAGCAGCAATCTTTATACTGAAGCGAAGAACTCGTGCCCCTCAGAGCCCTAGGTATCCTTCTGGATTTGCTGAGGCACCATCCTATCCAGCAAACTATCCGATGGCGAAGCGAGCCCAAGGTGGTAGTTCTATTTATGAGGCGCAAAGAGGAACAATTCATGAAGCGCCCGATGGAATGCGGCATCAGTCGAAAGGGCCAGCGGAGATGTGGGTGGCACCCCATCAGGGAGGATGACTGTTTTACGTTGTGACGACTTGCAGTTCGTATTTTTTACAGCGCGGCGTTCTTGGTTTTAATACACATCCATATATAAAATTAGCAGCATCTGTTTATCTCTTCGGCGATAATCAATTCAATTTCTATGGGCAAGAATGCTCCAGTTGGCCTTGTACATGTTTTCATTCTATATAGCTACATCAAGCTCCCCCAAAGTTCTCAGTATTATGATCCGTGAAAGTTTCCAAGGTACACAACCTATATTCAGGGCACCACTTATATATCTCGTCCATGTGCTCCTTCTGCCACACATTGGGCTGATGATAACCTAGTGGTTTATCATACCACATTGTCTCCACCGAGAACTGCATCGCGATCTCTGGAGTAGGCAATGTAGACCCACCTGGCATCTCTCGCATCTTCTTTGAGAACCACTGATCTTCATAATCCACGTTCCCGGCAGAATGATCTCCATGTCGCTCCACCTGCCAATCATAGTTCTGGACAATCTCCAAGCACTTCGTTCGATTCCGTATCGAAAGCCCGCCATTGTATCCCATTCCTAACCCTCTGACCTCGTCGACCGGCGCACCGACAAAATCGTACATGAGGAAATCCTCTACTCTGTGCTGCGAGTTCGAGCAGATGATGCTATCTGCTTGGAACATCAAAATATGTTCCGCCGGCGCCATCTGTTCCCAGAACCATGGCTTGGTAAAGAATCCTGAGACAGCGGCATGTGTATTCAGGTGTTCTTCTGCTGGCAGAGCCCGCACATGAAATCTACCAGCGCTCACTTCTCTTTGGAATGGCGCCGATTCGGAGAATGCTCCCATGTTTCCTTCGCTCGTAAACAGGTGTATTGGCCATTCTCGTCCAAGCACAGATGAGAAATGTAATATGATGGGGATTAAGTTCTCGAGAGGTCGATTCTCGACTATAACTGCCGCTTTCGAAGTGGAGAGGATTGTGCTTGGACGCGGAGGGAGATTCGCGGGCTCTTCACTGGCTGGGTTTTGTGGTGGTTCCTTGCGGAAAGAGTATCCATCTGCCACGAGTCTGTGGGAAGAATACAGGAGAGCTAGGGCGATGAGGGTGACTGCTGCTGCGATGGCTATCTTTTTGCTGCTGAACAGCGGTCTCTTCCTTCGAGGGCTTCCTGCGCCAACCGTTGACTCCGAGTCCGGATTATCCTGTGCCAGCCTTCGCCAGCCTTGTGGCGCCATCTAATATATCTGTTCGGCGGATCGTGGGAGCCTGGGACTGTTAATTGTCGGCGAAGGGGAAGATTCCGATTCAAGTAGAGTACGGAGCTCTGGATAACGAGAAGAGATTTTCAAACGGACCCGATGGATAGGTGGGTGGGAACGAAAACCAATAACCTCAAAAACCAACATTTCTGATGTTGGTGTTCCACCGTGCCACCCTAGTCTGCAAGCCACCCACCCTCAGCGCGTATCGAAACCCATACCATGACCCATGGCTGCAGGCAGCCTGACGATACAGTAGGAGCTTAAGTCGTGTTATTTACAGGGGTATTCAGATAAGCATAACGAAAATCGTTTGAACTGGAGGTCCTCAGACAATTCGTTTTTGTTTACCTTTGTTCTGAAGAATGACCTTCCGACTTCTCGCTCCTGTTAGATCTCGAGAGTCGGAACTCATACGGTCCGGGCCGCTGTCAGCAAAATAGTTCGTCTCGGCCTATGAACTTAAATTCTTCCCGACCTTGAAGATCGACAGATCTTTCCAGCCGAAACTGTTTCATCTCCGGTGGACTTCGGACTAGTGCCAAAATACTTGACAAGATATGATATATGTATGCCGAGCGAGCGTTTCATCTCCGGATTTGCCTTCTCAGGTGAAGACATTAAGCGCCGCCTTATTGAGACGGCCTAATTTTGAGGTTCGGATGACGATGCATCCTTGTGAGAAGCGCCTATCAGTCATGGCACTCTGGTGGGTCAGTCGGCGGGCGCCTGGAATGCGAACAATCTGCCTTCCCGAACTTTCTGCCCAAACTTTCCTGCTCCATAGCCAATTGTTCTTGGTATTTTGCCGCCACTGGTCGTCTATTCAAGGCGACACTTGGCTCCAATTTAGGTCGCTTTCGGGGTCGCCAATTTGGTCTAACTTCTAGCATTGGACGATCAAATGCTTCATGGAGTGTTCATATGATTCCTTCTGCTGAACTTTTTTTCGATGTCTTGTTTAAACTTTATATTTTATGATTTTGAGCTTGTGGTGCTTCAAAGACTGATACTCGAGCGTCCAGTATCCCAATCTATAATTTTTAATTCAGGCACTTGGGTTTGCGAGCATCTTCATTCAAGATGAAGTCTTCCAAGAACGTTAAAACTCTTTCGCCGAGAGTTGACATCCTTACAGACTTGTTCTTGAACCCTCCAGCAACAGGATCCAGCGGTCCAGACAATTCCGAATGGATTCTCGGCTCCACACAGCATGTACGGTGGTCAACGGATATGGCCGTCTTCGATTTTCTCTTGTTTCAACAACTCGATTGCGGTGATCATAGCTGTGTGAATGGGCCATTTTTGATCGCAGGTATAATGTTCAGTGCCAGCTGGTACAGGAGGTCACAGAAGCTAACTTTGCCGAGAGAATCTCACAAGCGAGACAAAAACATGGGACTGGCAAGTCACCACGGGAACTATGACGTTGAAGCCATCCAATACCTTTTTCCTTCGAATGCGAGATTCCAATGACAAAAAAACCGAGTTTGACTCGAGCACACTTGATTTCACTTCTCCCGATGCACCTGGTAGTGGTGCAGACAGTCCCTCGGAAACAGCATCACCGAGCACCCCCAAGCCTTCCAGCACCACTATTTCTACGGCTCCCTCCAGAGTCAGCTCTTCAGCTTCTAGAACTTTGATATCTCTCAGTCCCATACTGTCCCCAACAACTTCCTCTCAGTCTATCATACCATCAACGACTCTCCCAGCGCCAAGTTCTCCTGGCACACCCACGACGACACCAGCCTCTCTTCCAGGATCATCCACAAGTGGAGTCTCAACGGGAGCAAAAATTGGCATGATAGCAGGAGCAATATCTGCAGTCGTGCTAGCCATATTCATAGGCTGGTATCTCGGACGTCGACGAAAACTCAAATCGACGAAATCGCCGTTCCATCCATTCGAGACCCCACCTCCCGCGCCTCCAGTCCAGCTTGCCGAACTTCACGTCCCAGGATGGGGGGAACAGAAAGTGATTCCACCGCCTTTCACGCCTCGAGAACTGCATGGCAATGGCAAGTTTGATAGCTTCAAGGGTCTAAGGGAGTTGGATGCTTGGGACAAACCGGGTGAGCTTGATGCGGGGAGTAGGCAGGGGGTTAAGTCGGGGGTCTATGAGTTGGGACCACGATATACGTGATGATGATTTATGAAACATTTTATTCGGAGTTCAAAAAAGACCCAGGGCTTCTTACACTTTTCTATTGCTCTGGTGAGGACCCTCTGCTATCTTGATGTTGTTTTTGCTTCTCACACTTTGCCCTCTCGACTGATCTGGAGGCATTGAACGAAAGCGTGCGGCGGGCGACTGGGGTATCTGACTGTGCTCTCCTTCACATCTTGGAGTCAGGTTAAATTTCTATACATACGTAGCCAGAGAGACAATCACACATCAATTTTCTCTCAAGCCATCCAGTCATTCGCTCGCAAAGTCGTCCATGGACACTCACCATTCAAAGACATAGGGAACTCCTCTCCTTGACTCAACCAAGCCCATTCAAGTCCAACATGGACTCTGCCTGTCCAATCTCCTCTCCTCAGCACACATTTAAGCTCAGAAATCGTTACCACTCTGAATCTCGTGCTGTCAAAACAGCCTCTCCACCTCAGAATGGCTACCAGTACTCCAACAGGCGGAACAACGAACCGCACTAGAACAACTAACTCGGCATCTCTTGTACAGCCACCGATACGGCCGAGGAAGAATAAGTGGCTTCAGGATGATCGTAAGTTGTATATATTCACTTTGAACCTGGATCATGTGAGCTCTCCGCTCTCATTCTTGTCAGACGTACCATGTCTGGACTGTCCAGGCTATCCAAAACTGCCTCCGCGCTTTCGCACTTTTACACGTCTCATCAAGAAGTATGAAATTGTGGACTGCAGTTCTCTACGTCTCTTTTTGAGGCATTGTGGTCAGATTCTCCACTTGCGTGCAGACATTTCGCGAACTCTCCAAACACCCCATCCCCTTTCATCTCATCCGCCATCCAAAACTAACAACCTCCCTGTCCAGGCAGCCACCTAATTGGTATCGCCCGCCGCAAAGGCGACAAAAATCCCCTCAACTGGAACGTAGAAATCGACCCACAATTCGCACGCTTCGCGCCCAAAGACTGGAGTCCAGATTTCCCTCCTCCTCCTGTGAAAAAGAAGAAGCAAAGACCGCCGAGTACGGATTCTGATACGTCGGGTTCTGGGAGTGATGGGAAGAAGAAGGGAGGAGGCGTGTTGAGGAAGTTGATGTTTTGGAAGAAGAAGAAGAAGGGGAAAGGGAGCGGGAGGGGGAGGAGTAGTAGCGTGAGTGGTGGGACGGGGACGAGGACGACGGCGAGGGGCAATGGGGGGAGCTCGAGTAGTAGTTGAGTGAGGTGGTTGTAAAGAGTGGTGCTTTGATGACGATTTGGAATATTGTGCGAAGAGCTTTCTAGATGTTGAAGATCTCTTGGTTTCTTTACATGGAAGAATAGGAAATATGTCCAATACTGACTTCGTATCTGTGCAAGAGCTGCATGTTCCCCGGCTCATGTAATGTCGTATCGTCAATGGTAAAGCTGTACCTAGATACTGATTAGTCCATTTGAATCGTCGTGTGATCGTCTTACATCCATCAGCCTTAAAGTTTTGGCAATTTTCGGAGACCAGGCTTCACCAATTTTGGCTATCCCTTCGCGACCTGCTGACGGCCACAAGGACAGTGACAATGCGGTATTTGCTACGAAATACGGATTATTTGAAATTTACATGGAGACTTCGACTATTACCAGGAATAACTGTGTGTTTGATGATCCTCGCTCTCGGTAGCTGCCCCAGTGTCACTTGTTGATACCCACCTCGCTTAACCATCACCAGGGAATACCCACACAGGGATGTAGAAACTGTCAGGGGTACGCTAGACAGACTCGGGACATACAGAGAGGGGTCGTGTGTCCTAAAAGTTCTGTCTTGCTCTTTAGACGAATAAACCGCCGCTTTGTAAACCGTCCATTAAGTCCCGACACATTTTCCTAAGCTTGACCACAGTTCCTGCTTCTGCTCTCGTGCATCCGAGAGGCTTGACTTTGATTGCATTGAATCAACATATCGGCATGCACAATTTGGTCTTTGAGGACGCAGTGGTTTATACATCAATGGAATATTCTGAGACAGATGATCTTCTTGTTGAAAGAAGCCATTCAAAGCCCTCACAACGTTGCCAGCAACACAAAAGAAATGAAATTATCAAGTCCCTGCCCGCCATCTTCCGCATTCCCTTCCATTGTTTCTCCCTGCTGAAACCATGCTGGCAATCACTGCGCAGCTCTGATCTTTCCAGTCAAGAAGGTCACAGCCTCGGGGACTCTTCTCTCATAGTCCAAGTGAGCTGGCAAAATGGTCAATGTCCCTCGGCATACCGCATCACCAGAGTTGCAAATGACAAGAACCTTGTCCCTTGGGAAGTTGGGGATTTGACCATTGTCTTGTTGGTTTTGAGTGTCACCGTACGTTACGACACCAGCAATTTGATCTTTGACTGCTTGTGGAAGATTCTCAATCGCACGGTGGCAAAGAGCTGCTCCTTGACTACAGGGATGTTAGCCTAGCAGCAGGAAATTGCAATCAATCAACCAACCTGTAGCCACCACCAACAAGTACTGAGTTCGGGCATCTGGACGCAGCGTCCACAAAGAGGTCTCGCATTTCGCGAATTCCAGCTGGATCAGCCCCTCCAGGGAGGAAGTTTGTGGACAGAGCAGCAGCATAGTCGATGCCTTCAACAGCAACACTGTTTCCTCCAAATGCCCTCTTCAGCCCTTCTCCAGTGGGAGGTCCAACGGTACTCCCCTAAATATCAATTAGTTTAATTTATCATGGCATTTTGATCAAGCTTGAAGGCGGCTAACCATGTTTCCAACTTCAGTGGAGCCTCGAGCAAAGAAGAATATGATATCCCTGCAGCCGCCTCTGGTGAACTCATTGGCTGTGATGCCAACGTTGGTGGACTGGCGAACTTCAACAGCAAGAGGACTGGCTGTTGCGATACCAGCAAGCAGAGAGACGATGAGGGCTTGGGTCTTCATTTTTGAGATAATGTGACGGGGAATGTTGCAAGAATGGGGTATGCGAGGACTGGTCTGGCAAGTCTGAAGATGGCACTGAATGAATGGAAAAGAATGTAGTGATGTGAGGAAGCTGGAATTTGCCTGAAGAAAAAGTTTCACTTTGGAAGCAAAGAACTTGTGGTTATATATTTCGATCCTGCAGTTCAGTCCCCAGTTTCCTACTCACCTACCAATTCTAGGTATCTTGAAAACCTCGGACGATCCGTCGTGGGTTGGCAAACATGCAAAGCTGATCCAATCGCAACTCATAGTCACCCATCTGGTATTTACACAAGAACGAAAAATTCAAGATCTATCCTGAGACTTCCAAGCCACTCTCTCGACGAAGCTATCGCCTCACCAAAAGCAGCCATCCCCGAGGTAAAACTTCTCAAAGCCATACTAGCCCTAGGTATTTCCATGTGTAAGTACCTACCTATTCGATAATCTGACGACATATCGGGACGTATCAGACGACTCTAAAACGAACAAGATCAGTTGGCATACTTGGCACTCAAGATTAACCTCAAGGGGCGACGAAACACCTCGGCAGATGAGTTAACTACCAGATTTATACTGGTTCTACACATCTGGAAACAAGGATGGATTTCTTTCTTTAGTAGCCAAGATCCAGAGGGGTATTACGTGCAGGCGGGGTGGCTGCAACATCCTGGATAATGCGGGGTACAGGTGTTTTTGTGGTCCCATGATTTGCGCTCAGATCTTCAGCCAAGTCGTCTCGCTTAGATTGATTATTCCGTGTGTAACTTCAAATCGATTTTTCCAAGGTCTTGTCAACGAGTTATGCGGCAGTAAGCCGTCGGGAAATTCTTGTCACTCTCCATGTTTCATATCTTCAACTACGTCAGTAACATAACAAATATTTCAAATACATAGCCGTTTTACTCTGTTGAAACTGAAAATAAAAATACGGATTGATGCCGAATCAACATTTGACAATACCAAAATGTAAAAGAGTCAAAAGTGCATCTACATATATGCCTAGTTTTTCTATTTCCAAGCCTCATTTGAAAGCCAAGCCTTCCTAGTATCAACGCCTCACGTTCGTTGACGATATCAAGAACACAGGACCTGTAAAACCCTACACCTAAACAGGTCGGCATTTGTGCTTTGAAGCCTGTTTCTGCCTGGAATAGGAGCCGAGGTCAAACATAATGCCTTGATATATCAAGAGTCGAAGCTAGTGAGCCTTATCAGTGTTCAATCAATATAATCAAGCCAAAATCCAGCAGGAGCAAAAGGTTTCGCGGCACCCTTGATATCTGGTCCGGAAAATTGCACTGGAACTTTATTGACCGTAATAATTCTTCCATGAACAACCGAGGATAGCCACTGAATCTTGGAGATGCAGCAACAGTGCATCCATTCGTCGTTTGGCCTGCGATGCACGAGAGACGAGGAAGTGTCAAAGCAGGGGCTGTCACCAGACCTCGGTCCTCTTCCTAAATTATCCTTCACTTGCTTATTCATCTTCATTCCCTTTTTCCCTCATCAAATCTTCTCACCATTATTCAAAGATCAAAGATCTTACCGAGAAAGGCGAAGTAAATTCGTCTCGTCATCCACCTGCCCAGGCGGTGTTCAGCAATTGGAAGAGCATAACAAATATAGACCATGATGCTACTCCATTCAAGTGAGTATCTTGGATGAATTCAGATGTGCAATGTGTAAGTTCGTACTCAAAGCAATCAAATACTGGAGGACGACCGCTTTCGCGATTGTCAACTCCATTAGATATAATTTACTGGCCATCGATAGCGCGAGATTTCATCAGACCCGTGATGCGAAAGCTCTACCGGTATTTTCAAAGCGAACCACAAGAGTGGAAGAATCCCTATCAAATATCTGGTCAGCAATCTGTGGACCCTTCTCCGGCATTTTGTGCCATGTAAACATCACGTTTTATTAACCGACTTTGGAGATCACCAACCTGCATTTGCTGTCTACAAAAGTTGTTTTTGTTTGCGGCTCTCACTTCTTGAAATAAAATACAGCTATATAAGAAATGTTTATATTTTCACTTCGTGGATAACGGAGCGATATCAGGGAAAAGCGATACCAGATAACCGATCTCGAGCAGTCTCTATCATGTGTGAGGACGCAGCTTAGTCCAAGCACATTCAAGTATTTACAATAAACCACCACTCCCCTCCACCTGTGAATATACTATCTCCCCCCCCCCCCCCCCCCCTCTCCATTCTCTATAAATCATCTCTTCGCCACCCCCCAGTTCTCATTCATAATCTTAATCCCCACTTCCCTAAACGTGTCACTCTCCACAAAACTCGTAACATTAGCATCAAACACCATGTCCCATGGTCCCATACCATTGACCCCCTCGACGATCCTAACGGCCTCATAGCTTGGCCAACTCTCCACCTCCGTATCCCGACCAACCCAAGAATTCGGATCAAGATCCGCCACAAAACTCGCCCAGCTCTTACTCATCAGCTCAGCAAGATCGGTATAGCTCTGACTCTTATTACCAAATGGGTTCTCGGCATAACCAAGACCATTGAGGTTATCAAATACGAATGCCACTTCTGTAAAGTGTGTGACGGAGATGGGGAATGGAGTCCCGTTGGGGATGGCGTTGAAGCGGTAACAGTAGGTATCGAGACCAGCGGCGGACCAGACCGCGCATGTATGGCGACGAGAAGCGATGAAGAAGAGATCACCGCTGTAGGCTGCACTACGTCGCCAGTATGCACCGAAGGATGTGTTTGCGAAAAAGAGGTCTGCTCCGAGGGTGGCAGTGTCAGGGATTAGGTAGTCGGAAGTGTTGGTGTCGACGTATGCCGAAATGAGGTCGGAGAGGACTTGTTCTGATGCTGACCAGGTGCCTTAATCACACACACATATCAGCATGTTTCTCTTCACAGAGGTCGTACAAATGGGCGCAGAACTCACCATTAATCACCCCCACCAAATCCGCCTCTGTATCAATTCCCCTCGGACTGAACGCCGTCCCTTCATCAGAGTTCGCCCCTGCAATAATAGGAACATGCACAAAGCTCCCATCAGCAAGCTGCTCACTCCCATACCTCGCCACAAAATTCCCATCAAGAGCAGGCCACCACCCAGGCATGTTGAATTCCGTAGTATTCAACACACTGTTTAACACTGTAAACGGCACCTCTCTCAAGCATGTAAGCGAGTTCGAGGAATTTCCACACCCCGATTGCTCAACAACAGAATCGTACATAGGCTGATAATCAGAAGAGCTCTGTTGCACGCCGAAAAAGATAGGTCCACCGGATTCCATAATAGCTGCACGGAACAACTTGTCGTCACGGCCATTGAAAGCAGTGAGATGTAAGCCAACGCTGGCCGCGCCAGCGCTCTCTCCCCAGATAGTGACCTTTTCAGCATCGCCTCCGAAAGCAGCAATGTTCTCGTTGATCCAATGGAGTGCAAGACGCTGGTCCTTGAGACCGACATTGATGGCACCAGCGTCGGAAACGGCGTCTCCATTGAGGAAACCGAACGGTCCAAGACGGTAGGCGATACTGGCTGCGATGATGGGTTTACCGATTTCGACGGAGTTTTGGACGATGAAAGAGAGGTTATAGCGTCTGTCTGGTGCGCCACCGTATGCGAAGCCGCCACCTGTGTGGGTCAGTACTGATAAGGAAAAGAACTAAAGGGGACATCTAGTGGGTTGGTTTCGGCAGCACTTGACGGAGGAGCCACCCAACGAGCACGTTTACGACAAGAACTTGATAATCTTGATGAGTGACAATTGACATACCATGGATCCAGAGCGCCACAGGTAAACTCTGATTCTCACACCCACTCGGTCTCACAACATTGAGGTACAAGCAGTCCTCGCTTAAGACATGTCAGTCAGCCTTTGTCACTCAACCCAACATATCACCACATACCTTTGTTGATACCCAATCTGATCAGATCCATAGCCAATACAATGCTGCACTCAAGTCAGTCAATCAATCACCAACATCAATCATTCAACCTCTCCAATGTATTCCCCCTCTTCATTCCCCTCTCCCAAATCGAATCCCAGACTATTCCCCCTATCTCACCCCACCGCCTTCACCTCTCCCTCCCAGGCAGAAAGACTTTCAGAAACAAGAAGCAATGAATCCACTCACAAACGCATAATTCGTAGCCGGCACACTCCCCTCCCACGTTCTATTCTCCAACGCCACCGGATTCGCAAATCTCAGATCCCCCACGGGCGGTTCTGCAAACGGGATCCCAAGAAACAGATCTTGGTTGAAACTCTCTAGATGTTTGCCATAGTAGGAGCCATTGAGGACTTTGACCGTTGGAGCGGCGGTAGCTAGGACCGTGAAAGCCGTTACTAGGATCGGGGCAAACAGGTGTTGAAGAAACATCTTTGGTTTCGGCTGGCTTTTCAGTAACTTTTGAAAGCACTTTTCCGGAAGAAAAAGAATGCCGGAAGGAGATGGATTGATTCAACGGAAGAGAGAGATAAATAGAGCACCCACTTAATCCAATCCAAACCAACCTCTCAAGCAAGAAAAAGATGGGCAACCATCCCATCTTTAAATCTCAAATCCATCCACTGGACTCCGGTCTGCAAATCCCTTCTCCATCTCCACACCCCTTCCCCGTCCTTACCTAGCTAAACCTCATCATCACTACAATCTCCGTCTTTTTCACCACCCACTCTACCACCAACCGGCCCAAACGTCCCATCCCGTCTCTAGTCTACCCCACAACCCCTCCAAAACCCACCACTTTAGCCGCATATCGTCCACCTGCACTCCACACGTCATTTCTTCCACCACTTCCACCGCCCGCATCCATGGGATCTTTCCAGAAATTCTCATCCCGAAGTTCATCCACCACGATTTCGACCCAGGAAGCGGGGTGCGGGGATAAAGTCAGCCAATGAAATACCTCAAATGAGGAGAAGAGTGGAGGAGGAATTGCTTCAAGCGAAGTAAACCCGATCGACTTTCCTGATTCCCAAATGGAAGTCCCTGTTATGAGAAGAGGGGAAGAGGAGATGTTCGAGTCGGTCCGAATATTGGTGTTGACATAGGGAAACGAGTCAGGTATTGAACTGGCTTGACATCGGACTGATTGATGCGATTCTACTGCACTTACAGTGTAGTAGTGCCTCCTCAAAGGCCCCGGTTTCAGAAAGGCCTCGGTTCTCAAACTAAGGCGGATCCAGTTTATGTCCGCCAAGGCCCTCACAGCTGGGCAGTCGCTAGGCTTAATCTCACTCATACTTGAGGACGACTCTTCTTACGGTAAAAGCTCTATAGATAGGAGGGCGATCTGCCTCGCCATATTACCCTCTCAATATTTTAGAGAATTCTAGCTGTTACGAGACTTGTAGATCAGTATTTGTTCAATCTGGAGTCTATTTGACTTCCAGATTCTGGCTTGCCCTTAGCTGGTCCAAAAATTTGGGCCGCCTCCAATCTATGCCATCCTCTACCTACGCTGGAACCTCGGGTCGCGAAAGGGCACAGCTATCATCAATTCGTCTTTCAGTCTATGCTTTCGTTCTGTTTCGTTTCGTTTCGTTTCCTTTTGATTTCCAACCCAGTCCAATCCTCTCAGGTTCCGTCGACACACAAACATGGATACAAAGACAAAGAATCGACTCTTATTAGCCATTTGGTCGTCAAGCGAGAAGTAGGTCGGTCAACATACTGAACACAAATACGAATCGATTTTATGCAGCCAAGAAAATCTACAAGCGCAAGAAAATGGCCTGAACACGAAGTCTATGCGGGATTTACCCTCTCTCTCTCTATATTTGGATATCATCACTTTCCTCCAACATCGGAAAACCCAACCTTCACAACACCAAATATCCAACTATACATACAACACGACCTCGTTTTTGCAAGTGCCGCTCGCTCGCATCTTCTCCAGCTCTTTTCCCAGTCAAACTTAAATCCTCCTCCTCCTACCTCTAAACTCTTCCCCCAACAAAACAACCAAAACGATCAGAAGCGTCTCAAGATCAACATCAACATCAAAATCAAATATCAATACTATTCAATTTCCCTTTGAGATATTTTATATACTACTACCTATACGATAGCAATTTCCTATCCAAGCCAATCATTCTACACATATCAGATTCCAACAAAAACAATGCGTGACGTCTATCTACTGATTCTACTTCCCTCTTTCCTTCTTTAACTCGCACGCACAAATTCCAAGATTTTCATCCCATTACAATCTGGGCAGTTCCGGCCGGGGTTTACATTACAATTTCCGACTTTCAATTCACGTACATGCAGACAAGACAGAAACCACCTTGCTTTACTTCGTTCACTTCAAATCATCTCGATTCACATGTCCTGTACTTTTACCACCTTTATCACCTCATCACCTCACCACATCCTCCCCTTCCTTCCTTCCTCTTCCCTCTTCCCTCTTCCCTCTTCCCTCTTCCCTCTTCCCTCTTCCCTCTTCCCTCTTCCCTCTTCCCTCTTCCCTCTTCCCTCTTCCCTCTTCCCTCTTCCCTCTTCCCTCTTCCCTCTTCCCTCTTCCCTCTTCCCTCTTCCCTCTTCCCCTTTCATTCTTCAATTTTCACACCTCATTCCTCACCCTCCATCTCCCCACCTAAAAAAACCCACCAAACCGACCAGCCAACCCAAGAAAAGAAGGCCTCCAAGAATTCAAACCCAATCGATATCAATATCAACATCAGATGCCAAAATGTCATTCCTATTCCCATTCCAATTCCAATTACATACCACTAGTACTGCTGCCATGATTTCTTATCAAATCTGCACACACACACACAAACACACACACATATATACATATACACAAAGACGAAGGGGAGGGGGCAAAAAAAAAACAGAGTCCCCGCGGGGCGATATCTCTTCCTTCCTTCCTTCCTCACTTTCATCAGGTATCAATTTTTTTCCTCCTTTTTTTAAGGGGTTTTTTTTTTTTTTTTTTTTTTTAGCTCGCTCTCCCATTTCCCAAGAGTCTCTGTCCTGTCCTGGCATGAGCTGCTCAGGATCCTATCTATTAATCAGTCCCAGTCCAATCCAGTCCAGTCCAGTGCAATCCAATCCAATCCAGTCCCAATCCAGTCCAATCGTCCCGAACTCTCCACACCCCACACCCCACACTCCAATCCCCAATCCCCTAAGCCAACCTACATACATACCTACCTACCCACGTATACAAGCACGCACGCACCCGCGGAGCAGACTTGTTTTCTGCTTAACTTAAGGTTTTCCTAATTGATCTCTTGTCATTTTTGTACTGTGCTGTATTTACTGTACTGTATTGTACTGTACTGTATTGTATGTACTTCACCACCTCTCACCACCTGTGATTACTTCTCACTACTAATCTCTTATCTTCCCATTTTAATTAATTTCACATCAACGCAAATCAAATCAAACCAAATTAAATCAACTCAACTCACCACACCACCACCACCACCACCACCACCACCTCAATCTAGCTAGCTAGCTAGCACATTCATTCCATCACTTACTTGTACTTTCTACTTTCTTCCACACACATATATACACACATATATACACACATACATACATATATGTATACATGCATACATACACCACCTTACAGCTTACACCTTAAGACCTCGCCTCATGTCAATCAATATTCATATTCATACCCATTCATTTATGCTCAATCATTCAATCATTCAATTATTCAATCATTTAATCATTTAATCATTTAATCATTTAATCATTTAATCATTTAATCATTTAATCATTTAATCATTTAATCATTTAATCATTTAATCATTTAATCATTTAATCATTTAATCATTTAATCATTCAATCATTCAATTATTCAATTATTCAATCAGTCAATCAGTCAATCAGTCAATCAGTCAATTATTCAATCAGTCAATTATTCAATCATTCAATCATTTAATCAATCATTCATCCATTCAATACATTACAATAATAAAATAGCATTTTAGTATTTTAGCGTACGTAACGCAATATAATATAGTATAGCAAGTCAAGTATCTATCTATCTACAAATCCCTTCCCTTCCCCTCCTTCCCCCTCCCCTCTATCCCTTCCCTTCCCTTCCCTTCCATCCCTCCTCTCCATGCCCCCCAAGCCCATCAGACAAGCACCAAAGAACCAAAACCAAACCCAAAACCAAAAAAAAAACCTCAAAAAAGACCAGCAAATCTATTTTTCCATATTCCATTTTCCATATCCATATTCCATATTCCATTTCTCTCTCTTCATTCAATCCTCTCTCAATTCAATTCTCTCTCAATTTAATTCCAATTCCAATTCAAAGCAAAGCAAAGCAAAGCAAAGCAAAGCAAAGCAAAGCAAAGCAAAGCAAAGCAAAGCAAAGCAAAGCAAAGCAAAGCAAAGCAAAGCAAAGCAAAGCAAAGCAAAGCAAAGCAAAGCAAAGCAAAGCAAAGCAAAGCAAAGCAATATACACCAGTCCTACCCACCCACCCAACCCAACCAACCCAATCAATCCAACCATTCTAACAAGTTAAGGCAAGGCAAGGCAAAGAAAGGCACCTAGAAGCGCCAGCCACTTATGTATATACATATATATATATCCATTCCATACCACTCTATTCCGATCCGATCATTCGTTTAATTCAATTCAATTCAATTCAATGCAATGCAATCATGAAATATCCTCCCTCTCTCTTCTCACCCACCCACCCAATCCACCCACCTAATCCACCAGCCCCAGCCCAAGAACCGTCGCAAAAAATCAAAAGCCAAAAAATAAAAACAAAAATAAACATCATTCTCAAGGACACCACCACCACCACGAAAAAAAAGGGGAAATCATAACCCTCATCTCATCCCCTCCTATCCCATCCCTACCCCATCCTATCCCTATCCCCGCCATTCAACCCATACATAACCTGCAAAGCATTTCCCCAAGAAAAAGCGATGATTGACTGATTGAATGACTGACCGACCGACCGACGCAAGCGATGCAATGCGATGCCGATGCAACGACAAAAAAAAAAAAAACAAAAAAACAAGAAAAAAACCAAGAGATGCAGAACATGCCACAAAAAAACCAACAACAACACTAAGGATGGGCAAAATTTAGATATATATGTATGCTCGCTCGCTCGCTCGCTCAGGTCCGCTTTGCTGGATGAAGTGTAGTGAAAGTTGAAAACCCGAACAAATTGTAAAGTAAGTCGAAGAAAGAAATCCGTCCGTGTACCGAAAGGGTTGCGCCGGGATGCAAAATCCAGGTACCGAGTGATTGGACGCCAGCCAGCCAGCAAGCCAGCAAGCAAGTAAGCAAGCCGTGTAGAGATACCTAGATATATAAATGCCGAGTGTGCGACCCAAAAAGTCGCTCAAGCATCCTCACTCCTCCTCTCGCGCTTGCTCCTATCATTCCACTGTCTCTTGCCGACGCGGGTCTCGAAATGCGGCGCAATGGCAGCGACGTCCTTGCCTGTGCTCTCCATCGTGGTGCGGACTTTGTTGCGGTAGGAATCCACTGTTAATCATGTCAGTTTTGAAATCCATGCTCTCATCATTTTACAATGTAGAGTCTGATCCATACGATGCAGGTGAATGTGGTGTGGGACAGGCAAAACTCACAAGCTTTCTGCAAGAACACCGTCTTATCAGCAAACACCCGACTCTGGTGCCACGTCATGCGATACCCCAGATCATTGAGCTTGACCTCCTTAGTACGAATACTCTTTCGCATCCTCGGGATACCGACTTCGGCTTCTCCTCCGTCGGGCAGCGGAACGGTATACATCTGCTTGCCCTTCGCGCCTCCTCTCCCTCGGGAGCTACCACGACCCTCGACCTCAACGGTATCGTCCTCGTCTCCTTCCTCGAAGAAGCGGGATCCGTGCGCCGAAGGGGGAGGCGATTGCATCTGGATGGGGAACCACGATCGAGGGTAGACGGAGTTGCTCTTGCGGAAGGAGTCGGGGATCTCGTCAGTGTCGACGGTATCGAGGGTGACGCGGACGCGGACACGACCTCCCTTTCCTGGGTCGTCGACGAGGATGAACTTGCGCTTCTTGGCCTCTGGGATATCGCCGAATAGGGTTATGCGCTCTTCCTCGGCCATCTCTTCCGTGTTGCCTTTGGAGTGCGAACTGGAGTTGACGTGGGAAGAGCGCGCTGAGATGGAATGGGAAGGGTGGGGGGCCCCGCCGTGAGAAGAGTGCATCGCGGGGGTCATTGATGGACCGCCGACGGCAGAAGGGTTTGGCGGATATGCCGAGCCACCGTAGCCAGGGAAGACGTGGGAGTCTCGAACATCATCTTGGGAGTTGGAATTGGGCGCGCCGGGAGGTGCTTGATGGTGGTGATGGTGTTGATCTTCGTCTAGGTACTCTTCGTTATCTATGTGCCGCAGATCATATTAGCCTCACGTTTTAACCGGTAAGCGAAACAGGAAGCAAGGAAGTAAAGTGTTTGAGGGGTGTGAACACAAGGGTAGGTGGAATGGAGGAACGGCGGTACAATGGTGCAGAGACATGACTTTGGGGCTGATTTGTGTAGTAGTGCAAGTGACGGCACGCCCATGCCCATGGCGGCAAGCAAGAAGTCCAAGCGACAACAAAAGTGCAATGATGTATTATACAGGAAGAGTGATTGTTCTCTTTTTAGAGGCCAAAGCAAAGCAGCAGCAGTGCTACTTGCTCCCAGAATAATAGTGCCCTCCCGCTCAACAGGTATATTCGCAAAAGGTATCATAACACAGGTAATAGTAACATAAGAGTATCACGGCAGGCATCACATCTGGTGAAACATACCGACATCATCCCCTCCTCCAGTACTTCCATCCGGGTGATTGTGGTGATGGTGCAATTGCGGACCCATTCCACTCAAGCTAGGTTTGCCCATGTTACTCGCTCCGCCTGGGCCCATGTTTCCAGATGGTGGCATCCCTGTTGGACCACTGGGACCAGCCATGTGAGGAGGATGGGAAGCCGTCTGAACAGCTTTGCGATTGTTGATCTTCGCCATCCTTCTCACACGTCTGCTTCGCAGTCGTGGATCTTGGTTGCTGTTGCGCCAACTGTCAACAGCTCTCTGGATCAATCCTCTCTTGCCGCGAAGGCAGGGGTTCAACTCTGCCAAAGCCCATCCAACCGTATTGCACTCGTTCTCGTAAACTAAGCGATTGCCACGGTACTGGTCCTTGCTGCAACAAGCTCTTGGGTAGACGCAGTTCTCCGTCTTGAACTCTGGACTCAATGTATCCACATTGACAGACTCAACGTCACATCGAATGGTGTACTCCATCTTGACGCGATCGCGAGAGTATTCAAATGCAATCCATTGCACGCCATTGTTGTCTTGTCGCACAACCAGTGGAGTTGTGGCTGGAATTGGACCTGGAGCCGCATTTGGATTGACACCACCACTTCCACCAGCACCGGGCACATTGTTTTGGTTCATGGGTGGACCATTTGCTGGGTGCTGTTGAGGTTGCTGTTGCTGCTGTTGTTGTTGTGGAGGTCCCAAAGGAGCAGCTGGGCGAGAGATCTGTGGAGCATGTGGTTCCATCTTGGTTCTTGGACTTCCCGTCATCCCTGCTTGACCATGTTGGCTTGGGTGCTGTTGCATCTGGTGCTGAGCTGGTGTTTGAGACATCAAGAGGTTTGGCTGAGAAGTCATGGATTGATGGTGTTGCTGCTGCTGTTGCTGATGCTGTTGTTGTTGCGGATGTGGCGCATACGATGGAGCACTCTGGGGCGGCATTGGGGGATACTGCTGTTGAGGGCCGGCATAGTACATTTGAGAGTTTTGTTGCAACTGCGAGGTTGGCGCGCCATACATTCTGTGTTGATCATGTCCAGAGGGAGACGCAACTGAAGCTGGAGAGTTGGACTGGGGGGTATGGTATGAGATGGGCGGATATGGTCGCGTCATTTGGGCGGCAGCCATGATGTCAGGAGTACCTTCTGCTATAAAATCTGATCAGTCCCTGTCTCTGTATACAAAAACGCGTCTCAATTGTTGTGTCCTTACCTGCAGAAGAGTATGTTCCGGATGCGCTTGGTGTACTATACGGGCTCGGGTGAGACTGAGTGGTATAGTATGGCAACTCCTGGGGGTTGTGACCACCTGCTCCTGGCGCACTCTGGTTGTATTGCGGCAGACCGTGTGCGGGAGGGTATGGATTGGAGTGTTGCGACTGAGGGGGAACCTGTTGCTGGTGATGTTGGTGAACAATGCTCGAGGGTCGAGGTTGTTGGAGATGATGCGGAGGTGGAGGGCCCTGCTGCGTATGGTGGGGATGATGCTGCATAGAACAGAAATGTCAGTGACGAGTTCCTTAAATGTAATGGTAAACGCAATGGTAAGATATAGTAACCATTGGGAAAAAAGCAGACGCGTCGTGTTGTTTATCTCTCTTGACACTCCAGACGTAAGGAAAGCGCGGCGCGGCGAATCCTTGAAGACGAGGGTTGGCTGCAGCTTGCGAGACCTGGTGTCTGATCTCCTGCTTTTGGACGGACGGACAAAAAGAATAATGGAGTCGAGAGAGAAGGTGGATGGAGGGAGAGAATGACTGGGGGGACAAGGGAAGGAAAGTACGAGGATGTACCTCAGTTTAACAGAAGCCTTGCTCTATTACGGATTCTTCAGATAATTGACAAGGAGGTACAAGCGATCAAGCAATGTCCGAGAACTGAGTGATTTTCGCAGGGCCTCGCTTTTTAAATAGTGGATTGACGAGGGTTGCGGAAGCTTATGAGATGAGGGCAGGAGCAGAAACAAATGCCGGAACGCAAAGCAGAAATAGGAAAAGAGCTTGACTGAACGAGGGCAAAGTACCTGTTGCAGACGAACCGCCTTGAGATTGAGATGAAGTATGTGATGCGACTAGGGAGGGGTAAAATAGACTGGTACAAGTTTGGATGAGGAAGGATTGTCGAATCTTGGAAGGGTAGGGGATGGGACCGACGAGGTAGGGGGGGGGAAGTGGTCAGGGTAATAAAAGGACGAGGTAGGGGCTTTGAGTGGAGCAGGAGAGTGCCGGCGGCGGCGGTCTTGAGTAAGGTAGGCGGGGGGGGGGGGGGGGGGGGGTTGGGCTGGGTAGAAAGGTAGAGTTGAGATAGAGCTCGAGTATAAAACTCGAGTTAAGCAGTAGTGGACTGGACTGACTGACTGACTGACGACAACGCAGGAATAAACGCGACAAGGTTTATATTCGCATTGCGATGCAAAGGACGAAGGACGAAGGACAAGGGACAAGGGTGGCAAGAGCAAGAGCCATGCCAGGGTGGACATCCAATGGGATATATGGGCTGGCAAAGGACGGTAGCAAGGGTAGAGATTGGCCCGGAGCTAGCTGGGCCCATCCTCGTCTGCCGTCGCTGGTCAGGTCAGGCTGCAGCGGTGAGCGTGCGACGTGCGAAGCGAGAAAGTCGGGCGTGCGGGGGGGGAGCGAGGGGGGGCGAGGAGTCGAGGACACAGTGACTGACTGGTGGAGAGAGCAGCTCACTGGAACTGCAGCTGGGGCTGGAACACTGGGCCAAACAGCAGGCGACAGACCAGGGGGGTTGTGGGCTGTGGTCTTGGGCTGCAGCTGGACGACTCATCTCTCAGTCTCAGTCTCAGTCGTCTCACTCTCACTCTCACTCACACCCACTCATCACGCACGCATCCACGCTCCCAAGTAAAATGTCCCACTGACGGTCCCACGCCCACTGTCGCGCACTGCCCCTAGCACTCCCACTCCCACTCCCACTCCCACTCCCTCCCAGCCAGCCAGCAGGGATTGCGGGTGTTTTTAGAAGATGACGCGGTGGGCGCTAGCGCCGTGTGTCAAATTGCTAGGGGGCTGGAAGGGGGCGAGGGGCGAGACGCAGGCATGGGAGCCAGGAGGGATGACGACCTCGACCTGCCTTGCAGGGTGTGAAGCACCGGGCTTGGAGTTCTCGCAGAGCTTGGCGAGTCACTACTCGCTCACAGCCTGCACACTCGCTACCCACGCTACCCATGCAGTCCCATGCGGTCAAGTCAGTCAGTCCATGCCGTGCAACCACACTGATTGACCGACCCATGGCCTGACGCCCCACCCACCACCACGCTTGGCAATGCCTCTTGAAAAATAAGCTGCAGGCCCCTTGTTCTCGTCGCCGCTTGGCATTCATCCTGCCCTGCTCGTATGCCGCTGACCAGATTATGGTCTGATGGAGAATCATCGAGGAACAGAAACAACAGAAGAGACAAACGCGGACCATGTTTGGGGAACAAAACAGAATTCAACATAGTCTCAAATCCGCATCATAGCCCGAGTCAACAAGAAACAGCGGTGGGACCCGTGAGTGTTGATAACAAGCAGTCGCGCAAACAGACACACTGTGACTTTCGCACTGAAGTTGAAATCGTGACCGTTTTCCGACGCAGCAGGCTCCAATAGCCGCAGGTGCAGTTTCCCAAGTCGGGTAAATCGTGTGGGATTGGGCAGCAGTCTGAGACCCTTGTCTCGGTGCATGCATGCAGCTGGGTGCACTGTGAAACGGGGCCCGAATCCGCTTGCCCATATCCAGGGCCAGCCGCAGGTTCGTGGAGCGATGTGAGAATGGTGGCCTTCTGGAAAGCATCGAAGCCAGACTCCAGCAGCCTCATCCCTGTGTGACCCCGTGCGCGCCATGTCCAAATTGGTGCAACTTGCGAACATGGACGGGACTTCGCGAAGAAAAAGAAATTATGACCAGTGCAGGAGTACCAGGTACGAGCGCGAAAATCCGATCCCGATAGACAGGTCCATCTCATTAAACAAAAAAAAGTGTAACGAAGTGTGCTGAACAGAATGTAGTGTACTTACGTGATCATTCGCCACAGCTACGCCGGGCTCCTCTTTGTAACCTCCACTCTGTCGATGGGCCATCTCGGTAGTTGGATGGGATGGATTCGATGTGGATGATGGGATCTGCTTCTGATGATCCGTCAGCCTCATGGTCCAGCCACCAAGCCTGCCGCCACAGGGAAGGCGAGCCGTTGAGATTAGGGGGCTTGTTCGGGTGGTTGGCACCAAACAAGGGGTGTATTCATGGCATGCCATGCTTGCAACATCTGTGCGTCGCAAATCGCATTGCAGGGGCGCCAGGACCATCTCAACTTACCAACTAGAGATCGCAACTTGCTGCAGATGAACGTCGTGAGACTGTTCACAACAATGTGATATCCTGAGAGCTGCGGACCCGCTGATGAAACGACGAAAGTGGTGGCTCAATTCGATTCCGACGTGTCTGCTTCAATTGTCAGTCAGTAATCGTCCAAAACACGGCATCTTGAAGCCACAATAATGCGATCGACGAAACGCATGATCGCAATGATTCGTGGTACGGAAATAGAGTGCGAATGCCAGGGGCTGCCCAACCCTCGAGTCGATCATGCCCTTAGAAACTCAGGGGGGATTTGTAATGGGGACATCACTATGCGATCGATGTGAAGAAAGATCTTGTCACATTTCTGTAAATAGAAATAAGTGACGAACAAGATCGAGCTTTCAATCTGACTGCGTTTGTAAACGGCGAGCGGCAGCTACTTCCCGAGTCTTCGGGCGAATCCCAATGTTCGAGCAGAGCCATTGAAATGGTGGGGTAGGGAGCGGAAGGATGACAGGTGTTCGTGTTGTACAAATAATATGGGACGATCTGATGGTGAGGGAGGGAACCCTCGCCAGTGATCGAGTGGTAGTGATTCTACTCGCACAAGACATGGTGCAAGGTTCTGGCAGGCTGGCGACGTCGAGTATCGGTCGGTGTTTGGCGTAGGAGAGCGCTGTGGGCCGGCCGCTCGCGTGCCTGGAAAGGATCCCACGTTTTTCGCTCGTGAGCCGGCCGCTAAACCAGCGCCTTCTCCTCCCACCAGAACCATGGCTTCATTCCAGTAGTCGCCGAATGATTCGGAGGAATAAACCGAATGAAATCAAACGAAAGGAAAGTTGCGATGAACTTACACGAGCTCTTTTCTGTGGGTCGAGAAATTCGATCTGTGAAGGCCGTTGTATTGCGACTGGTCTCTGCTATGAAAGACGTGTGTCAGCTTCGTGTTTCCAAGCTTTGCAGTGAATGATAGGTAGAAATCTTGCCGCAGAACCAGACTAGTTTATGCGCGCAATGGGGAGCTGCATACAGGAAAGGGCTCAGCGACACAAGTTGATAACTTGTCGTTGTGCTGGACAGATGACGCAACTGGATCTCGACGAGGCTGAAGAATGAGCGTGGAAGGCTGGGAGAGCTCGAAGACCGTTGTCTGAGAGAGACAAGGTAGGTCAGTTCGAGCGACTGGGCTTGGAGATATATGATGCAGGCAAGGGTGGTTGGTAAACATCGGGCCAGGATAACGGCCGAGCCAAGAGTGCAGGCGTCGGCACATTAATTAAGGAGATGATAGGGTTGCAAAGCACGACAGGGGAGGGTGTGAAGGTGGTCATGCACCAGGCCTTGCTGGCCACCCATGCTCATTCTGCCTGTCTGCTAGGCCCCCATAGCGGATGCCACCTCGCTTACACATCCAGGTAGGCCTGCTTTACCGCCTGATGGGGAGAAAACAAGGATGGGGAGCACCATGGGCGACAGGTCACAAAATGAATCTGCCACATGTAGGGAAAAGGGTCTGGGCCTAGAACATACCTTGAGAATGAAGCGTTTATCGCGTCTTTGCGTGCTTGAAGTGTTCATTCAGTTGAGGGGTAGATTGAGGGGAAAGGTCGCAAATCGGATTGTACGGGTTGCGAGCAGGCGTCGTGGGCGTGCGTTAGGGTTTGAGTTGATGAAGGATAGCGGGCGGTTTTCTGCCAAAGTATCACATCAGTAACTGGCGATCCATGCTCGTCCGGGATCAGGTACTGACCAGCGGAAGCTTTCAGAGCGGCTGGCAGATCAATCAGTGATTGAGCTTTGTCCCACCTCCTAGCTTGTATTGTCTGGTCTTGCACAGATGTCGAGGTGACGTCTCAAAAGAGTACGGGGAGTACCTCTCCTTATGTAGCAGAATAGCTCCTGTCGTTCGAGGATGGTGGTGAATTTGTCCGAGGTGAACAAGCAGGACGTTTCTATTATCAAGACGTAAATTGATTGGTGACCGACGCTCGCAAAAAGATTGACTGGCAGCGATGTAGATACACCTCTAGAACCTACGCCAATAGATGTCAAGGGATGGTTCGATATTCGAGGATGCAAATCCTTCTAAACGAGGTTTCTGCCTGGCTCTCTGGAGTTCGAGTCTCGGGCTACAGATTGTCAAATCGTTTGCACGCGTAAGGTTCTCGAGGATAGTCCCAGGAAGTTGACTTCTGGGTTCTGCAGACGGGCCGCAGGGAAACGTTCGACGGGTGTGTAGGCTAGGATAGAGGCAGGATGTGGGAGACGCGAAAAGTCGAATCTGCGTGGTACAACTGTTAGCATGGTGTATCCAGACAGCTGGTCGATGAGCCCAGGAAGGGCTCAGCATCAAGAAGGCAGACCAGACCAGGTAGATTCCGATTCCGAGACACACGTTGATCTGCTCCCTGTGTTGCGTCTCTGCGAGATCTGGACGGGCTTGCGATCAGCAGCTTTTCTGCGCAGACAAGAGAAAGCTGGCAACTCTGTGCGCGTTCAGTCGGTCAAGGAAAAATCCTGACGATGCCCACGTTGTCGAAGTTGTACGTAGCTTGTGGTGGCGCAAGAGAAATTTCGCGAGGAAGGTGACTTTCAGCACGAGCTTGACTTGAGTTGAGTCGAGTCGCCGTCGAAGTCGGCTAGTGACGCGTCGGGATTTGGTGGCAGAAAAGTCTCGCTGATAAGGAAGGAGAAGGCGTCCGAGTGATTCAGAGGTAGGCGCGCGGTGTTCACGACGATAATGCGATGCGATGCGATGCGATGCAAGGTGTTATGATATGATAATGGATCCTCTTCCACCGTTCTCCTGGGTCGCGGAAAATAGGAAATTTGTTTGCTTACTGACCTCTCTGTTGGATAGTCCGAGATCCAATCTTTCTCTCTTGGGATCTGTTGTACTTGAGTCGATGCACTCAACAACCTGCGTTTCTGCAATGCAAACTCCACGAGACGAAACGAGCCGGACGTATGTACGAAGGCGGTACTCTGCAGGATGGAATACACGAAAGTCGACAAAATCCCAGTGGGTTATCGTTGCGTCCACGCAGCTGCAGCGCGGTCGGTCGGCTGGTCGCGATAACTGTTCTTGGTCCTCGTCCTCGTCCTCGTCCTCGGGAACAAGAGATTGCACGTGTAGCCGTCGTGGTACCGTCCGAAGTGCAACAGCAAAGTTCTGCTGAGACAGACGACAACAGTGTCACGTTCAATCGCGTAGAGATGCGTATCGGCGTGGAGCTTTTGGAGGTTTTGTGAATAGCTTCAACCTTTTGGAATAGTTCGTTCCTGGGCTGCCCTGGCTTGTCCTGGTTTGAGCGGCAGTGCTAGGGAGTGGTACGGAGTAGCTTCAACGGTATCGCATGTGCGGTGCAGACAGGCTGGGAGTTCGCTGCGCTGTGAGTGCGGGAAGCAAGGATAGGGGGTTGGATTTTGGGTTTGGGTAGGGGGACAGGCAGGCTTGCGCCCGTTGAGATGATCCTGGGACGCTGGGAGGACAGTCAGAGACAGAGACACTGTCGAAAGCTTGATCGGAAGTGCGCTGGGTTGGACCTGGCTCTGTGGGCTGTTGGCTGTTGGCTGGTTGGTGATGAGATAGTGGATGACTGGAGTTGGCAAGGGATTAGCGGGGGAGCGCAACAACTGTGCGGAGGACCAGAGAGCCGTAAGGTCTGTTCCTGTTGGCTTGCTTTGTCAAGGGGGCCTTTGCGTACAGGTGTGAGCGTCGTGCAGTGATGTTTCGACTGTGCAGTGCGCTGCTGCAGGCAAAGGCAGGACAGAGGTGCAGACAAGCAAGGCAAGGCAAGGCAATGCAAGGCAAGGCAAGGCGAGGCAGGGAAAAGAAGGGAGAGGCGTTAGCTGGCTCCAAAACTTTCCTTCCTTGAGACAGGGACAAGGGCACAAGGACAGGACCTTGGAGAGATGTTGCAGGGTTACATTTTTGGAGGGAATCGAAGCCTTTTGACAGGAGGAGAGGCGATCGAACGGGCCAACGCAAGCCTCCGCTGAAGAAGAAAAGAGGAGTCAACAGGGGGCAAAGAAGACGGCGTGGAAGCGATGGGAAGACCGGGATTATTAATAACAATAAACCTTTGAGAACCTATTTACCTAAATAAAGTTACCCAGTGACAATCTTCCTACCATCGATCAGACAACAGACAATCAGATATCGTCCTCCTCGTATCCGATGACCCTGCCCTCCTATCAGCCGCTGTTTCTCAAGCCTCTCACTTCTCCAAAGCTATGGACTTCATTCACATGGACAAAAGCCTCCATCAAGTACATCAAATCATGAATCATAGAAGGAGATGTTTTGAGATGGCACGATGCCACAACGATTTCCAATAGTTTAGAGCGAGCTAAACTAGGCCAAGTGACTACTTCATGTGGGCGATTTTGCGGTGGCTCTCAGCCTATGACCACCATCCAATCGTCAAATTTCGGATTGCGATCTCCACCTCTTTCCACAAACATTTTCCCTCGACCCGAAAACCGTCTTCTAGAACCCTTCAACCGCCTGCCATCAACAAGCAACCTGTCCTCTGAAAGAAACGGGGATACGAAGTCAAAATTCAATATATTCCATGCAGCTTCATCTTCTGTGCAATGAACTTCCTCTATTATTGAA